GACCTTCCACTCACAGATCTTGCTGTGCCTTTAAGAGACGCATTGTCTTTCAGGTCATGAGAGAGTTTGGATTTTGAATCTGGTGAATACTTTGTATCTGTATCCTGTTGTTCCATGATTGTGTCAATTTCCTGGAGGATACTTTCTACTTTCTGTTCCAAGGAGGATATGACTACCTCTTGTGCAGCTTTTTCTCTTCTGCTGTCCTCAGTATTTGTTCTTACAAGAAAATTCAGAAACTCTTCACTAATGTTATGGTAGTCCTGAGTAAGTTTCAGTACACTTTCTTTCAAAATTACCAGGATTTCTGTCTTTCCAGTTGTAAGTTCATTGTACGAGTATTTCATTTCATTTTCTAGTTTCTTTCTAAGCTTTCGTAGTTTGTCACAGAATTTATTCACATGCTGTTCATACATTTGCCTCCCTGCCGCTGTCAACTGTCTAGTAGATCTCTGAGAACGCTGATCTGTTAGAGGAGATTTGTGTGGTGTGGTTGAACCGCCCTGGTTCTCCATGACTGCCTACGCAGTCCTAGCTCTTTTACTGTACTGACTCATTGTTTTTATTCAGCATCAACGTAGTAAAAGACTGTAAATTACAAAAAAGGTTATAAGAAATTACATACAAAATGATCGACTTAAAACATTGACTCTATTATGCTACATTTATGACCAAACCGGGTTTCCATACTTTTTTCTTTTAACAGCAATCAACTTATAAGCAATAAAACTGGCATGTAATAATAACTCAGCAAGAAATCAACAAATTATCCTTACAAATTCACATATACAAGTATAACATAGTGACTAGATTGTATAAATCTCAGAAAATGATTTGAACACAAACCACGTGCTTAGCCTTACACAAAAAACCAGGTCATGTTAACCATGTGTAGATAATGCTTTAAATTACTGAAATATTTGACAATAAAGGTTTGCATCCTAACACATGAATATTAAGATCTTATGTTTATAACTTATGAAAGTGTACTTACGCTATAGGGCTACAAAGTCACAAAATCTAGTAACACTTTTGCACATGTACAAATATGGCGCTTGCCAAAACGGGTAATACTAAAATACGCCTGCCGACGCCTGCCAGAGGAAAATACGCCTGCCGAGAAAATCTATACGCCTGCCGTGTTATTTATCGAATTAATTTGTATTTTGTTAGATATATTACTTTTACAGACCATGTAGTTGATGTTTTACCAAACAAAAATAATTTAAAAAGCACAGTTTGAAGTTTTAATTCGTTTTAAAGTTTGCATACTCCGTAGAGCACGCCTGCCGAGAAAATCTAAACGCCCGCGGTGTTGTCTCTGTAATTTCTTATTATACAATATTTGATATATTACTTTTATAAAGTATTTGGTTAACATTTGACCAGCATTAATTTAAAAAAATAATTTTATTTATTTTGATTCAATAAGCGTTTGATACGAAAGTTTGCAATATTAAAGGAGATAACTCTTGCTTAACAATAGGAACTGCTGTGTATAGATCACGTGCCTCGTGTTTTTCTTTCTTTTTTTCCTCTTTTTAATAAAAAAAAACTTAAGGTATTTGATTTTATATTCGTTTACAGAATTACGAAGGCTCAAGAGCACATGTACACATGTCAGTAAAAACTATGCGTTTTACGGGTAGTCGTTTTGAATCAGAATCTGAAATATTCAATGTTGTCCTTTTTATCATTAATGTATAATTATTATTTCAGGTTATATGCAACAAAGTTATATTTAAATAAATACAAAATTTTACAGGTAAGAGAAATGTAATAATTTAGGCTTTTCCTATACAATTATCTATATGTCTAGCAGAGAAGGAAATAGACGAAATGAATAAGAAAAACAACATGTACATGTATTTGAAATATCTTTAACTATAAAAGGTTCAATTCAGGGTATAAAACATGAAGAAAAAAAAAATAGCAAAATCAACGTCATAATTCTCTAAAGAACATATCAGTTAACTTAAAAAAAAATTATCCACAAATCGGCTATCGTTAACTTTTTACAACAATTTCAACATACCATTGATTTTAAGGAATGTTACGGAAGTTAATGCTTGAACAAGTCTTATTATTTTTTTAAATAAAGCTGATTTTGACCAAATTTTGTTTTCTGATGTTTAGTATAGAACGCTAAATTTGATTCATGAAGTATTGCATGAATCCGATCAGTTAAAATTTCGTGAAAAATATCGTTACGGAAGTAAATCGTTACGGAAGTTAATTTCCAGCAATAAAAGTTAAAAATCTTGACGATATTTATGAATAACGTTTGTTTTAAGATGTTAATCAAAAGTATGACGCATTTCGCTTCCAAAATAATAAAAAAAAAATATACCTTTAAAAAAGATCCTGAATTACGGTTACGGAAGTTAAATTTTTAAGAGAGACAACTGTTTTTGTCTAATTCATTTTGTTTTATCGAAAAATTAATGGTCTAAAGTAGATTGCAAGATGTTGAAAATAATCGATTGTATTCATTTATTTTAATTAGAAAAAATATCCCTCGAAAGTTCCAAATATTATATATTTGTAGTATTAAATATTCATACATATATGATGAAAAATGGCAAAAGACTAAGTACACAAATGTTACAGTATCTTTGTTAAAGTATATGAAGATTGTTAAATTTGTCTGAAATGATATGGATGTCTGAATTTATGTTTACTGTGTATACACAGACTGCAAATCTCATTGAAACTAAATTATCGATCTTCATGTATACCCTACAAGTGCGTAATATTATGTGGTATTGCATAATTAGGTACATGACAAACTGTGAAGTTTTGCACGTGCGCTATACACACTCCATGATGGAGTAATGAACCACAAAATCAGAATTAGTAAAATTTTACATATTAAGTTAAATAAATGAATTTTAAGAAAAATGGATGGAACTAATACACTTGCATGTTTTGAAAACTATTGAAAAGATCGCCGATTTACATCCGAATACTGCATTTCTGACCTGACTGAGAATGTATTTAATCCAGTAACAAAATCAATATAGATCAATAAAAATTTTTAATAATAACTACCTGACGTACATATATTGAAGAACAAATATAAAATTTTTAAAAATTTTGAAATCAATTTTTTTCGACGCGGTCGTAAACAGTGCTCGGGTATAAAAATCCTTGTTTTTTTTTTTTTTTTTTAAATCTATATCTGAAACTATTGTAGGTTTATTTCAACAAAATTTATACCAAGCTTATTGAATTTTATTGCGTGCTAATATAGCTAAAATATGTAAATGAATCATGTCTATAAAACGCATCCTTTGCAGAAAAGACAACATTGTCACCAAACATATCTACACAGTCCATTTCTTTATGCTTCTTTTTACCAAAGAATATTGTTTTGACTATTATGTTTAGTATGAAAATTTTCATTTCAGGCCCCTCCCCCAGCATATGTTTTTACCAAAAGAATGAGGACCCCCCCCACACACACACACACATGCAAACGATAATACGCCTCTGTAAATAATTAATTGTGGTTTTTTTCTTCTTCAGATTAGTATTGTAGAGATTGTTGTATTGGTTACACAATCTGTAACGTGAATCAATTTACATTATATCTTCATAAATGGTTTCCGAAACTTTCCTTGTTTATGATTCGTTTCTTTTTTTTTTTTTGGGGGGGGGGGGGGGACAGAAACGAGAACCAGAAACGTGAAAAGAAATTCAGCATGTATTTACAATGTCACGATCTCATAACTAGATGTTCAGACTAATTTGAATCAACCAAACTTTAACAGAAAACCATATTGTAGGACTGTGATGTGAAAACTTTTAGTCTAATTAATGCATATTCTATAAAAATCGAACATATTCATTGTGTGTGTGTGTGTGTGTGTGTGTGGTACAATATAGTTTACTATTTTTTTCACATACACTTGTATGAATAAAATAATTCTGATCTCGCAAGATTTGTGTATTTTATTATTAGAGCACTGAACATGCTGAATTACTGAAAATATACGTTCAGGCTACTGGAATAAAATATTTCTTATGGCCAATTAAAGGTTATCTCTTTTAAATTTGATATTACTATATACTTTGATGTAGATTAATAAATGAATCAAACATATATCTTATTTTTCCATTTTCATTATTTATCAAATGTTAACTTTATGCGTAATGATATAATCTATAAAAGTAAACACCATGAACGTTTTTCTCGGCAGGTGTGCTCTTGGACATATACGTAAATTTCAAAATTATATAAAATCATATATTTAACTTTAAAAAAATCATTTGTTTTACATACATCAACTACATCGTATATAAAAGTAATTCTTAGTCTTCTAAGACGAACGGAAAATATTATTCATATATAAGTATTGTGAAGTAAGAGTTATCTCCTTTAATACTACTGCAAACTCTTGTGTAGATTTTATTAAACCAAATATTTCTTTCTTTCTTTTTTTTTTGTTTGTTTTGTTTTAGTTAAATGTCAACAAAATACTTAATTAAAGTAATACATTATATAAAATAATACGTAATTAGTGAAACAACACCGCGGGTGTATAGATTTTCTCGGCAGGCGTGCTCTACGGTGTATGCATACTAGAATACGAATAAAAACTCCAAATTATTCTTTTAAAATTATTTTTGTTTGGTAAAACATCAAATAAATGGTCTATTAAAGTAATATATCTAATAAAATATAAATTTCGTCAATAAATAACACGGCAGGCGTATAGATTTTTTCGGCAGGCGTATTTTCCCCTGGCAGGCGTCGGCAGGCGTATTTTAGTATGACCGTGCCAAAACTACGGGAAGTAACTCTTCTAACAAACAAAACAAAAAGTTAACTCATACATAGTTGATTCGGAGACATTACAGACAGACAACGGACACCTTACTATCACATAAGCTCTTCTGGTCTCTAACCAGTAGAGCTAAAAATGCTCAGAAACAAAGCGGAAATTGGATTATCACAAAAAATAGTTATAAGGTATTGTATCCTCCATAAAGGATGCGGAACTAGGACGGGATGATTGTTGGCTATATGTCCCAGGAGACTCTTCCTGGACCCAGAGTCCTTCATATCCAGAACAGTGGCTGTACAATCCAGAATTTCCTCTGCTAACTTGGCCATATCATATGCTGCAATGACATTCAGTTAAATTTATCTAGTAGTACATGTATGATGAAATAAATACTTGAATGTGAAATTAAATAAACATGAGTATTGAAATTCCCCTACATGTATGTTCCTATGGATTTGAAAGATAAATGTCTCATCCTGGAAAATGAACTAAGCATGGGTAACAAAATGCTCCTATGTGTGAATTTGAGTCTTAACCCAAACATTGTAAAAATTGAATCCCTATTACTGTAGTCATGCAATGTGACTTTAAAAGTTCCAAATCTTGAATCTAAGGCCAAAATTTTCTTTTCTTAAAATTCCAAGTCAGCAAAACAGATAAAAGCAAAGTTCGTTAATTAATTTTGCAAAGCAGTTTCAAAGGTGAGGGAAAAGAAAAACACAACAACTTTGACAAAAATCATATTCATGCAATCATAAACCATGGTGATCATATTAACAATGACAGGTATCTAGAAGCATATCATAGATAACAACACTGATCTGTTTGTTTTTATTTTTTCAAATTTAAAAAAATGATAACAGCCTACCTGAGAAGAGTTCTCCTTGCAATGATAATCCTTTCTTTTGGCTGAACTCCAGGATCTGTGTGGCTGCCATCTCTTTCTTCAACATTTGAGCTGCCATGGCAAGGGCAACAACTCCGCAGCTATAAAACAGACCAGTACATGTATACAGCATGCATGCTCTTTTGTTTCACAGATATGAAAGAAAAAATTTTAAAGGTACTGATTCACTGACCAATTTCTAGTCTACTAACAAACCCCAATACCATATCATATTTTATTTTTATACATCTTGGTAAAACACAAGTTATTACCATGGCCCATCTTGAAGTATTGGATGGACAATGTTATTGGAAGACACAATGATTTTGGAAGACAAATTTGGAATATCCTTCTCTCTGGAAAGAAAAAAAAAACCATAATATATTATGTGTCAAGAAATGTCATAACTAATTGTAATAAACTGTCTCATTTTTCATTTGCCATTAGGTCTATAATCTCAGGAAGATGAATATTAATGACATGCAAAAAGCAAGTGGTTTATGATTAGATTTTTCAATCCTCTCCACTCAAGTCTTGCAGTGTTATCTTCTAAGATATGTGAGAGCAGGAAATATTGTACAAGCATTTTTTTCCCTATTTTAGTGTATTGCAAATAGATTATTTTGTACAATCATTAAATAGCATTAGCAGCACGTCCACATACTTGTGCTATATATTTTTTTTAAGATAATAATTTCACCATGTTGACAACAAAGTGCTCTGAACAATCAGGCCATTCAATATGATAAGATATGAATCCCATTTAAAAAAGCACATATATTATATGTATTTTCTGTATATAATGATAAATTCGATCAGTAATTTATTATGGTAGCCACCTTAAAATCTTGGGGTTTCTGAAAAATTCATCAAATTTAAGTTATCAGATCTTTCCCAAAAGTATAATAGGGAAACACGGAGCATATGTGTACCCTGCAGTTGTCTTATCATTTTGTTATCAAAATACTAAAAACTATGTGATAGAGTGATATTTTAATTTATTTTATTAAGTGAATATTATATTATATAGTTCAGTGACTTAATATTCACGTGTATATATTTTATTTTTAGCATCGCGCAGCATTTCGTTTTCACGGAGTTTTGCGCTCACCGTTAATAAAATTAATAAAATATTACAACTTCATTTGGTTTTAATCTTTACTTATGTTCTAGAAGTTCTTACTTATCCTGAGGGTATATAATGTTATTGGTCAGTTTTAATATCCAAGCTTGCGATTGGTTAGGGACGTTTTCCCGCCGATCTCTTTGTGTATCGGTCAGACATCTATAGACCATTGAGAAAGTGAGATGAGTATTTTTGGTCATCATGATATACAATATTAATTTTGAGACGAGACCTCAGGACAGAGACTGTAAGTTGACTTCTATTTCTTTTATCTTTACTAATTCTTATTCTATACTTTCCGATAATTCATCGTCTTTGATTTTTAATGTAATTTTGTGAAGATATACTGAGTTCAACTTTATCATTATTAAATGAAGCTTAAAGTATAAATTCTTTGAGTATGTAAATAAAATATCAATTATGCAGAAGTGTATATAGAATATAATTATTGTTTAATAGGAGTCTATATATCAAGACCCGTTATTTTTATCGGGTGGCCATTGTTTGAGCCTTGATCCACAATCAGGTATACCTACAATTATTTTCTATTTATTGTGTATATATTATTGCAAATAGATTTGTGAACTATTCATTTTATTTGTAATAGTTCTATTTTGAATAGTTCGATTTATATTCTCGTTTTCAAGACGTCGATGTAAGGGAAATAACTCTTACTTTTCCATGTATTTATTTCAATGCTCAGTATAATGTGTAATACTTTTATGATCGATTATTATAAAGTAATTCATGCCTAAATTCATGAATATCATTATAAATGTAATATGGTTGTTTGTTTTCTAAATACTTATAATTTGTTATTGATATTTTCAGGGCTTTATTGATGTATTTATTTATTCAACATGACAAAATAAAATGATCGAACCTTAGACGCAGGAGTTCTTCTTTAACACCATAAGAAAACCCTGTTACACTATACCATTTACATATGGGTAAGTAAAAATTAACAGCAAAAACAATCAAACACATACATAGTCGCTTTGATGTTCCTCCTGAGATGTTCTTTACTGTGATTAGTTGGCTCCTGTGGCACCATTAACACTGCCCCCGAGATGTTCTTTAGATTGATGCTGGTTAGTGAACAAACTTTTGCAGGAGGAGGTGGGGGTGGTGGGGCCCCACAGGGGGTAAACATTCTTGTGGTTCAAATGGCCACTGATTTTGCTATAGCTGTGTCATATGCATGGCAGTTAGAGACCTGGATAAAAAAAAACAAATTGTGAACAGAACCATTCATCAAACAGCAGAGAGACTTAGATTAATACTGTGAAATAACTAATTTTTTGTGGTGATTTAATTTTCGTGGTTTTCATTAGGTATGAAGAGACCCACGAATTCATGTCCACCTCAAAATGTAAAATGTCAAATGCATAACTACTCAACACTTCCCCAGCATCGAAATCAAATCCCCCAAAACCAATATTTTTTCTTCAACTTACCTCGAAAATTTGACCCCATAAAAATATTAGATTTCACAGTAGATAGACTGCTCGTTCAATTTAAATTGAATTGGATGGAAGGCTGATTTTACATCATATTGTAAAGCTTTATTTATCTATATAATTAATTTGTCTGTATAGCGATTCCTAAAAAAATTAGAACTAACAAGAGGCCCCTGGGCCTTGGTGGTAACCTGCATATCATATCTGAGTTTAATCCGGCAATGTCCAACTCTAGGAACTGAGGATTGAGAGATATGTGATTTTCACAATTTATAATAAACGTTGTGTTTAACATCACATAAGAACTGTCTCCAAATGCTCAGGAGGAAAGAAAATTGTTAATGGTAATATACATACAGCATTTTAAATATATGATCAACATGGCCCCTACTTAAGCGTTTATTATATGGAACGTGTCACATATACTCTGTACTTCAAAGTTAGGTAAATTTATGACTCACAGCTTACTCCTAATATATATCAGTACACAGTTTGCTTACTCAATTTCCAGAATAAGTCTGAAGTATAATTATAAATCTTCAATAAATGACCAACTTACCCCCCCCCCCCCTCCCTTGGGTCTGAATCTTATGGAGCTAGGGCATAGTTTTTCAAAATTTTGTTAAAATAGCTTTCAGCTCATCTATCGCATTCAAACCATGTAAACAGCCTGCCTGATACAGCTCCACAAGATGAAGAGTTGTGTGTGTTTTTAAATACATGTATAACTTTCTCCTTAGCCCCTATCTTGAGCTCAAAAACACAATTTTCACAATCTAGGTAGAGGGTTACATATTGTTTCATAATGTTTCTCAAAAACAATTTTCCTGTTTTTGAAGATTACATATGAACTTTGATTATTTCGGCCACACCCCTTAGGCCCCAGCTGCAGGGGGTCAGGGAGCTGTTCCCCTTTTATATCCACAGGCTCCATATTGAACAAAATTGAAATTAATACAAAGCTTTCAGAGCCTGAGATTCAAGATTTCACATGTGATGGGCAGGTACAGGTATAAAAGGGTCACCTGAGTCACTCAGGTGACCTAAAAATGTTGACTATTTCATTGGAGGTGTATTTTGACAACTTTATAGTAGAAAAAGTGTACTTCAACAAACTTTGAATCACATGGCTGTAGGAACCGGGGGGGGGCACGGGGGGGGGGGGCTGTGCCCCCCCAATAATTTTGCTGATATATAGATGACTATAGAAAATTTAGCTACTTCTAGCTTGTGCCCCCTCAATAAAAATGTCTGATGACCTTTTTTTTTCTTCTTTTTTTTTTTTTGGCTTGTCAAGGAATTTTTGGTAGTTGATACTGCCCCCAACTGAAAATGTATGGCTGTGCCCCCCAAACTGAAATTGCTTCCTATGGGCCTGAATCAAATTTTTTTTACTGGATGAGATGATATGAATTATCCACTGAAAAGAAAAAAAATAAGGGATTAGCTCCACCTAAGTAGCTGCACACAAATAATTCAGTAGGTATAGGGGTTACTGCTTTCTACTAATGCATAATTAAAGCTGAAATTCTTTGCAAGCTAACTCAATAGTACGTGATTTTTCCAAATACATTGTTAAACTTGTTGCCTGTAATTATTTCAAAGAGAGTAGCAGCTGAGTCATTTGCTTTATATAATTCAGAGGAAAGTTATCAAAAGTCTGTCACGAATTTATAAATTGGTTCCAAAAATGCAGAATATATTTTGTACACCACGGTTAAAGTCTATGGTATTGACACGGAGATAAAAATTCAGTACATGTTATTTGGCTGTCTGGCACACGTTCAAAGAATGAACTTATTTTTTTATCGAAGACGTACATCTATATAAAATTATTTTATAACAAAGAATAAGAACCGTTGTCTGTCTACTATTTACATAATAAAATAGCAAGCAATTCTACCTTACCGTGTTTACACATTGCATGAGCCCGATAAAACATTGATTACACCGTGCTATGAGGAAAATCTGGAACTCCGATGTTATTTATAGAACTGTCAGCTGTTGTTCTTTCAGCTGTTCAAAACGAACAATTGTGAATTGCTGTAGTTTTTATTCCTTATACTCATGTGATTTTAAATCTAAGCAATAATCTTTTTAGTTTTATCCTAATTAAACCCTTTACTGGCTCAGTGCATACCATGTCCACAAGAACTAATCTCTTAGCTAGGTTATTAATCAGTAAAAAATCCTGCGACTTGTGCTGCAGTCAAAATAATTTAAAGGTGTACCCTTAATTCCTGATTCCTAAAATATACATGGTCTTACCTTTTACCTTTCGCAGAAGCTTGCCTGAGTTATAACAGGGATATAACGCCCGCTTATCTGAGTTATCATGCTTACAGGTCGGCAAGTGCTGGCATAACTTCTGAGTTATCTGCCCCTAATGAATGCGATCTCTCTCTATCTCTCTCTCTCAGGCAAACAAATACAGATGAATGACTCAGTTATATAGATGAATATATACCGGTATATAAAAAATGACGTTACTTTAGATTAGAGTTATAGGGTAAGGTTATGGGATTACGATTATAATATGAGGGATAGGGTTAGGGTTAGAGTTAGATTAGAGTTTGATTGAGTTAGGGTTAGGTTAGAGTTAAGGTTTTAATAAGGGCAAGGGTTAGATTAGGACTAGAGTTAGGTTAGGGTTATAGGTTATAGAGTCAGAATATGGTATATAGAGTTAGGGCTAGGGTTAGAGGTAAGGTTAGATTTATAGAGTTAGGTTATGGTAAGTTTAGGGTTTAAGTGTTAATGTTAGATAAAGTTAGAGTTGAAAATGTTAGGGTTAGAATTAGGGTTAGAGCTAGGTTAGGATTAGGGGTTAGGTTAGGATAATTGCTTCATTAAATTTGTATAGATGTAAATGGGAAGAAATCCTGATATTAAAATGTGTATATCAAAATTCTTTGAATAGATAAATAAATTTAAAATATGCGAATTTGTACTCTTGTTAAATCAGCATGAACGTAGTTTTTTTCCTTTCAATTGCAGGAAAACAAGTCACCGGAGAATTCGTTCCTCAGTCGTAGATTTTCACAATAAAAACCTATATGCTTCATATTCTTAATGCCAAAAAATATATGGGGGGGGGGGGGAATTGACAACTTACCTGAGAAACCTTTGACAAGCTAAAAAAAAAACAGGGAGTAATTCAATGTCTAAATTCGAAAATCCTAAGGGGGGGGGGCAACTTTTGGTTAATTATTCTCAACAAGAAAAAAAAATTAATACATATTAGTCTGAGATATTTGTCAACAGTGCAAAAAAAAAAAGATGGGAGGGGAGCTTAGGCCCTTTCAGAGGAAAGTTGGGGGGACCCCCCTCCCCCCTTCGATACTACATCGCGGTGCCTGGCGTAAATTTTTTTTTTTTTTTTTTTTTTTTTAAACTTCTATAAGACAGGCATCATATATAAGATGCATATGAAAATAAACATTAAATTTACTTATTGATATTTATTATAATTTAAAATTGCATATATATAGCTCTCTCAAATAGTTATATGAAATTTTTATGACATTTAAAGACACTGAAAAAAATTTGCATGTTTGACTTTTTTTTCTATCTGTCTTTGACATTAGCACAGCAAAGTCTTTCTGACCCAAAAATCTTTTCGTACGTGCCATCTTTCTGATTAATATTCGCATAATAGGTTTGACTAGAACGAAATTAATATTCTGATAAGAAATTTTGCGTGATTGCTACAAATTTGTCAGTGTGTTAGAGGGGAGAGTGGGGTAGCTACACCTATGAAGACTAATTATAAAGTTACAACCTACTCTTTAAATCTTAATCTAGGAGCCCTTAGGGCGGACCTAGATTCTATGCCTCTTAAAATATATTTACCCCCCCCCCCTCAACGGATATCCCTGGATCCGCTCATGGGACTTAATTGTAGATTGATACTTGATAATGGATCTGCTCCAATATCTTGAAATTATATTCTTTATAACTGTTCAAGAATCTTGAAATTCTAGTTCTGACAGATTTAGCAAGAATATTCAGTAATACTTGAGAAATTGGTCTTATCAAGGGACATCAACGCTGCAGGTATAGCAAAGCTAATGTTTAAACGGAAATCCACAGTATTAAAATGACACAATTTAAAATATATTGAAATAGTCTAATCATTATATTAGACCTAGATAAAGCGACTGAATAAATTATTTTCATGTACATTACCAATGTAAGTAAACTACCGAGATTACTGTTAACCAATACCAAATTGTTTTTGAAGATTTTTCCTAGAGAAATTTGGCAGGTACCTAATGTTGAAACTGAACTTGATAAACTCCTTTATATGATATAATTTTCTTAAAATTCAAAAACATTTTTTCATTAGTGTTTAGAGCTTCCTTAATGAGAGCATCCAGATTGATAACCCAAAATATTCGCAAAGCCTGAGGATATCGAAAATGAATTTGTTTATAAAAACTCTTAATCATATCTTTTTTAACATCAAATAATTGCTTAAACCGATTGCATGATAAGGGGACCCCTTTTGATTTGGGGGAGGGGATTTTGGAAATAAATAATACTGACCTCAGCTGGCGAGAAAATAAATAATACGATATTTTCTGATCCTACTATACCCCCCCCCCCCAAAAAAAAGTATTGGAGTTTGGAAGTTTTCCATTTTCTGCTTGTCACGCTTTTTTCAGTGAAGAAGAAAATACATGTAATTTGTCTCTGTTCATCTTGGAAACAAATAATCTGTCCTTCACTGGCATGAAAATAAATAAACCAACTCGAACAAAATTGCCAGCCCCCTTTCAAAATGAAATGGTACAGGTACTTGTGGACAGGACCCCCTTCCACTGATATTCAACCCTGGGGCTTAATTGCTCGATTTTTTTCTCCACAAATTATATTTACTACACTTATTTATCATTTGTACCCTTGGAAAAAATCGGGAAAACCCCAAGATAATCGTTCCACACAAAAATACCCCACTATACATTAAAAGAGATAGTGGGGGATTTTTTGTTTGGAACGATTATTTTTGGGGTTTTCCCAATTTTTTCCTATGGTTCACATGATAATATTTACATCCACTGAATATTATTTCCTTTATTTCTTAAGAAACCCATTGCCGTTTATCAGTGAGTAAACAACACTTAGCAAGCCACCTGCATAGATTTCTTGAGCAACGGCTGTTCCATCAATTATACATACAATGACATACACTTCTATAATACAATATTTAACATGTTTAATTTTACTTTGAATGTTTTTTTATACAGATATAAATATAAACAATAAAATGACTTTCTTTGTTTGTTAGTACGGGAATTAATGTCGCAGCTATTGCAGAAAAAAATTTACATAACCCGCTTACGCGGGTTATGTATTTTTTCTGCAACAGCTGCGACATTAATTCCCGTACTAACAACCAAAGAAAGCATTTTATTGTTTAAAATAAGTATAATAAATATAATATGTGAAAAAAGTCCAAGCCCCGGGGTAAATATCGGGAGGGGGGTGTACTGTCCAGAAGTACCTGTGGTCGCCCCCTAAGTGTACATGCATCGCAATTTGGAACTGTCCTTTTCCCAAAATTTTATATTCTAGTAAATCTCTCCTATTTAGTTTGCTTGAAATAAGGCAGAAATTATTGAAGGTTATGGAATGTTGAACCTCTGATAAGAGAGATAACTTGCTTGACATGATATTGGATTAATGAGAGTTATTGCCTAAAAAATGCCAAGGGCCATGTCAATTTTTGCAAAGCATAATACACAAATGATGATAAAATTTCAATTTAACTTGAAAGGCCATGCCCGTCATATTTTGCACTTTAAATATCATGTATGCAACAAAATGCCGATAATGTTTGCATTTCAATTATACACCCCTATCCCATTTGTAACTAAAAATTAGAACAGAACTTAAGACTTTATTCTTCAGTTTTTTCAGAAGAGTCATAACCTATTTAAATGTGTAAGATACTCCCCTTGCATACAAGAATTCTCCCAAGTTCCTAAAAAGAATCCAACCCTCTCACAAAACCATTAAACCCTCTCATGATACCATCCAACCCTCTCATGAAACCATCCAACACTCTCATAATACTATCCAATCCTCCCATGATACCATGAAATCATCCAATGCTCTCATAATACCATCCAACCCTGTAATGATACCATCCACTCCTGTCATGATACATGTACCATACAACCCTCCCATGAAACCATCCAACCAACCCTCTCATGATACCATCCAATCCTCTAATGATACCATTCAACCTTCTCATAATACCATCCAACCCATTTCATAATACCATCCAACCATCTCATTATACTATTCAACCCTCTCATAATACCATCCAACCCTCCCATGATACCATCCAACCCTCTAATGAAACCATCCAACATTCTCATAAACTTCTCAACCCACCCTCTCATGATACTATCCAACCCTGTCATGAAATCATCTAACCTTCCTGTGATACCATCCAACAAACCCTCTCACAATATGATCCAAAACCTCCCACAATACTATCCAACCACCACTCTCATAATATACCCAACCCTCTTATGAAACCATCCAACCCCCCATGATACCACTAAACCCTCTCATGAAATCATCCATCATTCTCACGAAACTATCCAATTCTCTTATGATACCACCCAACCAACCCTCTCATGATACCACCCAACCAACCCTCTCATGATATCATCCAACCAACCCTCTCATGATATCATCCAACCAACCCTCTCATGATACCACCCAACCAACCCTCTCATGATACCATCCAACCAACCCTCTCAAGATACCACCCAACCAACCCTCTCATGATACCACCCAACCAACCCTCTCATGATAGCACCCAACCAAATTCTCATGATACCACCCAACCAACCCTCTCATGATACCATCCAACCAACCCTCTAATGATACCACCCAACCAACCCTCTCATGATACCACCCAACCAACCCTCTCAAGATACCACCCAACCAACCATCTCATGATACCATCCAACCATTCATCTCATGTACTCATAACCCTCCCATGATACCATCCATCCCTTTCAGATTAGACTTCAACAAAACCCTCAGTATTTAATCAAAAGTTAAGGACAATATTTAAGGCAGCACCAAGAAAAATAGCAGTGATTTAAGAATGCTGTTGGTATTTATATATTGGTGATATTTCTTCACAAGCCTGTCTCCCATGCCATTTTTCATTCAATAAGCAGGACAGCATCAGTTTGGTTTTTTTCTGAAATGAAAGCTTAGAAAGAATGTCTTGATGTATAACATTTTTTGATCAGCACCCCCCCCCAACATTGCAATGGACACTCTGCTACCATATCCCAAGACCCAAAGTTCCTGCCTTTCTCTCAGTCAACTCACATCTTTTAACATTTCTACAACCAACACAATTGTATTATGTTTCTGAAAAAAAAAAACAAATAAAATAAGTGGACCAAAAATGAAAGAAATCAACTATTTTATTTTTCAGTATAACTTTCCGGGTTTCCCATAATATTGTGAGACAGTGAAAATTTGACAGCATAATACACTTGCTTTTATTCTTGCAAAAAAAGTACAGAAGAAAAAATTCAAGCAAGCTAGTAACAAATTTTCTCTACAACTCCAGTTCTTAAAAAATATTTTATTATTTTTTTTTTTTTTTGTCAGAAGACTGGAGGCTTGCTGTTGTTCAAATACTAAAGTGTTCCAAGGAATGCATGTGTCACCTGCTTTATAGCATCATTGAAGACTGAAATAAATCTAAGGGTTGTCATATATTTATTTGCTACTAGCATTAAAGCAAAGAAAAAAATGCACAGGAGGGTAGCATGCAGAAGGGTGGAACTTTTTCTAAGAAAAGTTTTTGGGGTACTTTTACTACTGTGAAATCACTAATTTTTGTGGGGGTTTAATTTTTGTTGTTTTTTTGAGGTATAAAGAGACCCATGAATTCATGTCCACCATGAAAAGTAAAATATCATATAATACATAACTACGCAACAATCCTTCATCCACGAAATCAAATCCCCAGGAACCTGAAAAATCTTGAAAAATTTGACTCAACGAAAATATTTGATTTTACAGTATGTAAATCTTTATTTGGAATCTGCTTTTAAACACCGGCAAATTTCAGCATTGAAAAAATAAATGGACCAAGAAATTAAAGAACCCCCCCCCCCAGCACTATGAAGTATGAAATATATTGAAAAGTAGGTAAAAGATCCAGTTCAAAGATCAGTAACCATGGTATTTCACAAAAGCCAAAGTGCCAAGCAATGTGTGTGCAAAATGTCAAATCTATACCTCTTATAGTTCTCAAGATATAGGGTGTGACAGATGGACACACAGGACAGACAGACAGAAAAATGCTGGGTAAAGTGATCCCTAAGTGTCGCTCTGGAGGCTCTACAGTTCATTGTAACACCAAAATATAAGCATACATACACAATGTACTTGCGTAGATTTGACAGAATATCTCATTCATAAAGTTTATCCAAATGAACACAAACTGGAATGCTTTCTATAGAATGAAATGTTTAAGAAAATCCTATTCTGCTTAATGTTCTATAGAGGAAAGAAGAGGGCATCCCAGATTTGCTTTGGACATGCTGGAGTGTAATGTAAATACATAAATTAGGCACCAATAGTTGCTTTCATCACTAATGTGGCTAACACTTCTTTTTACCACTAACACTTGTTTTTACCACTAACACTTGATTTGACCACTAACACTTGTCTTTACCACTAACACTTGTTTTTACCACTAACACTTGTTTTTACCACTTACACTTGTTTTTACCACTAACACTTAATCACAGTTCCTCATGAGGACTCCTTAATGGTTCCTCTTCCATGACTAGATTTCCATCATCTTCCATTTTAATCAGTTTCTTCTTCTCAAGGTCATCAGGAGTTTTTACAGGTGAAGGTCGGTCACCTTGTGACCTTTGATCTTCATCCTGTATGCTATCTGAATTCTTTACTACAAGGTCCCCTAGATCCTTATCTCCAGATATTTCTATATCCTGATTTTTTTTCTTCTCGAATGAAATATTATCCCCTGTTATATAGGAGTATATCTGGCCAAACACTTTTGGATATTTGTCTATTGCTGCTCGAATGTCCATTGAAAATAATTCATCCCAGGATAACACTTTGTTACCATCCTTGTCAATGAAGGAGAATACCTGAAATACATGTTTTTTATTTTGAGTTATGCATAAACCAACCAAAAGCATTTCTTTATAGTATAGATTGATAAAAACCTTCACAGCATCATAATTATGCAAGTAAAATTAGATCTTTGATGCACTCCACAAATTTGTAGCAACCTATCAAATTTGGGAGTGGATCAAAGATTTGATTTAAATCAAACTATCAAAATATTATTATAGTCAAGCCTCTTATCTCGAACCCAATGGGAAACAAAACCAAAAAAATTGAGATATTGAGGTTTAAATATATAAAGAAAAAGTTATTGGGACTTTTAATTCAATTCAACATATCCATGATATTTAAGATATTGAACTTCCAAATAATGAAATTCAACTGTATATATGTGTGGAAGAACACGAAGAAAGAATAAGGTATTATAAGGATCTATTTGACTCTAATAAATTTACAAATTACATGTGTGTCTTGTTCTATCATACAGTGTTAACAGCTTCACTTTCCTTTATTTTGTGGGAATTGTTTGTGAACAATGTCAAAAAATGTTAAATCACCTTATTAATAAAAATCAACACTTATTATAAGTTGTACCTATTTTTAAAGTCAATTTAAATTTAAAACTGTGGTATTTCTCTGTACTAAAATCTTATTGATAACAAAATTCAAATGAAAATTTTTGATCCATATTACTGCCTCACACTAGCTTAACTAATATGAATCTACACAACATGGGGATGCTTCAGTATCAATGACAGGAGAAATTTATAGTGCAAAAAAGATAAAATCTGAAAAAAAGTCCTCAGTATTTCAAGCAAAAATGTCTAATTAAAGGAAATCCTGCTTTGTTTCAATAACATTCATTATTTTTTATTGAGTTGTTGTTGTTAAGAATTTTTACTTGCATATATTTCCTACCTCATCCAGACATTCTACATCTTCCAGTTTAATGGAGGGAATTTCCCTTTCCATGTATTCACTGAAGGACCCCTTGTAGAAACTCCTGACATCCTCGAACAGTTCCAAGAACATCATTCTGTAGAACAAAAATAAAATGTACAGTAAAACACGCTTATAGCAAACATGCTTTTAATGAACTGACGCTTATAGCTAAGTGATTTTCATTCCCCTTGACTTAAAAATATTTTGAACACTTAACGGATATAACGAATTAAGCTTATAACAAAGCAAATTTTTCCATCCCTGGCACTTCATTATAATCATGTTTTACTGTACATAACTACCATAGAAAACGGTTGTAGCTCAGAAGCTTATTAATAGAGAAGTGAATTCTGATGCTTACAGCAAATATTGATTTTCAATCCCAAAAGTTTCAAAACATGTAATCTTAACAGATATAATGAATTCCATTTATAATAAATCAAAGTGGCTCATCACTGGCACTTTACTTTAAGCATTTGCCATGTTTTATTGTACATGTACATGTACTACATGTATTGCAAAATATTTCCCTCCAAAAAGCTTCATATTCATATACTCCAAAATTAAGTTGTGGACTCCATTTCTTATCATCAATGTATACCCTTCTCCATGCCACCTTTGCCTATATTTTCAGCAAATCTGCATTTTAGATTTAAATTTTTGGAAAGTTCAAAATATATATGCCAGAAAAAAAAAAAAAAATTCACATCAACAATGTCCTTGAAAAACCCAAGATAAAAAAATAATTCAATAGTTTCAAATTGTTTAAAATTTCTCTTTTTTTAAATCAAATTTAGGCTTAAATGAAATTTTATTATTTGGGGGGAAAAAAACTCTCATTATGACTAGATCATCCAAATATACCTTGTCTCAACAATATCGTCTGTCTGCTTCAGAGTAGATAGTGGGACACTAGAATTCTGGTATGGATCCAACCCTTCACAATCTGGATCCGAGCTGTTAAACCAGGGCAAATGATGGAACCAAAAATTGACTGCTAAGTTTCTCCCTGGCTTAGAATGCACATAGTGACTCCATCTGCAAGGAATAATAGATTAATTAATTTATATATGACAGGTTTCGACTTTATTGTTCTGAAACATGTATTTTTTTTTCATTTGATTTTTTTTTTCATTGATGAAATTCATTTTTTTCCCTAATAAAAAGCATTAGATAAAATCAAATGTTATCAACATACATATAACACAGAAGTCCGAAATAATACCAAAGTCTGTTGGGAGCATGAATGCAGCAACTTACACAAAGGATAACACAGGAATCTTGAAAATTATAAATCAAAACTATGAACAATGCTTGGGATTTAAAAAAAAACTTAACATAACCACTGCATTTTTAAACCATTCTCAAATTTGTTTGCAATCAATGCTGCAGTTAAGTTATGAGATTGCATCTTTCAAAAAATAATACTTCAATGCTTACGTGTCAAATACTGTAAAAGTAATTTTTTGTGGCTTGAGAAAAAAAAAGTATTGGTTCAAGGAGATATGATTTTGTGGTTGAAGAGGAAAAGAAGAAACTTCACATTGTAGCACAGAATTATAACATTCATGGTGGAAATGAATTTGGAGATCACTTCATACATGTACCATGAAATCAACAAAAAATGAAAGAAAAAGTGAGCAAGCTCACATACCCCACGCTCCCCCAAAACTCGACAATGCAACATGTACTGAATGGCACAGTGCATTTTAAATACACAGTATAATTCAATAAGGGGCATTACTTGCAAAAAATTATCACATCAAAACTTCTTGCATATATCTTTGTATGTTACAAAGAACAAAATACACTTAGTATATAATTTTGGCCTAGGAAAACTAAAAAAAATAAAGAATCGGCTAATCTGTCATTTCCCTTCGAAGTTATTTTGGGACAACCCCCGTACTTGAAACATGCATGGGAAATGGCGCCAAAACGTCACATATCAGAATTATAAATTCCAAAATTTACCCGGATTTCACTTTTTGATGAAAATCTATGAATTTGTGCACACATTTGTAAATATTTTAATATGTGCACAGGCAACGCGATGGATAATACTTGTATATGTCAAAGTTATTGCTATGACTAGCCGAAAAAAATCTATTTCGTCAATCGCGTTCTGTGTGCTCATAGTTTAATTCAAACATTTGGCATTTCCGGAACAAGTCCCATGGCCTACATATTTAATGGAAAATCGCTAAAATGTGTAACAATTTTATCTGCAATGTTGCCTTCTATCCCAAAGTACAAATGTAACAATAATTCAAATTTTTAAAATATATTTAATTAAATGAATGCAAATCATAATCATTATAATTCGGAATTTTTAATTTCGTTCGGCGGTTTCTGGAAAAAAAAGTTCGTAGCGTACCAGACGACAAGTTTGACAACTGATGAAATTTGACAGATTGTGAACATGAACTGTGTCTGTGATGTGTTTGGGTGACTAGGTGTGTGTAAAGATTGCCGACAGACCCAAAACGACTATTACTATGTGATTGTATTAGGTAAGGATTGATTGACAATTACTTGAAAACAAATATATCTACAAAACATGCATGCTAATCCGAGATTCCTCTGACTCAAACCCCTGCTTTTATGTTTTGACATGTGCGGGGGGTTTCATTAAAAAAAAAAAAAAATTATATATATATTAATTATCATTGCAAAAATTTATCACTTAACTCTGGCAGTCAAAAGCTAAACGTGTGACACACTAGGTGCATACATATACATGTATGTGAAAAGTCGAGCAGTAGTCGATTTGTAAACGTCGATGTAATTATTTGAAAATATACCGTCAAATTACACAAGAGAATTTCTCAGAAATTAAATAACTGAATTGAACTTTATAAAAATAATTGTCCAACTTGATTCAAGCCTGTAAGATTTTTATGCCACGAGACCGAAGATTGATTGGGAGTTTGGGGGGGGGGGGGGGGAGGGGGGGTGTCGTATTTGCTACTGTATGAAGAACTGTCAGTATGTCTCCTTCACGCAATAAATTCTGAACCAAGGAGAGTTTCTGTATTTGGCAATATTGTAGAAATATTTGTCTAGTGATGTATTTTTTTTTATTTGTGTTAAAATTTATTTGAAAAATTCTCATGGATATTAATTCCTGCAAAACTATCACAGCAAGGTAGGTACAAGCATATTTAAGGCATATGTGGCATGTTTCTGCTAGGTATAAGGGGAACTGCCCAACCACATATGCAGTAACCAGAGTAAGACTATCAACTTCTGACCAGAGCTTTGCATTTTGACAGTTACATGTATATGTAGTCATTTATTTTGTTAAAAGCCAACCTGCCACACTCGAGCATTTGTGTATATCAACCATTTCATGTTCAGTTTTAGTCCTTGTCAGCTTTCTCTATACCTGTTTGTTTAATCTTGTTTAATCAGATGAATACAAGCCCCTGAACTGAAGCAATAGTAATGTTATTAACAGGTGTGGATCCGGGGGGGGGGGGGGGGGGGTCCACCCCAGTCAAAAAAAAAAATCCAAACCCAAAATTTCTTGACAAGCAAAAAAAAAAAAAAACAAACAAACAAACAAAAACAAAAAAAACGTAAAATCCACTTCCCAAACGTGAAAACGCCTGTTTCGTGGTGGTGATGGTGGGGTCCACGTTTTCTAGGGGGGTCCAAAGTCATTTTTTATTTGCTTGAACAGTATATATTTTTAATAACTCTGCAAATTCCAGGGGGGGTCCGGACCCTTGACCCCCCCCCCCCATAGTACACCACAAGTACCAGTAAAACCAACATGTCTGCATTCTCCCAAGGTGTTTGCTCTTCCTCTCTCTCTCGATAGAAAATATAATTGTACCTTATATTTTAGAATGTTAAATTGCTATTGTACTAGGTAATTTGAGATAAAGTATTTTATTTTACCTGATCTAAAGAATTAAGTGAGCTTCTCTGATCGTTTAGCTTTCTGTGTTTGTCTGTATGTCTGTTTAGCCCTCTGTTAACTTTTCAAATATTTATCAGGCTCAACATTTTAGCCTTTTTTATATTAAAATGACTAGACTAATTTCATTCAAGTATTTTACATTTTAACTAAAAATGTAAATACTGATAAATGTCAACAAATATTTTGTAGCCTTAAAGGAAATTGTACATTTTTATTACAGAAATCATGATCCTGTGTTACCCTGAAGTGTTCGGAGGTTGGAGTTTATTTCCATGGTGATGATGATGCAATAGGAAACACAGGTATGACAAAAAATTTTTGATAACATCTTATTGTCTATTATATGCAGTCCTTGCAAGGTTTCATTTGGATGTTTAGATTGAATCCTTATTTCCTCATAATTAACCATTTATTGTCATATCAAATATTATAATTGAATTTCACTGAAAATTTTCTACATAAATTTCATTAACACATGTAAAGTTCAAATGTCATGTGACATTATCATACTTGTACAATAATGTAACTGCTTGTAATTAATGACCATTTTTTATGTATATATACTTCTCTTCTAGAATGCCTAAGTTTTACCCCTGCTTGCTGTGCTGTAAATGAACATCACAACAGGACAGATACAGGATAAAGAAGGAGCATGCAGACTTCATTAAGAGAAGACTTTGTATGGATGTTTCTGATGACAGCATGCTGTGCAGGAAGTGTCGTCACATGTGTGAAACAAAATCAACAAGGAATACTATTTGTGACAGCCCTGAGCCAAACAAAATGCCAAAAACATCATCAAAGCAGAGTGTGCAGAGTCCACCTTCAGTAATACTGTCCATTCCAAGTACCTCTAAGAGCCACGCCAACTGTGTCATCTGTAAAAAACCGGGGCCAAAGCTAGTGGTAGTTCCAGAAAATACTCGTTTAAATGTATTCATCCAAAAAGAAACATTTGTTCCACCTGGTTCTAGATGCTGTCCTAAGCATATTTCTGATGGAGAGTTCAACACTGAGGCATTACATCTGCTGAAACAAACCAGTTCTGTCTCAAATGTTAACAGGACCACCATTGTAGGAGTTTTAAGACAAACCAGGGAGGTAGCTATCCAGAATCAGAACAAGAGACTGAATTTTGATGATTCACATGGAATGGAAAGTGAAGATTACTACAATCTCACAGGAATTACAAAGGATCAGTTTGATGAATTGATGACGTATTTGGTGGAGACCGACTTAAGAGCATCCAAGAATAGAAGTACCAGAACATGTGTGGCGTTATTGTTGACAAAACTCAGATGTGGTTTGAGTAATCAACTACTTGGAACCTTATTTGGCATGAAAAAATGGCAGGTATGTACATGTTATGCTGAGTGAAACACTACATTTAAATTTTTTTTTTTACATTATTACATGTAAAATTAAAAATGCATATATTGCATGTACATTAATTGAAACTGGGTTTTCTGTTTTCAGGTTCGATTGCTGTTATATCTGCAAAAAATGCTTTGATGGGTGATTTTGTGTCAAAGCATTTGGGGTTTTCTCATATAACAAGGGAGGATGTCATTAATCACCATACTCGTCCCCTTGCCAAGGAACTCCTTTGCAGCATGACAGAAAATCCAGCCATTCTTGTTCTTGATGGAACATACGTATATCTCCAAAAAAGTGGGAACTTTTCTTTCTCACGTCGTTCCTACAGCATTCATAAACACCGGCCTTTAGTCAAGCCTATGATCATTGTTTCAACTAGTGGATATATAATTTCTGTATTAGGTCCTTATCTGGCAGATTCCAAAAATTCTGATGCAAAGATATTAAATCACATGATCCAAACAAATGTAGAGGACATGAGGAAATGGGTCAGAGAAGATGATATATTTATCGTCGACAGGGGTTTCCAGGATGCAGAAGCTTTGCTAGATGACATGGGGATACATGTTGAAATGCCATCTTTCCTTACTTCTCATTCAAAGCAACACACCACAGAAGAAGCCAATGCAACCAGATTTGTGACCAAGGTACTTGAAAATAAAATACCAGCAATATAATTATTCATTTAATCTGTTGAAGGTCACATTTTTTGCAATTCTAAACTTAAAATGTTCTCTATATATTTAAGTATACATTGTAATAATGAATTAGAAAATAAGGATGTAACAGACTTTTATATATATATATTTGGTTGATGAATTCATAGTATGTATTTGTGTTACAGCTCAGGTGGGTTGTTGAGTCAGTAAATGGCAGGCTAAAGACATGGAATTACTTGAGCAGGACTATCCCAAATACTCAAATACCTCACATTGGAGATTATGTCCGCATAGTGAGTGCAATCTGCAACAAGTTTAGACCAGACTTGAGCACTGGAATGGAGGAGGAAGATGTTGTGATGGCTGCTAAAATGCGATTTCTTGCAAATGGCGTGAATGAGTTAAAGGATTATGTTGAGACGAGAGGTAAGCATCATCTTACATTTTAAATATGATTTGCCTTACAATTGATGTGGCAAGATTTTCAAATATGAATATAAAAAATCTTTGAAGAATAAATTGAACATCCATTTAAAAATAAAATTTACAGGTTTAGAGAAGCGGAACATGAAATGGAAGAGGATCGACTCCCATGATGTGGTCTTTCCTCGTTTGACAGAGGAGGAAATACGCCAGTTGACCTTTGGTGTTTACCAAATCAGATTGGCAAAGTCATACACACACGAGCATTTGATGGAAGGAAAGTATGAAATTTTCATCAGTAATGATTGTGCTGGTATCCTCTGTGCAAAGATTCAAAGTAGACACATTTCAGCTAAGAAATACTTACTTTGGATTAGATATGATGACGTCAGTATCAAATCCTGGTTTTGCAAATGTAAAGTTGGCGCAAGAGTTGTGGGCATGTGTGCTCACGTTACCAGTGTGATTTGGTTCTTGGCTCTTGCTCGTCATGAGGGGAGTGGTGTCTGTGGTGTGCGTGATTGGTGTAGTTTGGTTGAGGATGCTGCTGCACTCCCAATTGATGAATCAGAGAGTGAGGATGAAGAAAGATGTTTCATAACAGAAGAGGAGTGAAAGTGAATCTCAGACTCATCATTCAACATTGCATAATAAATCAAAACTTTTAAGAATTATTGTTAGTATCATACTCTCCATATGCAATTTCTAGTATTACGATATGAAGGATCAGCCTCTCTGTTCTGTTTATGATTTTTTATCTAAAAATGTATTATTCTGTTATTGAAAAGTTTTATTTAACCAGTGTTTAATTTGAATAATGTACAGTAACACAGTAACTCCAGATGATAATTACATGTACATATACCTGTTTTATAGGTGAATTTTCGTTAAATTTAGTTATACAAGATATTTTGTTTAGGCTTATGAATATCAACACCTGTGAAGATGAATATTCAGTTGTAATGTTCACCATGGATTGGGTAGTGTTATCACACTACATGTGTCTGGTAAAAATTCAGTGATTATAAAATACTGGAATATGTGTGATACTCTTGAGTACACTCCTCTGAATGCAAGTATATTGATAATGAATTATTGATTTATTTCTACAATTTTTCAAATTGCAATTTAAGATAATAAGCTAATCATTTTATGATAGAGTTACAATATTAAATGAATTACTGTATGCATATTGACCCATGGAGACCAAAAATGTGTAAAAAAAAAAAAAAAAAAAAAAAATGAATCACTAGAGACTTTTCCAGAGTCCCAATATTTTGGAATGAAATATTCTTGAGTTCTAGCTATAGAGAAACCTAATGCATGTGCATGTCAATGAATGATACAACAGATGTTTTCAAACACTTTATGAATTTTTTATGATTGTGTCTCATTGTCTGGTACAGAAGAAATAAAATATATTAGGGATTCCTTTATTTCCCTTTACCCCACTGTTTATATGCTTGTCTATTTTGTTCATGATTAGGACATATTTTATTTAACAATCAGATTTATTCATGATAGAATGATCCCTAGCTAAATGACTGGCTGAAGTTCAGCATTCTGAAAACTTGGTTAAATTCACCTGCACTAGACCCTCCTGGTGAATATAACATTTAATTTTTACATCGAACCAAAAATATATTGAAAACTTCCAAATTGGAACAATTGGTTATGTTATTTTTGTTGTCTTATAAGATCCTGGGACCCATTGTACAAAAGAACTTATGACCAAGACCAAATGTAATTTTGCAAATAACTTTCTTTTTTACCTAATTGAGAAAATGGTTTTAGTCTTTATGCAGGTAATTTTTAATTTATATATAAAAGCATTAATTGTGCAAGATTTTACAATCATCAAAAGTTTTTGATCTTGATAAGTCTTAAGTTCTTTTGTAAAATGGGCCCCTGCATCTCTAACTGGGTTTGGTGAGGACTTCAGCAGACATAAACAGCCAATAAAGAAAGTTGCAAGGTTTTCAAACAAATATCATTAAATCATTGAGTGATATAATAAAAAAATCATTGACAGTTTTTCTACAAATTCAAAATGATGATTTGACAACTTTTGAAATAAATACAATATTTACCTCCCACTTTGGGCTCGGTAAATATTTAACACCTCGGGTAGTCCAAATGATTACATGTGTTTATTGTTTCAAAAATTGCAAATTTGTTTATTGTCTACTCGGGTATCAATTTCAAGAAAAGGTTTTGCATTACTTTATTCGATTGAATATTGGAGAAGAAAGCTTTCCTTGGTATTTAGGATGACAGCTTCATAATTATGCATGTCAACTTTCTTACGTTGTATCTCAAAAACTATCAATGTTACACGGATAATATTACTATATACAGAGAGCCCATGTCCTAGAGAGTATTAGGGTAAAAAATTTCCAACCTCTGAAAATAGGCCTTATATGACCCTAAGTGTACCTTGTTCTTTAATTGGGCTGAAGTTTTTAGATAAATAATGGAATCAAAATTTCTTGGTAATATACAAATCTGTACATTATGTCTGAAATACCTACAAAGTTTCAGGAAATTCAGTGCAGGAGTTATGCTGACAAACTGTTATTTAAATTCCTCAGTGATTTCGATTTGTTAATGAGTGAAAGTCCATGTCCAACACATGACAATTTACACATTTAAATAATTGATGGAAACAAAATTATGATGTAGTCATATGAATTTGTTTATATACTGTACTTATGAAATTATTTAAGGCAAAGCACCAATTTTGATCTCAATAGGGGTCTTTTAAGGTCATAAAATATTTCACATAAAATGTCATTACAAAGGCTGATTCCAGTGGATTTCCTTATTACCTAGCTGGAAATTTTCTTCAATAATAGGCAAAACTCTTAGAACAAAAATAATGGAATCGGAATTTCCTGGTAATATGCAAATCTACACACTGTGTCCTAAATATCTGCAAAGTTTGACGAAATTCTGTGCAGTGGTTTAGGAGGAGTTGCGCTGACAAACTGTTCATTTCTATATTCAAGATATGGCCAAAAATCTAAGTTGAAAAGTGCCGAAATTCCCGGAAAAAATAAAGGAATCGGAATTTCCTGTTAATATGCACATCTACACATTGAGTCCTAAATATCTGCAAATTTGACGAAATTCTGTGCAGCGGTTTAGCAGGAGTTGCGCTGACAAACTGTTCATCTCTATATTCAAGATATGGCCAAAAATCTAAGTTGAAAAGTGCCGAAATTCCCGGAAAAAATAATGGAATCGGAATTTCCTCGTAATATGCACATCTACACATTGTGTCCTAAATATCTGCAAAGTTTGACGAAATTCTGTGCAGCGGTTTAGTAGGAGTTGTGCTGACAAAAAAACAGGACTGACGGACGGACTGACTGACTGACTGACGGACGGGTCAAAAACATTTTACCCCCCGCAACTAGTTGCATGGGGTATAATAAACCTCATAAAAATTAGTGATTTCACACTGTATGCAAGTTAATCTGAAAGTTGTTGAGGCAGTTCTAGTTAAGATATGAGATAATTTTTGATCGATTGGTTGATTGATTGTATGTCGTTTTATATCCCGTTTGAGAATTTTTTACTCATATAGAGATGTCACCATATACTGGTGAAGGGCTTCAAATTTAGATCTTTACTCAGGACCATTGAGCAGTGAGGGATCTTTATCGACCGTACGCCTGCCATGACATGGGGCTTTGGTTTTTTTAAGATCGACCCACAACTTTCACTTCAAAGTGCCGAATGCTTGGGGAAGGAACAGTTGCTACCTATTTTTTGTCAACTTAGGTCAGTCGCAGCTGGGGTTCAAATTCATAACCTTCCAGAGCAAGCGCTCTACCAAAGGAGCTACCATGATAGTCTTTAATTGAGATAATCAAGATATTTTCTTGGTCCTGTGCCACATTGTACGCACACACTCACTTGTATGGTATAAATAAACAATCTACTCACTTGTATGGTATAAATAAACAATCTACTCACTTGTATGGTATAAATAAACAATCCACTTGTATGGTATAAATATACTATCTACTCACTTGTATGGTATAATTGTACCATAGGACTGGCGGTAAATTAAGATTTTGCTTTGATGTTGCTGTGGTGTATTTACCAGAAGAATCACAGCTTTTTAAGTCACGCCCACCTTTTTGCATCAAGCCATGGACTGTGTCAAGACCTTGACTGATGAATTTCAAGACCTTGGCAATGGCTGATGAATGAATTGATATGTCAACATTTTTAATTTCAAAAAATACTAACATTAGCTTGTCAATATTCGCTTCATAAATGTTTCTGTATGTTTTCTCCGTGTATCCTTTAATCAGTAAATGATACGTCCTATCTCGAATTCTCGTTTTTTCTTTCCCATCTCCAAATACATTTAGCAATTTCACTTCAGAAGTCCCCACGTTTTTTTTTTTTTACTTCCAATACCATTTCAAACTTTCATTAAAACGTCACAAATCATTTCATTTTTTCTGTATGCCGACTGCCATAAAGATAAAGTTCAATGGCGATGTTTCCCATACCCATCCCCCCTTTTTCAAAAAAAAAAAATTATCTAGAAAGATAAATTTTCTTTCAGAGTTAACAGCTTGAATATAAAAGCCTACAATCGCTACCCCTATACCTGTACCTGCAAAAAATCATGTTTTCTGCGTCTTCAACATTTCAAAGGTACAATATCTTCACACGTACCAATTCCAAATTTTTTATCAACAACTTGCAGTAGCAGTGCCGCAGTCAAGTATGATCCTTGCAGATGGAGACAGCTATTTATACAGACTCCGGACCGTGGTTTGACACCTCGTAGTAGGCGGTGCTAATTAACAACTCGCTTTTCTCTCATTGGTCCTCTGGTACAAGTAACTTACACAATAGATATTAATTGGTTAGTTGTAAATACACTCACAGTGTTTATTCACTCGGGGCTCCGCCCCTCGTGAATGAAAAACTGTGAGTGTATTTACAGCTAACCAATTAATATCTATAGTGTAACTATAACATAAACAATCCACTTACTTGTATGGTATAAATATACTATCTACTCACTTGTATGGTATAAATAGACAATCTACTCACTTGTATAGTATAAATAGACAATCTACTCACTTGTATGGTATAAATAAACAATCTACTCACTTGTATAGTATAAATAGACAATCTACTCACTTGTATGGTATAAATAAATAATCTACTCACTTGTATGGTATAAATAGACAATCTACTGACTTGTATGGTATAAATAAATAATCTACTGACTTGTATGGTATAAATAGACAATCTACTGACTTGTATGGTATAAATAGACAATCTACTGACTTGTATGGTATAAATAGACAATCTACTGACTTGTATGGTATAAATAAACAATCTACTCACTTGTATGGTATAAATATACTATCTACTCACTTGTATGGTATAAATAAACAATCTACTCACTTGTATGGTATAAATAAACAATCTACTGACTTGTATGGTATAAATATACTATCTACTCACTTGTATGGTATAAATAAACAATCTACTCACTTGTATGGTATAAATAAACAATCTACTCACTTGTATGGTATAAATAGACAATCTACTCACTTGTATGGTATAAATAAACAATCTACTCACTTGTATGGTATAAATAAACAATCTACTCACTTGTATGGTATAAATAAGCTATCTACTCACTTGTATGGTATAAATAAACAATCCCCTTTGCTGATTGTGATCCTGTTGTATGGGATATTCTGTAGCTGTGGAAACTTGATCATATCCACTGATTCCACATCCACTGTGCTGTATCCACCTTTACTATTCCATCCTTTCTCTCTTACCGAGTGGAGATACTTCTATTGAAACAAAATTTATAATTTAGGATGAAAAGCAAAGGAGTACTTGACCTACAAATGCCATATAACAGATATTTTCTGCAGCTGTCCAATTTTTATGGAATTTTGCGGATGATAAGAGATAAATTTGTAAAGATTGCAAACACAAAATTTTCCTTAGATATTCATTTCCGTATACTGTAAATTCAATTTTTTTTTTACACAAAAGTGGTAAGTGGAGCTGACATCAAGGTAGTTTTTAATTTGATGTAACTTATAATTTTATTGCAATAAATACATAATAAATTACAAAAAAAAATTGCTTACTTGGGGGATGAAATACATGTAAATGTTACTTGGACACTAAGTTAGCAGAGCATCAGAGCTTATTTTAGTCGTGATTCACCCTGAACTCATCAATATATCAATCTTATACAAAACTAGAGGTACTGCGAGGGAGCTTACAAAATGATACCCATCTGATTCAATTTTTTTTAGTGTCCTTTCAAATTTTGCATTGCCAAAAAAGATCTTTGTTATCCACTGATCATAAGTAAACTTTAAAAATCCAATGTTTCTCTACTAGAAAATTCTAGATTTGACCTGACTTAAACACTTTTCATACCACTGACCTTGAACTTGTTAGAATGACCTTGGGTCAAGGTTGGGACACACCATCAGGTCATAAAAAAAGTTTTGTACCTAGTACAAGCGCCCAGTGTTCTCCTTAACAAAGTTATAGGCCATATAAGAATTCTATATTTTTTCTGACATTGATCTTGAACTTGCAGGAATGACCTCAGCTGAAAGTCAAAACATACCCTCTGGTCATGAACAATCTTTGACCATGCATGAGCTTCCAATAATTCTCCATTAAAAAGTTGTAGCCTGGACAAGAATTTTATACCTTTTCTGCTAGTCACATTGAAATTGCCAAAATGACCTTGGTTCAAAGTCAAGACACTCCCACTTGTTATGAACAATCATTGTACCAAGTATGAGTTTCCACAGATTCTCTATTACAGAGATAGAGCACTTAAAAGATTTTTATACTTTTTCTGTCATTTACCTTGAACTTGCCAGAATGACCTTGTATCAAAAGTCAAGTCACTCCTTCAAGTCATAAGTGATCTGTGTACCACGTATGAGCTTCCAATTAGTTAAGTTATATATAGCCCATATAAAACTGCATGGACAGATGGTTAGCTAGACAGACAGAGAGTAGATAGATGGACAGATGGACAAGGTGATTTCTATATACCCTCCCACCAACTTCGTTTGCAGAGGTATAAATGCCTAAAATGTTGGAGTGTTCTCTCAAATCCTAAATATCTGGGAGTTATATTTCATAAAAAAAAAAAAAAATTCAATGCAACCGCACTGAAAACACAGAAATTGATTTGCCACATTTAAGAGGTCAAATCACAAAAATTTCCACTCCCAGAAAATACCCATTATACATTTTTTTTTTCAACAATTACTGTTAAATGAAAATAAATCTTGCTAGGATGAAATATGTCTAGTATTACTAATATTTCAAAGTCAAACCTTGTCAAAGAAGATAAATTCTTTCTCTCCATCCAAGAGACAGTTCATGTTGTCAAGAGAGTCATAATGGAGGTGGGACTTAGTGTCCCCACTACTGAACCACATAATCATGGCAAAGAGGAAGTTCTGGAACCCCCCACACTGTAGACTCAGGGGCAGGTTAAAGTCCTCTAAAATCATTGAAAATAACAAGAAATAATAGTAAATAGAGCAGAAACTCTCGTTTGACAATGAATAATGTCATGAGTTAAGACAAGGAGCTATAATTACCAGTACAGTGTAGATTGCAATGTTGGACCTCCTTAATACTCCATTTTTAGGCAAAATTGAATAATTATAGATATCCATAGTTTATTGAGTCCATTACTTTGGAATTTTATGAACAAACATAAATCTACAATACACAAGAGGTGGTCCACAAGAAACCATCCCCTAAATGTCTCAATCTCAAACTATGGATATCAACAAGGCACTGTTAGAGTCAGAGGCCTGTTCAACAGGTGAACAATAGCAGACATGTCTGTTACAGGAATAAGGAATGCTGGCAAGCAATTTTGTCAGCTCTTGTGCTCATGTGAACACATAGAATGTTTTCATAAAAAAATTTAATTGAGTTATTCAAATGTCACTTTGCTAATCTCTATAAAGCATTAATAGTCTCTACATTACAAACTTAAGGTCAAATCCTCTGTGACCTTGACCTAAACAAAATGGGCTTTGTTCTGGGTCAAGGCAGCAAATCATTATTAATACATGTTTTGTCTACAATGAGCTCCAACATTAACAAAGTAATGAAAAGAATATAAATTGTTTAGCTGACACCAACTAAACAATACAACCATGAAATCAAAATTATAAAAGGTCAACATACTTTTCATTTCTGGTGTGAGCTCAAACACTTGGTACATATTCTCTGTCTGATAATCATGAACAAATTTAGACATGGTCATATTCTGATATAATCCACTGGTCCGGTTCTCCTTTTTATTTAATTCTATTTCCACTTGAATGTTTCCAAAATTCTCCCTGAAATTTAATTGATATGTATAGGTGCTAGGAGATTAACCTATAGTGAAACAAGATAGGCCACAACTCACAATGCTCCTCCATATTACCATATGCTTTCTCTCTCTCTCTTCCCCACCCTCTCTTTTTCTCACTCTCTCTTACTCTTTCTCTTTTTCTCTCTCTCTTTTCCCCATCCCTCTCTTTTTCTCTCTTTCCCACCCTCACTCTTTCTCTCTTCTCCATCCCACTCTTTCATTCCCTCTCTTTCACCCCCCTCCCCTCTCTCTCACTCAACCTTAAACTTACAGGGGCATAAAAACCCCTAGAGTAATTTTTTTACCTGAGATATTTATCTGTCCATAGTTGGTATGCTGGGATATTGTCCTTTTCCAGGACTTTCCTCATCACTAATGGCTGACTCTTCTTAACAAATTCCTCGTGAAAGACCCAGGGGGAGGGGAAATTCCTCATAACTAAAATCTCTCCAGTGGGATCCCTATGGCCTCCCAGGGGCTTCAAGTGTCCAGGAGGGTTAGCTTTAACTTCACAAAAAGCCACTGCTAACAGCACAAAAACCAGTAAACTGCTCTTCATCCTTTAATTTCCTACAGCTGATGGAGAGAATTTGAAATTGTGCAGAACAGATTTATGAAAAGTCGGTTAAGTCAAAGACAGGTAGAAAAAAGTGCAGTATCACAGTGGTTGTAACTAGGGATCACCCTACATGACACAACAAGTAGTGCAGCAGCCTTGATATTTGTCACAAAATGCAGATCTGCACATTTACAAAACCACATAATCAGGAGCTTTACATCTGGTTTTTATTAAAATTCAAAATTGCACAATTTAATGCATTAAAAAAAATCTTTTTGGTGGCTAAGAATTACCTTAGAGGACACATAAAAAGTACCATAGTTTAATTAGCAGTCTTGATATTGTTTAAGAAAAATGCAGTTCTTAATACACATTTATGTAATACATGCTACAGTATTTCAAGTTTCAAACAATCTTTCACCTGAACTTATTTATACTAAGAATATATTGGAAGAAAATAATCCAATGATAATAAAAAAAAAAGTGAAACCTCACATATGTATAGAGATAACTCACTGCCTGCTCAAATATCTGAATATACATGTTCTATAAAGTTCAATCAAAAATACATGTTGTAATCATTTTTTTTTTTTTTTTGGTGCCTGGCATTAATTTACCTCATTGTCAAATCTCATCAAAATTCAGATGTATTCCTGCATTTTTTTGTACTTAATTCATAAATTGACATTATGACATGTTGAACAGGATGTTGCACATATTTTAAAACTAAAACACAAAAATAAATAATTCTTTATGTGTATCTTCCTCAACTTGTACGTTATTTTATTTACAATTTTTCAAAATAAAGCTTATAAAATGCAAATCCTCAATTATTATATTAATTTTTTGTAATTTATCCAAAAAAAATTAAATAATTGCTTCCAGTAGGCTAAAATTTATCAGTTCATAAATTTATCATTTATTTATCATTTGATATAGATTTATATAAATAAAAGCAGTAAAAAAGTAAATAACAAATCCATGACATGCATAAAAAAGCATGCATGTCATTGACCATACTAGTTCATATATAAGCCACATTTAATTTTTTTTCAATAAAAATGAAATAATTATGCAGAGATTTAACTAATTTTCCCTCCTAAATTATTAATCATGGGGGAGGAGGGGATGGGGTGGGGTGTTAGATCTTAAACCTAAAAATGTGTTGAGAAAAAAATAGATCTTTCATGACATATTGTATTATCTGTATAACCAGATGTAGAACTGTTTGTAAACAAAAGGTCTATCTATATATTAGAAATATAGATTGAAAAATTATTATGAACAATATATACATGTATGTTAAATACAATGACATACCACTGTCATTTCTTGCTCTTTTGTACAAAGTAGTCACTTCTTCACTTTTTTTTCTCGTGAATTGTTCCCATGGGTGCTGATTGTGCCCCATTGCTGGCAGACCTAAATTTGTATTCAATAATTATGAAGCAGAATTTATTCAAAAACAACTCCATGAAAAGAAGAAGTCCTTTGCTGTGACCTTTAATTCCAAATTTAGATATTCTAACGTTTTATCAATTAACAATATTCATTTTCATTTCTACATTGATTCAATATAAACCTTTGAACTCAGAATAAAAGACACCACTGAGTGTGACACACCTGTTTCATATTTGGATATTTTACTAGCGAAAGATATTAATGGCAAATTAACAACAAATTTTATGATAAACATGATGACTTCAACCTATCTATCGTCAACTTCCCTATTTATGTAGCAATATACCATTGTCACCTGTGTGTGGGGTTTGTGTCTCCCGGTTGATTCAGTATGCAGGAGCATGTTCTGCGTATGAACAGTTTCTAGAGCAGGGCAAGCTGTTGACAAATAAATTGATGATACAAAACAGGGTATCATCAGTCTTGTTTAATGTCAACATTTCACTATGTTCGATGCAATGACCTTGTTAGCAAATCCAATCTATCATTAAGTCGGATTTTGACTGACGTTTTTCAAGCCATCATTTTCACACTGCATGTCTGAAGATTTTTCCATTTGCCTGATCATGACACTGGTGAATAAGATTTAATGTCCCCTCACTTTCACAAAAGCGGGGAACACTAATGAGACAGCCACATAGAACCACTGGCCCAAAAAAGGTAGAGAAAGTGTAGATTTCAAATCAACAAGAGGCCCAAGGGCTTTAATGGTCACTTGAGTACAATACAACAATTTAGAGGATCCATAAACTGATGAATGAAGCTTTGTTGCCAAAAAGCAAGAAAAATAGTATGATTAGCATCAACAAAATCATTGGTCTAGTATCTATCTCCCCCCCCCCCCCTTTATCACTATTCCCATGCAAACTATTAACAAAATGTCTATTTTTTAACCCCATATTATTACTTCTCACATTGGCCTCTCTTGGCCTTTGAAGAACATTTAAAAAGATAAGTTATTTTTGTCGAATTTTTATTCATCTATTATTTCCAAGTCTACCTGATCATTAAAACTATGAAAGTACTTTCTGTATTATACAATAAATATTCTTGCATAATTCTTTTATTCTACTAACCTTTTAAATACATTATTTACAGTGATTAATTATCCAAGGTGAGTGGCAAAGGGGAATAACTTTGCTCAGCAGAATACAAGTTAATAGAGCCCTGGCCAGGACCAGAACACTTGACTAAATGGTCCAGGTGTTCAAAATTCTGGTAAAAATACCCTTGCATATTAAAACTTTTACTCTGTTTGCCTCGAATATGCCCAGAAGCATCTGAAGATTTTCAAAGAAATGCATTTTCACTAGATTATCAAATACATAAAGCCCCATCCTTACACCAGAACATCTGAGCCATTGGCCATGAACTCACAATTCTGGAAGAAGCACCCTTGCTCATCATAACTATACACTTGTTTCTTTGCTTTATAACCAGGAGTAGAAAAAAATATTTTGAAAGAAATTATGCATTTTCACTATAAAATCAATAGAGCCCCCCCCCCTCCTTCACTAGAACCCCTTACCCAGGGGCCATGAATTTCAGTATTTGGGAAGAGGCATTCTTCCTTATCATAAACATGTCCTTCCTTTGTTTGAAAAATACCCAGGAGCAGATAAGAAGATTTTGAAAGAATTTATGCATTTTCCCTATATAATCAATAGAGCCCCGCCTTAACACCAGAACCCCTGACCTAGGGGCCATGAAAATCATAATTTCTGAGGAGGCAGCCATGCTCATCATAACTATGTACTTAGTTTATTTATACCCAGTAGCAGAGATGATTTTCAAAGAATTAATGTATTTTCACTATATAATCAATAGAACCCCGCTCTAACACTTGAACCCCTGACCCTGGGGCCAAAAAATTCACAATTTTGGAAGAGGCACTCCTGCTCTTCATAACTATCTACTTAGTTAGTATATTTAATACCCAGGAACAGAGGAGAAGATTTTCAAAGAAATAATGCACTTTCACTATATGATCTATATAGCCCCACCCTAGCACCAGAACCCCTGACCCTGGGGCCATGAATTTCACAATTTTGGTAAAGGGCTTAATGCTTATTACAATCATGCCAACAGTTTGATTGCTTGATGTCCAGGAGTAAAGAAAAAGATTTTTAAAGATTGCATTAATTTTAGTGGTTTTTGCCCCATCCCTCAGGCCCCAGGGGGGCAGGGACCATGAAATTCATAATTTTTGTTCCCCTTCACCCATAGATGCTATATGCTAAAATTGGTTGAAATTGGTTGAGCATTTTCAGAGAAGAAGCTGAAAATGTTCAAATGTTAACGCACGACGCACACCGACAGACAAAAATAGGTCACCTGAGTAAACTCAGGTGACCTAAAAATCATCAAAATTGCAAAGATTTTGTAGATGACTGTGTCATAGATTAAGAGGCATGAGATACACCATTATGATCCAAGGCAACCAATCTGACAAGTAGAGATATTTTCTTGTACAGTGGAGATTTAAATATGTGTAAATTCTGTGTGGAATTAAGAAACAAAATGCATTGCAATGATGGGAGTTTAAATAAATAATTTTCACATAGTGTCCATTTACACAGAGTTTTATTATGCAACATATATTCTTCCCCTAACATAAACTCAATATTGCAATATGCCACAGAATACAAATGATGTACTACCAATACTCCGCAACACCAAAATAAGCATATATACACAATGCACTTGCATAAAATGTGAGGGAATATTGTATATAAAGTTTATCAAAATGAAAACAAACTGGAATGCCATTTAGAATGAAATGTACCAAAAAAAAGTTAAAATCAACCACAAAAAACCTATTTTGCATAGTGTTCTGGAATGAGGAAAGAAGAGGGCACCTGCTTTGAAATGTAAATACATAAGTGAGGCACCAACATCACTAATGCTTGTTTTAATCCATAACATTTGCTTTAGTCACCACCAGTTGCTTTTACCACCAACACTTGTTTTTACCACTAACACTTGTTTTTACCACGAACACTTGTTTTTACCACTAACACTTGTTTTTACCACGAATACTTGTTTTTACCACTAACACTTGTTTTTACCACGAACACTTGTTTTTACCACAAACATTTGTATTTACCACTAACACTTGATTATACCACTAACACTTGATTTTATCACAGTTCCTCATGAGGACTCCTTAAAGGTTCCTCTTCCATGAACAAATTTCCATCATCTGCCATTTTAATTAATTTTTCCTTCTCAAGGTCATCAGGAGTTTTTACAGATGAAGGTTGGTCTTCTTTTGACCTTTGACCTTCATCCTGTACACTATATGAATCCTCTACTACAAGGAACCCTGGTTCCTCATCTTCAGATATTTCTATATCCTCATCTCCTTCCTCTTCAAATGAAACCAAATACCCCGTTATATTGGAGAATATCTTGCCGAACAATTTGGGAAATTTTTCTGTCGCTGCTTTAATGTCCATTGAAAATAATTCATCCCAAGATAGCACTTTGTTACCATCCTTGTCAATGAAGGAGAACACCTGGAAATATGTTATTTCATGTTATGTTTGAATCAAACAGGAACATTCCTTTATAGTAATAGTTTATTTTCAAAGTACACACAGCATCAATCCAATTTCTATTAGATCTTTTATCTACTCCCAAACTTTGTAGCAACATATCAAATCTGGGAGTGGTTCAAAGAGCTCATATCAATCATACTGTCATTGCATACATGTGTGTGAAAAAAAAAAGAACAAGGTATGATAAGGATCCCATTTGACTCCATGTATAAAGCAAATTCATTAGCAAGTGATAAATCAATCAATATTCCATGTGTTACAGGCATTTTTTTATGAATGACATCACAAAAAAGCCAAATTCATGCTTGAAAATTTTGGGCCCAAATCCATGCTAATTATACCTAATTCTCTGACTTAAATTGTAAAGTTTGATTTTTATCTGTGTCATCTTGCTAATAACACATTAAAATAAGAGGACCTTTTCCCTTTGTTTTAATGAAAATATTGAACTTATATTCTTGCATTACCATAGGTCTAAGCTAAGGGGCCAAGACTTAACCAAACTTCAATCCACACACCATGGGGATGCTTTATTATTAATGACTGGAGAAAGCTTATAGCTCAGGATAAAAAGCTTAAAAATGATTACAATCAAACCTTGTTATCTCAAACTTAATGGGACCATTAAAAACAAGAGGCCCATGGGCCACAACACTCACCTGAGTAACTTTGGCCATGCTGTTCTTTACCAGATTTCCCCCCTTCTAATACTTATTGTGGCCCCGCCCTACCCCTTGGGGTCATGATTTTAACAATTAAAAATCTACACTATCCCAGGATGCTTCCACATAATTTTCAGTTTTTCTGGCCCAGTTGTTCTTGAGAAGAAGATTTTAAAAGATTTTTCCTATATATTTCAATGTAAAACTTGGATTCCCTATTGTGGCCCCGCCCTACCCCCGGGGGTCATGATTTTTACAATTTAGCATCTACACTACCCCAGGATGCTTCCACATTAGTTTCAGCTTTTCTGGCCCAGTTGTTCTTGAAAAGAAGATTTTAAAAGATTTTTCCTATATATTTCAATGTAAAACTTGGATTCCCTATTGTGGCCCCGCCCTATCCCCGGGGGTCATGACTTGAATAATTTAGAATCTACACTACCCCAGGATACTTCCACATAAGTTTCAGCTTTTCTTGCCTAATGGTTCTTGAGAAGAAGATTTTTCAAGATTTTTCTTACATATTTCAATGTAAAACTTGGATTTCCTATTGTGGCCCCGCCCTACCCCGGGGTCATGATTTTTACAATTTAGCATCTACACTATCCCAGGATGCTTCCACATAAGTTTCAGCTTTTCTGGCCCAGTTGTTCTTGAGAAGAATATCTTAAAAGAAATTTCCTATTTATTTCAATGTAAAACTTGGATTCCCTATTGTGGCACCGCCCTATCCCCGGGGGTCATGATTTGAATAATTTAGAATCTACACTACCCCAGGATACTTCCACATAAGTTTCAGCTTTTCTGGCCTAGTGGTTCTTGAGAAAAAGATTTTTAAAGATTTTTCCTATATATTTCAATGTAAAACTTGGATTCCCTATTGTGGCCCCGCCCTACCCCCGGGGGTCATGATTTTAACAATTTAAAATCTACACTATCCCAGGATGCTTCCACGTAAGTTTCAGGTTTTTTGGCCCAGTGGTTCTTGAGAAGAAGATTTTTAAAGATTTTTTCTATATATTTCAATGTAAAACTTGGATTCCCTATTGTGGCACCGCCTTACCCCCAGGGGTCATGATTTTAACAATTTAAAATCTACACTATCCCAGGATGCTTCCACATAAGTTTCAGGTTTTTTGGCCTAGTGGTTCTTGAGAAGAAGATTTTTAAAGATTTTTCCTATATATTTCAATGTAAAACATGGATTCCCTATTGTGGCCCCGCCCTACCCCCGGGGGTCATGATTTTAACAATTTAAAATCTATACTATCCCAGGATGCTTCCACATAAGTTTCAGGTTTTTTGGCCCAGTGGTTCTTGAGAAGAAGATTTTTAAAGATTTTTTCTATATATTTCTATGTAAAACATTGATTCCACATTGTGGCCCCGCCCTACCCCCGGGGGTCATGATTTGAACAATTTAGAATCTACACTACCCCAGGATGCTTCCATATAAGTTTCAGCTTTACTGGCCCTGTGGTTCTTGAGAAGAAGATTTTTTAATGACCCCACCCTATTTTTGTCTTCTCTTGATTATCTCCCCTTGTGAGGGGACTTGGCCCTTCATTTTAACAATTTAAATTCCCCTTCATCCAAGGATGCTTTGTACCAAGTTTGGTCAAAATTGGCCCAGTGGTTCTTGAGAAGAAGTCAAAAAATGTGAAAAGTTTACAGACGGACGGACCGACAGACAGACAGACGGACAGACAGACGGACAGACGGACGGACGGACGACGGACAAAATGTGATCAGAAAAGCTCACTTGAGCCTTCGGCTCAGGTGAGCTAAAAACTACAAAAAATCCAAAGCTTTCAGATACTGAGGGTAAAAAACTTTTAAATAGAATAACTGAATGGAACTTCCAACTCACTTTGACATATCCACGGTATTCGATATGTCAACTGGTGTTCAAGATACCAAAGTTCAACTGTATTTCATGAAGAAATAGCTAAGAAAAAAGAAATTCTGCATTGTTTTCATAATATTTGGTTTTATATTGTTTGTTTTTACTGAAAGTAAGAATTTCATACCTCATCTAGACTTTGGACATCTTCCTCTGTAATGGAAGGGATTTCCCTTTGCATGTATTTACTGAATGACCTCTTGTAGAAACTCATAACATCCTCAAACAGTTCCAAGAACAACATTCTAAGGGAAAAATACAATGTACACAACTACATAGCATATAACTCCCACAAAAATGCATATGCTACCTCAATTAGAACCCATTTCTTATTATTAAAACCAAAGCCCTTCTCAACATTGCTTTTGTTGATTTTACTTACAGTCTGAATTTTAAAAACTCAAAATATAATGCCAGAATAAAATCATTTTCACATCAAAAATATCACTGACAAATCACAGATTTTTATATATCTATTTTTGTTGTTAATTTTTTTTTTTTAATTTAAACAAAAATTTGAATAAACTTATATATGACAATCTCTAAATATGACTGAGATCATGCATGTATGTACCTGAACTCCGAATCATGATCTGCCTCCTTCAGAGTAGCTAGGGGGACACTAGAATTCTGGTACGGATCCACCCCTTCACAATCTGGATCCGAGCTGTTAAACCAGGGCAAATGATGGAACCAAAAATTAACAGCTAAGTTTCTCCCTGGCTTAGAATCCACATAGTGTAACCATCTGCAAAGGATTATAGATTAAGGTTCATTTACCTTCTGATAAGAGAGATAACTGTTTACTGTTTATTCCTTCTTAAAAATATCAAGTTAAAAATTCATTTCTATCAAATGTTGCCCCACAAGGTATGCTTAAAGTGTGAGTAATTTATCATAAATTAATTAGATTTCTTCTGAAGAATGATTAGTGTTAAAGCATAATTTTAAATGTGTGAACATGTGTGAAATTCATGCATTTATCAAACCAAATTAATAAATGAACACACCCTTTAATATACATGGCCCTTTACTGATCTGGAGAGACTCAGACTTCAAAAAAATCAAATAAATGCTATGAAAACTAGATGTGTCATTGTGACACAAATGAACCCACTGCCTTGTAATAAAAAATACTAAAGGCTGGAAATGAAACAAAAATTGAATAACATGTTGCTGTTACTGCTTTTTTGAAGGAGTTGTCATTACCACAACATACTTTAGCTGCATAAAAGTGGTGATCATGCATGCAACTTAACAAACGCATAAAAACAAGTCTGAAAAACAGTGGGTAATAAGAAATGTTCAAAATCAAAGGGCAATAACTTTTGGAAATTGATATGTATCATTCGACATGAAACTCCAATTAAATCTGTAAGTCATCAATATAAACCCACACACTCCAAAATCAGCTCATTATCTACAAGCAAAAATAAAAAAAATTAAAAAAAAAAAAGGCTGGAAAGCAGTGAAATTTTCAAAGTCTAAGGGCAGTAACTTTTATGAAAATATTGGTCAATCACTGTGAAACTCAATCTTGATCTGTAAGTCATTGATATTAATACACATACTAAAAATCAGCTCATTATCTACAAGCACAGCGAAAGCAAAAAAAAAAAAATTCTGCAAAACTAACTGATGGAATATAACTAACTGATGGAATATGACAAACAGAAAGGGGTTTCACTGTCTATCTCGACCCCTGACCATTTCATGACAAGGCAAGAAAAAGGATCTTTAAAATTTTTACCCTACAAAATTTGAGAATACTTGCAAATCAAAATGGCATGCATGTACCGGTATATTTACCATAAATCTGGAAATTTTTACTTTGATTTATTTTCACCAATTTCAGTTAAAATCCTAGTAGTTTGAAATTATTATTATTTTTTTTTTTTTTAGCTCAGATACACCATATATAGCTTTAAGGTTCTTTTATATTGAAAAATGTAAAATTGACAGTTAGCAGGCATTGCAAATAAAATATAATTTAAGCATACAGTGTACCCAGTAAGTGGTTATGAAGTCCGTCACAGGAAAAAATCTACATGAGCAAAACATTGCTTATTTTCTGTTTTTAAGCAAAATATTTTGGTGAATATACTGCATTCACAAAATTACTAAAAATTTAACAATAAAATTCCAGATTTTGGCTGAAAGAGTGGCTTAAGAGTTCTAAAACAAGCAGTTAAGATTTGATTTTTTTTCCACATGCCAATGCACATGTACCCACTCACTTGTATGGTATAAATAAACAATCCCCTTTATTGATTGTGATCCTGTTGTATGGGATATTTTGTAGCTGTGGAAACTTGATCATATCCACTGACTCCACATCCACCTCACTAAATCCACCTTTACTGTTCCACCCTTTCTCCATCACTATGTGCCGATACTTCTATTGAAACAAAATTTATTAGGATCTAAAGAAAAGGAGTGCTTGTTCTGTTTACTGTAAATCAATTTTTATTCATGAGAATTTGACTTTTAAGTTATCATGAGAAATGGTCTGCTTCCGAAAATTCCATTCTTGTGTTTAATCTTACTAAATTAAACATGTTAAGGATAATTATAAAAAGCAATCACCAAATTTCATGAAAATTTTGTTTAGCTTATAATTACCAAAACAACAATCTTGCCAAAACAAGGTGTCATGAAAATTTAGTGATCAACAGTATAGTTCAACATTTTACTGTAAAGCCTGCAGATTTTTAAGTCTAACCCTATCAATAAGGATGATTTCTTTCTTTCCATCCAACAGACAGTTGATGTTGTCAAGGTGATCGTTATGGAGGTGGGACTTGGTGGCGCCACTGCTGAACCACATAATCACCATCTGGAGGAAATTCTGGAATCCTCCACACTGTAGACTCAGGGGCAGGTTAAAGTCCTCTAAAATCATTGAAAATAACAAAAGATAGAGAAATAACTAAAGCAGAGACTCTCGTCTGATTATGAATAAAGTCCTTGATTAATTACAGTACATGTACCACTGTAAATGTCATATTTGCAGACTGCAATGTTGGAGCCCCTTCATTGTTTTTTTAGAACCAAAAATCAGAGCCAAATAGAAACAGTTTCCCCTAGGAAATGTGATCATTTTTTCCTGAAATAAACTTTATTTTCCCAATTTTTTAAAATAAAGATTTCAATGTCAAATTCTTACAAAATTGGATGAATGAGTCCAAACCTTATTTTTTGGATTCTGACATGGTTTGAACAACATGAATCTACACTACACCAGAATCGTCCTCAAAGAACCATCCATTTGCTTCAATTCAATCAAAAAAGATGAAATGATGCAAACCAGGTGAGCATTTAAAATGTGTTCATGAGAAGTCTAATTGATCATAAATTATTAAACTGATACCAACTAACAAGTCAACCATGAAATTATAATTCATTAAAGGTCAACATACGTTTCATTTCTGGTGTTAGATCAAACACCTGATAGACATCCTCCTTCTGATAAACATGAAGAAATTTAGCCATGGTTACATTTCTCAGCATCCCCGCACTTCGGTTCTCCTTTTTACCTAGTTCAACCTCCACTTCAATATTTCCGAATTTCTCCCTGAAATTCAAATGATTTAATTTCATTTAAGAATAAAGACAAAATATACAGCTTCCTCAGCAGAGGACTTTTAAATTCCTTGATTTAAAAAAAAGCATCAGAAAACTCACAAAGAAATAAAGATCCCTGCAGTGTGCTTATATCAATGACCTTGACCTTTTGACTCTGACCTTTGTTAGTAAATGACCACAAAATCTATGTCGTGTTTTTCTATCAATCTATTCCAACACAGTAAAGTCTGCGGTTGAAATAAGCACACGACAAATATGTAAGAAATATCCTATACACTAATTCTGTCTCATATAAAATGTGAGATTACTTAAACTATGTTAATGTATCTGTTGGTGAAATAAAATGCCTGTCGGCTACAATGCTCAATTGAGTTATATTACTCTCTCTATCTCTCAGATAAATAAATTATGTACTTAAATCATCTTGAAGAAAAAACAAAAGCTACATACTAGATTATTTATATACACAAACAATGATAAACTCTTTAGATTCAAAATCATGTAAACTTCAATCTACACTACCTGTGAATGCTTGCATATTAATAATCATTGCCCTGCTGTTCTTTACAAGAAGCTTTTTAAAGATTTTTTCCATATATCCCATGTAAAACTTCAATACACTACTGTGCCCCCCCCCCCTTCCCCTCAGGGGTCATGTTTTGAACAAATTTGAATCTACACTACTTGAGGATGCTGCCATATAACTATGATTAATCATGGTCCAATGCTTTTCTTGAGAAGATTTTTACAGATCGTTTTTTCCCTATACATTTCTATGTAAAATTTTCATCCCCACCCTTCCCCTGAGGCCATGATCTGAACAAAATTGAATCTGCATGCATTACCTGATGATGCTTGCACATTAATATGAATAGTTAAGTCTTTGCATCATGAGAAGAAATTTTTGAGGATTGTGTCCTTCATCATGTTCATGTTTATATTCCACATGTTTTAAACTTTGATCCTCTATAATTATTGTTGTCCCAACCTAACCCCCTCCCCCTCCCAGGTGCCATGATTTGAAGAAACTTGAATTAACAGTATGTCAGGAAGCTTTCACTTATGCTTAATCACTACTGGCCCAGTGGAGAAAAAGATTTTTATATAAACCCACTCTTTAATTGCCTTTTCTGAATCATCTCCCCTTGGAATGGGGTGTGGCCCTTCAATTCAAGAAACTTGAATTCCCTACACCAAAAGATGCTTTGTAGCAAGTTTGCTTAAAAATGTCCCAATGGTTCAAGAGAAGAGGATGAAAATGTGACAATGGATAAATTTTGATCAGAAAAGCTCAATAGAGCCTTTGGCTCAGGTAAGCTTAAAAAAAGAAAACAATGAATAATTTTTTACCTGAGGTATTTATCGGTCCACAGTCGGTATGCTGGGATATTGTCCTTCTCCAGGACTTTCCTCATCACTAATGGCTGACTCTTCTTAACAAACTCCTCATGAAAGACCCAGGGGGAGGGGAACTTCCCCGTGACTGGAATCCCTCCAATAGGATCCCTATGGCCTCCCAGGGGCTTTAAGTGGCCGGGAGGGCTAGCTTTTACTTCACAAAGTCCCACTGCCAACAGCACAAAAGCCAGTAAACTACTCTTCATCATTTAACTTCCTGCTGAAGGAGAGAATTTAAATTAGTTCAAAATAGATTTGTCAAAAAAAAAAAAAAAATTCATCAATCCTATCAATATTAGAGACCTAAAAAAAAACCCAATGCCATGAATGCAAAGCATGAAACACTGTTTCAACTAACTTTTCATTTGAGCTAGTATAGAATAAGAATATTGGTCAAAAATAAAATGAGGTACTAGAAATGCCTGCATGCTACCTGCATAAATATCTGTTTTGTAACAACAATCGCTAGTTTTTATGTTAATTACATGTACTTACCTGTGTTCAGTCTCAATAAAATTTTCATAATCCCTGCATTTTATGTTTCATTAATTAACAACTAAGACATGTTGAACAGGATGTGCCACATAATTAAATAAAAATAGACATGATAGATGTCATCCTTCAAATGTATTTCAATCCTTCTCAAATGTACATAAAAAATATTACCCTGTTTACAATCTTTTATTTATTTGAACATCCATTCATTCTATACTTAATTTCTAGAGAAATAATATGAAAATACAAATCCTTATTATTTATTAATTTATAATTTCTCTGACACTTAATAGTGAATATCAATTAATTCATGTCTGCTCTTTAAGTCTTGTGTGAAATAAATGAGTAAAATGTTTTCAGTAAAAAAAAAAAATCCTGTAGCTGAAAGCTATCATTTCATAGTATTATCACAGATATAAATAGACATATGATTTTTTTTTTATGCTGGTGTTATCATTTAATCATCTTTTGATTCACACGTAGGTAAACACAGGAAAAAAGCATGAATACCTGTTGTCAATGTATTATTCATGCAATTGCTACAGGATTATTTATGGGGGGGGGGGCGCATCAAATTGCAAAATTAATGCACATGCACAGTCTTTTAATATTTCTATCATGGGGGTTGGGTCCCAAAGTCTTATGTTTTGAATAAGACATTACGGTAATTCACTATGCCAGTACTTACGAATAAACATACTCTATATGGAGAAAAATTAGAAGAATTAAAAAATTATAAACATAATCGACTTGTTATTTACGACAACATGCCTCACCAGTTCGCGATCCACTCCTCAATGTTCCTATGGTCCTTTCGATACACCTTTTTTTCACTTCCTTTTAAATGTTGTTTGTATCTTATTCATCCATTTTCCATAAATCGGGCGATTTAATAACCAGGTGCTATGTTAATTACTTTTATACGATGTAACAGCTGTAGAAAACATCAATTCAGTTTTAAAAATCAGCGTACACAGTGATTAATCACGGACAACATTTCATGCCGACTTGTTTACATTTATTCTCGGGCTTTTTCCATATCGAAAGCAGAAAAGTTCCGAGGCGGAAGATGCACGGAAAGTCGAAATACGAATTGCATTGTGGGGTCAACCACGTGACCAAAATAACAGCGAAGCGAGATAATGAGACAGCCATATAGCACCATGAGTCCAAAAAGGTAGAGAAATTGCAGTTTTCAAATCAAAGAGCATCATTCTTACAATTTGTCAAGAAGTATTGACTCTATTGTCAGTTTGTATATACTAGGTAAAGTGTTTAGGACTGCTTGGTGACCAAAATGAAATCATGTTTTAGTGGCAGGAAATTGATGCATTAAGATACATTAATGTTCTCTTTTTGTTTGCGCCTGACAGTGGTAAACGTGCATGCTTAAGTCCGATTGTCTCTGCGTCAACCCTTGCATAATGATCAGTTTCAATTTTGAGAAGTTCTGCACGAATCACTTGCATAATTATTATCAAATGAATATTAGTAAACATGCACACAACTGAAATTATCCAAAATGTAGTGCTCACAATCGGAACCAAAAACTGATATGAAAGCATGCAATAAAACTCAGATGGGGGAGGGTCCCTGGTACCTGATCCTGCTTCTGATGTTTTTGGAGGTCGATCCATGTTTGCTCTGCTCCCGATTTGTATTGATATTTAATAAATGCATCGATTATGAACTTAAATACTGTACGTTCATTATTACCATTATAGTTTCATGAATTGGGATGCAGCTGAAAATGTATACATGTACCATTTTATAATTTACATTTGCCAATATGTTTTATTATGTCGATCAGTAATTTGGTATAAATTCTGTTGCAACTATCCACACCAGTAACATCATGAGTAACTAGATTAATTATTCTTGATGTATAATCACATGGGATCTTGTGTGACCCCTGAACTACTCTTCGTCCTTCTTTTTTCTTTATTAATTATTTCAAGTTCAACAAACAACAGCTACTTATTTTGATTATGCAGGAAGAAAGAAAGAAGCATGAAGATGGGGGGCAAAGGGATGAAAATATGAATAATATAATATATGAATATAGAATATCATAAAATATGAACATAGAATATAGAATGCGTAATAGGGTAAGCAGTCTGGTATACGTACAATCTGTGTATGTGAGGTAATTGCATCCTTATAAATGTATCAAGTTTGATCCAGAGGAAGGGTTATAGTCTTTGAGATAGAAATTATTCAGAAGTATAAGTAATACCTATTTTTTGCTTAGCAAGAGGATGATAGCTGTAATTGCTGTAATTAAAGCATGTAATAATTCATGCATAAGTGACTTTACCCTCATCATATTGTTACTACATTGCTAACATTTACCAGAATCAGTTGCGATCTTCATACATACCCCCCACCCCCCTTAAAAAAATAGTGCCTCATTTTTATTCATTGACTGAAATCCAATGAATAAAAGCTAGCGTAAGGTCTAAGTTTGGCATGCTCCTATATGTATAGTTGGTGATGTCTTGATGTAAATAAAAAAAAATTCCTAGGGACATTAAACTTATATACACAGTACATACATCTACAGTAAATCAATCTGGTATGAACATGTGAAATTGATATTGTATAAATGAGAACATATTTTGAAATATGACTTTGTAAATATAAGAGTAGCCTTATAAAAAGAAAACAAATCAATCATAATTCACACAAGTCTACAAATGAAATTAAAACAAAGTCAACACCCAAAATTTCAAGTTTCAAATCTGCAAATGAATCAGATCGTGATGAAGTATTATATCCTGTGTCTTTTTTTATTCAAGTGTAACAATATCTGTGGGGCTTATTTTATAGAACTGTATAAGGAAATACATGTAGGTACATGTATCTGTGAAAAAAATCTCAAGATAACTGGATACTGTGCATGTACCTATTTCAACCTTTTAGGATGTTCAAAATTTGGTGTAAAAGTATGTCGAACATGTCAAACATTATTTGGTGCTACTGTGAATTAGTGCTATCAATATTTTTAAATGAATTATATTTATCAAAATCATATTTTGGCTGTGTTTATGAATTAGCACTCAACTAATAGTGCAAAAGGTGCAAAATTATATATCCCATAAAAATGCTGTAAACATGCTCTTTTCCACAGGGTCATAATTCACGGAATCCCATTTTCTGTTCAATCCGTGCATAGAAAATTATGTAGATTTCCTAGACTGTCATTGCAGGGACGTAGCATCGTTTTTGAAAGTGGGTGGGGGGGGCAGCCAGAGAAAAAAATTTCAACTTACCTGAAAAAAAACTTGACAAGCAAAAACAAATTGTCTGAACTCGAAAATCCTATTTCGTTGGGGAGGGGGGGGGGGGTAGGTTCCAAATTCTTTCAGTACCAAATTTTATTCATACATTACTACATAACCCTCATTTGACTATTCTACAACAAAAAGTGGGGGGGGGGGGGGGCATCCAGCCTTTCAATTAACATTTCAAATAGTAAAAAAAAGTCTTTGGAAAAAGACCCCCCCCCCCCTTGCTACATGCTTGCATTGTGTTTCTTAAATGTATTTTTCAGTTGACTGTGACTTTCCACAGAAAAATTGTAATGGGGTACATAGCAAAAATTTATTCAACATGGAAAACAAATTATGTTTACAGTAAGTACTTCTCTAATCAGTAGTCAAGTCAAATTAATATCTGTATTTCAAGCATTTTGGTGTCGAAGCCTTCATTTGAATCATGACACCTGGACTAGATGTGAACATGTTAGAGGTCCAAACTGTATAGGAACAATTTGTAAATTTCGAAACATTCTTTAAGAGCTCATCCTTCATCCAAATCATGACCCCTGGACCTAGCTGATTTAGCTCAAATTTGGGATCTATACAGGAAGAATTATTCAAAATGCATGTTTTCTGTAATAAAATGGCTTCCGTTTTAAGATGGGAGTAGAGGTAACAATTTGGGTATTCAGATGGCAAACAAGGATATGATTTGTCAGATCATTATAAATTTATAATCACCTAATTTGGAATTAACTCATTTTCACAAAAGCTGGTTTCTTGGGATCTAAGTTATGAGTTTAAACAGCAAGGAAAACAATAAGATCAGCTGAACTTGCGTGGAGTTTTTCTTTCATTTTGACAGGGGAAAACAGATAGTTTTAATGTGCTTGAGTTTATTTTGTTGAACTTTTAATTTAGATTATAAAATACACTGGTATGTTGATATAATTTTCTTTTCCAGATTATCAAAAGAAATTGGTGGATATGACTCTTCCACATAGAGTAAAACCTATGCAACACTGTCAATATGGTAAGACAACCCATGTTAATTTTAAATATTAATTTAATGTGATTATTATTTCAGGCAATGGTACGAAGAATAAATAATTAATGAAAGTGTGTATTGTGACACATGAAGCAATTCATCTCATTTTCAATACTGTTTCATAATGTTCATTGAACTTGTTGAATATGAAAGATGATGCATTTCACTCAATTGAGAATAATTTGATGAAAGGAAATTTAAGTTTTTTTTAATCAGTCTTACAATACCTATACATTAAAACACAGATACAAGTAAGACAGAAGCTGTAAGGTAAAAATCAAAATGCTGTGTGGTGCTGATTTGCATCCAATATTTAATTTCAAGGTCAAAGGTCATGGTCAATTCCAGTTGCAGTATTCGAATTTTTCAAAATCAGATCCTAGAATCATGTTGTACTGTAACCTAGCCAATGGGGAAATATTTAATAACGGGTAATTAAATTAGCCTTCATGCTATGGGTGGTGGTTGTACTTTAATCGCTTCTTGTCAGGATTTTCCTAATACATTATGAAACTCTGTTAATTGCTGTAGATTTTAGGAATATTAACATCTATTTACTTAGATGTTTGTGATTGAATTTCATTTTATATTATAGTCCTCAAACCAGTTAGAAGAAGCTTCACTGTTGCTTGAACTTCAGACTGAAAAGATTTTGCCTGCTCAAAATAAAATGGTATGATTTTAAAGCCAGTACAATGTATATTTATTACATGCATTTTTTCATTGCAAAAGTTGCAAACTGTACAGTGAAACCTGTCTTAACCTATGTGCACTGGGAGTGGGACACAAATTTTGTATCAGTGTAGAGAGAGTGTTGGATTAATCAGTGAAAAGAAAATAGTAAACTGGGAATGAAAATTAAGGTCAGGATACACAGTGACACACATTGTACAGGTGTTGGATTGGACAGGTTTTACTGTATATATATAATGGTAGCAAGGACTAGTACACATGTACTCATATTATTATTTTTCAAATTATTCAAAACATTTTAGATTTCATTTTTAATGTGATTAACAATCTCTTTTAAATGAGTACCGGGTATATCTGCATAAATTTAAAATGAAGTACATTTTTGCTATAACAGAACAGCTTATGTCTGAAGACTTGTATGGGACACCAGATAAAACAAACATAAGGCAGCTTTATCCTGTTGACTATTGACGAAATGAATTTAAAATTTTATGGAAAATGATTTCATTTTAGATTGAAAAGGATGGGAACATTTCTGATCCAGAACATTCACTCCAAGGGAATTGTATCATGGTGGAAAAACCAAGTAACAATGGCGATAGTTCCACTGAAAACAACACAGTAGCAGACTTTCCCAAAGACAACACTCTGGGAAAGGCACAAGATTTACCAGTGGACACTTTGCAACAATTGGACAAATCAGAATCAGTAGAGGTCACTAAGGCGAGTGGACCTGAGGTCCAGTCAGACACAGCCATGGAGATAGACTCAGAAGAGGGCAACAGTGTGAGTCAGCCTCAAGATCAAAATTCGCAGCATGAGATAACATGCAGGGGTGACAAGAATGCCACTGGAAATGTGGACACCATTCAGATTTCTCAGTCAGAAAATGGAAGGGTAATTCAGACAGAAGAATTTACATCTGCAAAACAGAGTACAGAATTGACTGCTGAAACACCAGCTGAAGCTAGAGGTGTGGATTTGGGAAAGTCAACATCAGGAGTCTCAGATTTAAATACACAGGAAGTGGAGAATAGTCAGATTTTAGCGTCTGCTGAAACTGGTTCTCAAGAAAATTCTTTTGATGCTGAAACAAATGCATACAAAAGTTCACCAGGTGTCATTTCATTTGACAATATGGATGTTAATGAGGAATCTCCCATTTCTACAAAGTCTACAGTCGGCAGTCAGGAAAATATTGACACCATGAATGACAGTCTGTTGCCAGAAGAGATGGAAATGGATAAAGTTTCTCCTGGAGATAAATCAGAAAATGACAAATACTCTACTGAATGTCATGGCAGCAATGACGTGTCAGCAGAGGGTGTCAACAAGGATGTTGGAAGAAGTGTTATGTCTGAAGCATTTGGTGAGCTGGAAAGTCAGAATGATAGCATTGATGAGGATAGTGATGGAAGGCTACTTATAGACACAGAGGCAGAATCAGAAAATGATGAAGATTTGTCAAGGAGAAGGAGAAATAACCATTGTACTGAATCTCCATTGGCAGCTGAAAAGTTGTCAGGACAACAGCACAGAGATTCTCCATTAAATATAGAAAAGGCAGCAAGTCAGCTCAAAGAGGTAGCAGAGGTTCCTGAAAGGAGGGCAACTGAAAAAAGCAATGATGTGATTTCAGATAAAGATGTGATGTTGGAAAGTGTGACTGAGAATGAAAGTGAAAGTAGATCTGAACCAGTCAGGAGGGTAAGAAGTCCAGTAGAGGAGGGTCAAGGCAGTGTAGAGGATTTAACTGATGGTGGACCCAAGATCACCACCACAAGGACTCCATTGGGGGCTGTCATTAAAGTGGAGCAGACAGATGAGGGATATGGGGATTCAGGAACTGGAGATATTCTTGATATACTTCACAAACCTGAGAAAACTACTACCAGTGAAGCTCAGAAGCGTAAACACAGTGATATGAATGATAAGGATGTGGCACAGGCACTGTCTTTTGATCCGACAGAGGTTGCAAAGAGAGTCAAAAAAGAACCAGTGGATATTTTTGACTCTTCTAAATCTAACTGTTCTTTGAATATTTCTCCTATGACATCTAAAGGCTTTGTACCACATCACTCTTCCAGGCCCCAGGAATCTGTGTCAGACTTCGCCTCCAGTAGTCTGCTGCAGCTGAGTAAACAGGTGGACAACATAGCATCACAGCAAAATCAACAGAAGGCTCCAACACTAAATGCTGTCGGTTCAGCCTCACTAATTCAGCAGCAACCCTCCATGTTGCGACATCAGCTGAACTCGAGTGTAAGATTTCCACCAAAAGTTTCTCGCATATCTATTCCTTTTGTCAGGACCCAAGGGCCAGTTTTGCCAGCAACTACACAGTCAGACCTTAGAATAAGATCAGTGGTTCCTCATCCACCCTCTTCCTCTACAGCCACCACTGCCACCACCACATCCGCAGGAGGGAGTTCAGGTAAAACCCAACCAGTCCTGATCACCACACAGACGAGAGCAGTTCCTTCTCTGATGAACTCCACATCCACATTCAGATACAAAATTGTTCCAAATGCTAGTGGAGGACAAAGTTTAGTGTCAGCATCCACTGTTCCTAGTGTGTCCAAACCACCAACCACTGTTCCATCCACCAGTAATAGTTCATCCACCTCATCACTGGAGGCTATGTCCTCCTCCTCCATCAACATTGACACGGTTGGCATGCAGACCATTACAGAACTGATTGCAAGGAAGAACCCTCTCCCAAACTACAAGGTTACACCTCCTCCACCTAACTTAAAAGTTAATACGTCCGTGTTTACTTGCTATGAGTGTGGAGACACTTTCCGCTTTTCCACAAGTCTTGAGACACATCGTGGAAGGTGCAGCATGAAAATAACATACAAGTGCGAGGAATGCAAAGCTTTGAAAATATTTTTCAACAAGTGTCAGTTTCTTAGTCATTTGAGAGGCCATTTGAACATCGAGAAAACTCAAGCTGTTCCAATTCATATAAAATCTGATTCGATTTCAATCGAACCCTTGCCTAAATCTCACCAACAAGTCTTCTTTCAAAAGTTTTCAGTTTCCACAAAGACGATTAACCAGAAGGTCAGTAAGAGATGTGCAGAATGTGGAATCAGATGCAGTCAAGCGGAATTTGAAAAACATTTCTATGGAGAGAAAAAAGCCGATGGAGGATCAATTTTAGGAAAGTGGAAATGTTTTCATTGCAAGCTGCACTTTCCTTCCATCTGTTCACAGAGAGCTCATGCCAGGTTACACAAGGAAGAGGAGCTGGATAGAAAGTTTACCTGCCCAGAGTGTGGAATTGACCTAGCAGGGCTCATGATTGGATACCAGCAATTTGATGATTTTAAGGAAAAGCTGAGTTATCATCTCATCAACGTGTGCTTTCATCTGGATAAAGTGGATATCATAGTGTGTTCAAAATGCAATGCAGAGTTTTCCAGCATTGAAGACTTCCGATTTCATTATTTTCAAAAGCTTGAGCAATATTTTAAATGTAATGTTTGCCCCATGGCCTTCAGGCAGCAGGATTCTTTCAGCAAACATCTAACCTCACAGCACAGTGACATTCAGAGTGGGTATCGAAATAATAAAAAGATAGATGTCTTTAAAGTGATCTACAGATGCCATGTGTGTGGAAGTTTGATCGATGACCGATTTGTTCTGGACAATCATCTGCAACAACATGCCATAGCTACAAAATCAGTGTACCGGTGCAAAGAATGCCCAAGAATTTTCCCAAGTGGAGGAGAACTTGCAAGCCATTTCAAAGAGGATCATCCAGAAAAGATGAGATCAAAGATGTGCAAAAAATGTGACATTACTTTTGATGCATGGAAAGATTTGTTAAATCATACGTTAAGAGATGTGCACATCAACCCAACTATTAGTGTGGCATTTCAGTATTGTGGAACCTGTGGATTTTTCTATGATCCAACAGAATCCGATGGAGGACATTCTTGCATGAGTCAAAAAACAGGAAAAATGATGGTCAACAAACTCCTAAATACCTGCAGAATCTGCAACGAGCGGAAATTTTACAGCACTGCTGGGTTGCGGAATCATTTACAAACTCACCAAGAAAAGGGGTATCTAGTGTGCAAGTATTGCCAGATAGGTGGGTTTTCTTCTGTGGAGGAGATGAAAATGCACGAGAGCATATGCTCTAATGGGAAAACTTTGGTCAAACCAAATATTCTGAGACAAAAGAAAAGCACTGCCACCTCCTCTTCCAACAATAAAAAAATGGAGAAAGATGCAAAGAACTTGAAGCAGCCTCAGTTACCAGTAAATTTGCAGCCAACATTTTCATGTCCTGACTGTGATGAGAAATTTCATTCCAAGGCAGATCTTGGTAATCATCGGAAAGATGAACATAGCGATCTGTTCCCATGTCATCTCTGTGGTTTAACCTATGAATCGCAGCAGAGTCTACGTAAGCATCTCCGGGTGTCCCACGAAGGAAAGACTCATGTCTATCCATGTGTGATATGTAGGAAAAGGGGTATAAGAAGAATCTTCACAAATGTTTTGGTTCTGGAGAAACACTTGGCTTCAAAACACAGAGTGAGTAAAAACCAGATGAGCTCTAGCATCGTGAATGAGATTGACGAGGAAAATGAAATCCTGGATCCACCCCCTAAATCCATAAAATCCTCCTCAGAATCCACAGAATTAATCACAGAAACGGACTCGCCAGTCAAACGTCTACATATAGAGGGGGATCAAGTTTTCAACTGTGCAAAATGTAGATTTGGATGCGAGAACAGAGAAGAGTTTCTTAAGCATCTTGAGATCCACAAGATAGATAACTCTGTCCAGTGTTTGGAGTGTGGACTCTGCTTTGCGATTATTCCTTCTCTGAGAAAGCACTTGTTTATGGTGCATAAGGTGAAGGACTTTGAGGAATACTGCCAGAAGGAAGGCATTAGTGTCATGGAGGAGGAGTTTGTCAGTGAGGAGCCTGAGGACACTTCCTACACAAGCCCTGCCGAGGAGTCGGATATTGAGGATGAGGAACGGGACCCACTGGAGTGTCGAGTTTGTTACAGGACATTTGAAGACGAAAACAAATTGCGCACACACATGAGGAGTCATGGGATGGCTTTTATCCGAAACAAGCGGAGGGAAAGAGCTCTGCAAAAGTCTAGGCAGTCTGCATCCACTTCAAGTGTGAAAAGTGAAAATACAAGTGAAAACAGTAATGCATCATTATCTGATGCCAAATGAGCATCAGTTTATCATACATTCATAAACATATATGATGCAATGAGAAGAAATGAGAAATATTATGTAGCATGTAATGTACATATAACTACATAGTGGCCATTTATTATACATACATTACTATTAACTAGATCATGAAAGAAGTAGATTTGGTAAGATTTTACCATTTTTACATTTTTTTGAATATTTAATAATTTCCATAATAACAAATATCTGATAGTACCAAATTGCAGATTGCTTTACCTATCATGTATATTTATCTGTATCTGTTTATCTCTTTAGAAGCAAACATTTAAGAATAAAAATAGTGTATGACATGATTTCTATGCAACCAAGATACAGATCTCAATGAAATGATCTTTTACATTGGATACTTGTGAACAATGTACATTGATTGAAAAGGGAGAGTTGCAAATAAAGCTTTAAAATGGAATACCCCGGTAATTATAATGATAAGTCCCGAAAATATATTAGTATTTTTTTGTGCCCATTGTTGACAGTTTTTAAGTTTTAGTTTGATTTTTTTGTCAAAAATTATTTACTTTCTGAAGAATAATGTTTTAAGGACATTGTTGAAGATGCAAAATGCCTTATGTATTACACAGTGTATTTCTCCCTTTCATGCACTGTACAGTATAAACTTGCTATCTCAAAACCAATATGTTGAACAACAAGGACAAAGTTGATTGACCATCTCAACCTCATTACACATATTTCAAGCTTGATGTCTGGAAATCTCAGATATCTCCAGATATCCCCACCATCCTGCCTTGTTTGAGATATCCAGGTTTGACTCTACTTTGATGCCTGCTTTTTCATAGTTACATGTTAATGTACAAAAACACACATTTTCTTCGTGAAAAGTTTATGTATAATCATCCACTCCCATGTTGTCTTAAGTTTATAAAGAAAATATTCTTACTGAATTATTTCTTTTTTATATTTTATTATGAAATAAATCATATCTTTATTTACTCAACATGTATTGAATTTTCTCTTAGATATTTTCCATCAGTATTTAAGATTTAACATTCATAAGCTTGGACCTAGTAAAATTAGGAAGTTTTAGATCTCTTATAGTTTTGGGTTAAAGGTCAAGGTCAAACTTCCAGATTGTTGGTGTGATAATTTTGATGCAAAATAAAATGGCACATTTTGTAACATACCTATTTCATTAGAGTGTCTGCTCTAGAGGCGCGGAGTAAGGAGTTGATCCTTACATCGCGGGTTCGACATGGAGACTGGTTTATGAGACCGTATAAACAGAGGTCCCGTGTAGCAGTAGGTGCTGGCACAAAAAAGATCCCTCACTGCTCAGTGGCCTTGAGTGCCAAGTATAGATCAAAACTTGCAGCTCTCCACTGGCAAGTATGGCATCTCTATATGAGTGAAAAATTCTCGAGAGGGGCATTAAACAACAAACAAACAAAACCTATTTCATATTTAATTTGTAGTTTGAAAATTGTAAGAGAAAAAGATTCATAGATTTTAAGGTCATTAATTTGGGCATTTGTAGGTGAAAGTCAAAGAGTAAAGGTCAAGAAGCATTGTAAACTTGTAAAGTTTTAACTGTAAAATCTTGTCTTCACTGTACATTAGTGCATGGTTAGAAGACATTTCTTGAATACATGTGTGGGTCAAGGTCAAAACTTTTGATATGGCTACTACTACTAATTAAAAAAAAAATCACTTTATAGCTGAATTAAAACCAGCATCAAAATAGTATATTTTCATGAATATTTCATATTGTACAAAAAATGTAGACATTTTAGTCACTGCACAATTGAAAGACATACCTATGGATTCTGAAGCCACTTTTCAATGGTCAAGGTCAAAAATTCATTTTAATATAAAACTGTTTATTGATCCTATATCACTAGTCAGTTTTCTAGTTGGAATGAAATGTATAATGAATTTTGGCCCAGAAGCTTCAACAGTCATTTTAGTATTATGTACCTACATTCTCTGTTCACTGCATGGTCCTGTTATGCATCAGCTTTACGTTCCACACACAGGTTTTTCCATTTCTTTTACAAACCAATGCCCCAATCATTTTATCTGCCAATGACATTGACCTTCTGAGAAATGCCTCGAGTCAGGTATCAGTAGTATTTTAGATGTGAGCTATTTAAAAAGGCAAAGAGAGTGAACAGTGATCAATCTCGAAGAAACCTACAGATAATACAAGTTTGTGAACAGGGAGGGCATAAAACATGGAACCCTAGAAATCAAGAGGTGGGATCAGGTGCCTAGGAGGAGTAAGCATCTCCTCTAATCTTTGATGTTATGACTCTGCAAAACTCTTCCTTTGTGTAAATGAAAGAGCCATCATTCAGGAGTAAGCACTGAAGCAGTTGTCACCCTTTCAAAGTTTGATAGATGGTTGATTATAATATAAAATAGGTGTAAAGCAAAGTTCCAGAGGGATGAATATAATTTTTGATTCATTATAAATGTAGCTGGTTATATTCAATAATTTTTTGATACATTTCAAAACTAAAGGGAATAAAAATCACTTTGCTGTATAGGGCTGTCTCTCACTCAGAATTCATATTAAGCATGTCTGCTTTATACTGCAAAATCAATTTTTATAGGGTTGATTTTTGTGTTATGAAAAACCTCACAAATTCAAACAATTTGTCTACCATCCTTCTTCAACCACAAAAATCAAATCCCCACAAACCAATGGTATAAATTTTTTTTTTCATTTTTGGAAATCTTATTTTCTTCTAGACAGACAAGCTATATCCCTTAATTGGCAATGAAGACCATATTGATGATACAGTTGGAAGTTTTGTGGAATATGAGGTTTTGACTGAAAGATGTGCTTTGCCCCAACATTTATCCAGTTGTAATACCCCTGTTAAATTGAAACTTTGATTTTGTTTTTGTCCCCCTGATTTCAGGAAAGCGAGGGGACATTAAGCTCTGGGGCCATAAAACTTAGATGATCTCACTTTTGATCTCAGTCTCACTTTTCTACTATTAATTCCTTTAGTAAAAGTGAGACTGAGATCAAAAGTGAGCTCGTCTAAGTTTTATGGCCCCAGAGCCAAATCTGAGCATTCCTCTGTCAGTCTGTTACAAAAACTTTAACTTGACATAACTTTTGAATAAGAGATGGGTCTTTCATATTTCACATTTACATTACCTGTGATAAGACCTTTCTAAATATACTTTGATTTTTGACCCGTGACCTTGACCTTGGAGTTTGACCTACTTTTCAAAAATTTTAACATTACTTTAAATTGGTCATAACTTTTGAATAAAAAAGGCTTGGGCTTTCATATTTACATTACCTGTGACAAAACCTTTCTGAATGTATGACTATTGACCCCATGACCTTGACCCTTTTAAAAAAAATTCATCTTTGCTTATAATTTTTGATTAAGAAGAGATAGGGCTTTCATATTTGATATGTATATTACCTGTAACAAGACCTTTCCAAATATGCTATGATTTTTGACCTCTTGACCTTGAAGTTTGACCTACTTTTCAAAAATTTTAACCTAAAATTATTAAATTGGTTATAAAATTTGAATGAGAAAAGGTAGGGCTTTCAAATTACACAAGTACATTATCTGTGACAAGACCTTTCCAAATGTACTGTGGTTTTTGAACCTGTGACCTTTAAGTTTAAACTATTTTTCAAAAATTTAATCTTTACTTATAAATTTTGATTAAGAAGAGATAGGGTTTTCTTATATGACATGTACATTACCAGTGGCAAGTCCTTTCCAAATATACATGTACTATGATTTTTGACCCCTTGACTTTGAAGTTTGACCTACTTCTAAAAAATTTCATCCTTGCTTATAACTTTTGCTTAAGAAGAGATAGGGTTTTCATATTTGATATGTGCATTACCTGTGACAAGACCTTCCCAAATATGCTATGATTTTTTACCCCATGACCTTGAAGTTTGACCTACTTTTCAAAATATTTTGACATTACTTTATATTGGTTATAAAATTTGAATGAGAAAAGGTAGGGCTTTCATAAAGATACAAGTACATTACCTGTGACAAGTCCTTTCCAAATGTACTATGGTTTTTTAACCTTTGACCTTGAAACTATTTTTTCAAAACTTTATCTTTACTTACATGTATATGTTTTGATTAAGAAGAGATAGGGCTTTCATATTTGATATGTACATTACATGTGGTAAGACTTTCCAAATATTGACCCTTTGACCTTGAAGTTTGACCAAGACAGTTACAATATGCCATAAATAATGGCATCCCGTCCACTAAGACACCTAAAGCGGGGGACCACAATTCTTAGAATTTGTTTGTTAAAAGTTCAATTTTGTGTATCAAATAAACATACAGTCAAACCTCATTATCTCCAACTCGAAGGGACAGAGAAAATACTTTGAGATAACCGAGGATTCAAGATACATGTATCCAGGGTAAAATATTTAAGGATTAAGCAGTTGGGACTTCAAAATAACTTTGACATATCCATGGTATTCAAGATATCCGTGTTTGAGATTGACCGAAGTTCAACTGTCAAATTTGGCTACTAACAGTACTTATACTGTACAGTTCAAGAATTCTGATTTTTTGTTCTATAGAATATAATTAAAGGCAATGAAAGAAATTAAATTAAATGGCAAACAACATCAGTAAAATTTTTATTAAGTATTCCCCAAAAATATAAAACAAAAATATTACATGTGAAATATCATATGAACTCCATATATAAATATATAAATAATCAGATTAAGAATGTACACAAAAGTCAAGATGTATCTTGTTTAAACCAAACACATACATTGTACAATGTTAATGTCAACTGTAAATGCAGAAAGGAATATATTGGAACTTAAAGCACTAGTTCAAAGCACTGACATATTGAATTTTAGAATATCTTTGCCAACATTATTTTTCCCCCAGAGTAAGACATTCATTTGAAATGACATGCAAATGTTTTTCGATACATGAAGAGATTAAACAAAACAAAATTTTAAAGTGTAGTTTAAATATTTTAAGTAAAAATGATCTTTAATTTCTCAATGCTGCAACATTTATCTTCTCTCTTAATAACAATACTCTACAAGTGTATTACATGTATATTTATACTCCAATTGTCAACAAATCACTTTTAAAGAAAATTATCTAGATTTAAACCCTTTATTGCATTGTATCATTCTATCAATTTTAAATATTAGGTAGATTTAAAAGATGCAAAGATTTCAATGAATGCAGAAATGCAGGTATAAATTGAACAAAGACTGAAACACTCATGGTATTGCACTTGTGCATAATCACAAATAATCAAGATAGGTAGATTTTATTTACCAAAGTAAAATGGAATTCATAATATATACAAGGAGCTAAAATGAACTGACACCCCATTTTCATGCAAATGTGTACTGAACATTTCTTCTCAATAGCAAGCAAGGGTAAATTCACACAGATAAATGGTTTCTGCTGCAAAACATGCATATAATATCAAGCCACTCATATTTCTGTGACCAGATCATGTCTTTGTGGATTTCGATAGACTGGCCTCAGGGAGCTAGCTTCTACAGCAGAATGATTCAAGCTTCTCTGTGAAGGGATGCTGAATCCTGATCGTTGAGATGCTTGAGGATGAGGATGAGGCGGTTTCCTTGGTGATGAATATGAGGGAGATTGTTGATAACCAAGCCAAGAGGAATGAAACTACAACATCATGCAAAGGTTTGTTAGCAAGGAGATGAATTATATTTATAAAGGATTACAGTAGGAGAAGGGTACTTGCATTATAACAGCTTGATTAGCTCTTACTGAACTGAAAGCCTTTTAAATATGCTGAAGAAAGATTGAAAATGATTAAAGCCAAATTTAAAAGTTGTTCTAAATAACATGAACATACATTATTTTGTGAAAACATTCATAAATTTTTGATGAAATATTTTTAATCTTAAATACTAATAATAAAAAGATCTCAAATTTATTTTGACCAAAAATGAAGTATATAGAGCTGCTCTATATATAGAAAATTCCGTTCAAGATTGAAATTAAACCTTTAAAATTTTTGAATTCTTACACACACATGTATTTCAACATGCTGTTACTATATCAATTCTATTACTTCATAAGTTTTTTTTACTCAACACTCTGGATTAGACTTTTTCCTTTTGTTTCATTTCATGAAAAAAAACTACTCCTAAATTATCATGTCAGTTAGTTACGGAAAATAAAATAAATTAGTCTTCAAAGGAAAAAAAATTAATTTCAATCCACATAAACAAAATGTTAACCAAAGGGTATATAAGACCATTACAGATCAGAAGATATGAGTTTGGTCCAAGTAAATTAATGAGAAAACCCAAACAATGTTACGCAAGGAAAGCCAGATAGACGTACAGATCTGCTTATACAGTGATGGGGGAAGAGCACTGTTCTGAGAATATCATATACATCTCCTGTAAACACATACTTTCCATTCTGACCACAGACAATTACATTATACATACAGTCTATGCAAAGCAATAATACTTGAATACATTGTAAACCAACTCTTTAAGCTGATATGATAGATACATGTGTATTTTCAATGTCATGATCTTGTTATTAATTACACATATTCATCTCTAACCTGTGAAGTATTGTGTGAACTATTTGCGCTGGTGTGGTCAGTCGGTGACTGAATTCCAGTGAAGCCATTGTATGATGAGTAATTCTGACTGGCCTTGCTGGGTGATCTCCCCTGATGATAGGGTGGGTCTACTCCACCCCTCCCCGTTAACTGACCCCTGTCACTGTATGGGGAGTTTTCATGTTGTCTTCTACTGAGACGCCCTCGTGGGTCATAGTGCGGGGGTCTCTCCTGGTCCCCCCTTCCTTGTAACTGTCTGTGGTTATATGAGGTATTGTTTTGATTTCCCCTGCCAGGCGGTTCACTTGTGTTATAGAGTACCGGTAAGTTTTTATTCTCCATACTCCTGTTTGGGGTATATCCAGAACTGTTAAGCGAAACATTTTCCTGGTTAGAAAGTCTAGAATAGTCACCTGCTTGATGTGGGCTGAATAACCGGGCATTAACGTTTCGTGCATTGTTATGAGACTTGGGAGAGCTCCCTGTAAACACACTGGACGGCTGGCTTGTATTGTCTGTATGAACACTGGAGGGGGTAGTCTGTTTGTAAGGGGAGGAATTATAAACCATGGAAGACAAGTTACTGGAGGTTAAGGATGAATTCACGTGGTCAGCTTGACTTGTATTGTAGCCTGTTCTCCGACCATATTCAGGTGTAACTGGAGTATTCGGATGTTGCTGACTCAGGTAAGACTGGTTTTGGGGATGAGTGTGTGAATTATCTGTTCTCAGAATTTCAGCTGTGGACGGAGGTGTGACAGAATACATGGAATGAGGGGGGCGACTGTAACTCGGGGGATCATATTTTAATTGAGATTCCGGGGTCTGGTGGCGACGTGGTGATTCTGGTGTTCGATGTCGACGAGATGATTCCGCATCAGAAACATAATCAGACTGCGAAGGATTTTCATTATTATGCCTCCTGCTATACTGCGAATTCTCCTGTCTGGAGTTTGGAGTAGTCCGGGACTGATTCCCACTTACAGGACTCCTGTATCTCTCCGACACTTTGGAAATGTCACTCATTGGACTGTTGTTCATTTTTGTGTTTCCGGGTGGTGGTTTATAAGCATTGGGATTGTTTGAACGGTAATTCTGGGAATGACTGGGTACCACATCTGACATGTATCCGCTGGTTCTTGGCTTGGCTGGAGCTATATCTGATGTGTATCCACTTGAGCCATTGTACCTCTGTCCAGAAGATCCAGGCCGGGGTTGTCTAAAAACAAATGTGTTAATTATGTGTCCAGTTAGAAAATATATTCTTCAAAAACTGACCAACATCTACATATTTAATAATAAATTTAAGCTTTAATACATTTTTTTTGTACTTTGTATCAAAATTAAGCAGATCATGTATAGCAAATCATGCACTGATGCAGAGAAATAAGACAAATTTACCCACCCATCTGGAAATAAAAGAAAATTTAAAGGAAGCAAGGAGAGAAACTCTCTTCAAAAATGGTCATATCTTTTCACAAAAAATTCTATATACGTGTACAATACATGCAAACAGATTCTGAGTAAAATGTATTTTGTTCATTATGCTGAAAAAAAAAAAAATTAAACAGCTCTCTTTCAAAACAATCTTTACCTGTCCTCAACCTCAGTTTCCTTGGCAACATTTGATTGGGTCATGTGATCAATGGCTTCCAGTGTGTCGTCTGACACACTTTCAGAATTAGGACCAATAGTATCGTCCGACTGATTTGTGCTAGTATTTTCTTGTTTGATGCTGTTTGTAAAATTAGTGTTTAAGAAAAATATACATGAAAATTTGTCAGTTAAAGTTTTATGTCCTTTTAAAAATTGATTATTTGTTTTATTGATCACACGTCAAAATTGGAATTTAGAACACTCATTAGGACTTCAAAATTAATTATGAATTTAGTCTTTATCATATATGTATCTTTGTTATTATCATTTATATTATGTCATAATCAAGATTAATTTAATGAATCTTATTTTTTTTTATTGCAGTATTAATATAATAATGTAAAAGCTAGTACATACTCTAAGTAAAAATGTCAATGTGTATTGCAAATAAAGCATTGAATACACAATTATAGGATGCTTAATTAATGACTGAATGTGTTAATGCATGATTAGACCGTTTGTTTAAATAATAAGCTTATGAGACTGGCCACACAATCATGAAACACTGATTATAAAACGAATATCTATCTAGTAAATACATGTAAGTATTAAATATGAGTCTGTAATCGGAAGCTAGATACATGTAAATATTCTTAGTATTCTTAGTGTGTGAGAGAGTTTTGTTTTTGTGATGTACACGTACATGTATATTTTCTGTTAATTCTTGATTTTGTTTGTATGGGGACAGTTTCCGTATGGGAAATTTGCTACATGTATATGCATGATTTTAAAACATTATATTATGCCAAGGAAGACATGAGAAAAACAGAAAAATAGCCATGATAAGACATCACTCGCCTCATGATACATTCACCTCTGTCATCGGCTCGCATATATTACAGTGATAAACACGAAAAATAGTGTGTTTGTTTCAATTCATTATAATTAAATGCCTGTGCTAATGTTTGTCCTTTAAGATTGAAATATACTAAACAGATCTAAAACTTATAGTTTAATTTGAAATAATCCTTGGAATAACATTTTTTTTTTTATCTTGACATGAGCCCATTGCAAAGGTGTCTGAGAGGGGAATGAATGACAACTCTGCAAAGGAGATGGATAAGATCTGCATACTAAGTCATACATACTTACCTCCCTTGATTTGTGCCAGTTTAACTAATAAGCCATATTCAAAAAAAAAAAAAAAAAAAAAAATCTACAAATTAAATTTGATTACCTCTGCAACCTGTACTGGGCTGTTGAAGTGTTTGAACTATGGGGTTGGCTCCTAATACTGTCCATCCTAATCAAATAAATTTAATTAATTACAGGGGTCGTAGAATGTAAATGATTATTCGAGAATCCAAAGCCTCAAATGATTGTGCTTATTCACCTGTGACCAAAACTCTGCTCAGATGTACCCTCTCTGTTTGTGTTTGTCTGGTTCTAAAAATAAAACAAGAGGCCCATGGGCCACATCGCTCACCTGAGCACATTGGCTTGAATTTTAAACTACCTGATGATGCTTCCATGTCAATATAACAAATGGCTTTGTTGTACTTGAGAAGATTTTAAAAAAAATTTCCCATATATTCCTTTGTAAAAATTTGATCCCCCATTGTGGCTCCTCCCTACCCCCGGGGATCATGGTTTGAACAAACTTGAATCTACACTACTTGAGGATGCTTCCATATAAATATGACTCATCATGGCTTTGCTGCTCTTGAGAAGAAGATTTTTAAAGATTTTTCCTTTATATTTCTATGTAAAACTTTGATCCTCACTTGTGGCCCCACCCTACCCCCGGGGATCATGGTTTGAACAAACTTGAATCTACACTACCTGAGGATGCTTCCATATAAATATGACTCATCATGGCTTTGCTGTTCTTGAGAAGAAGATTTTTAAAGATTTTTCCTATATATTTCTATGTAAAACTTTGATCCTCCATTGTGACCCGCCCTACCCCCGGGGATCATGATTTGAACAAACTTGAATCTGCACTACCTGAGGATGCTTCCATATAAATATGACTCATCATGGCTTTGCTGTTCTTGAGAAGAAGATTTTTAAAGATTTTTCCTATATATTTCTATGTAAAACTTTGATCCTCACTTGTGGCCCCGCCCTACCCCCGGGGGTCATGATTTGAACAAAATTGAATCTACACTAGCTGAGGATGCTTCCATATAAATATGACTCATCATGGCTTTGCTGTTCTTGAGAAGAAGATTTTTAAAGATTTTTCCTATATATTTCTATGTAAAACTTTGATCCTCCATTGTGGCCCCGCCCTACCCCTGGGGGTCATGGTTTGAACAAACTTGAATCTGCACTACCTGACGATGCTTCCATATAAATATAACTCATCATGGCTTTGCTGTTCTTGAGAAGAAGATTTTTAAAGATTTTTCCTATATATTTCTATGTAAAACTTTGATCCTCCATTGTGGCCCCGCCCTACCCCCGGGGGTCATGGTTTGAACAAATTTGAATCTGCACTACCTGAGGATGCTTCCATATAAATATGACTCATCATGGCTTTGCTGTTCTTGAGAAGAAGATTTTTAAAGATTTTTCCTATATATTTCTATGTAAAACTTTGATCCTCCATTGTGGCCCCGCCCTACCCCCCGGGGTCATGGTTTGAACAAACTTATATCTACACTACTTGAGGATGCTTCCATATAAATATGACTCATCATGGCTTTGCTGTTCTTGAGAAGAAGATTTTTAAAGATTTTTCCTATATATTTCTATGTAAAATTTTGATCCTCCATTGTGGCCCTGCCCTACCCCCGGGGCTCATGATTTGAACAAACTTGAATCTACACTACCTAAGGATGCTTCCACATGAGTTTTATCTTTCCTGGCCGTATGGTTCTTGAGAAGAAGATTTTTAAATGATGCCATTATTTTTTCACTAATTCCTAATTATCTCCCCTTGGAAGAGGGCATGGCCCTTCATTTGAACAAACTTGAATCCCCTTTACCCAAGGATACTTTGTGGCAAGTTTGGTTGAAATTGGCCCAGTGGTTCTTGAGAAGAAGTCGAAAATGTGAAAAGTTTACAGACAGACGGACAGACAGACGGACAGACAGACGGACGCCGGACAAAATGTGATCAGAAAAGCTCACTTGAGCTTTCAGCTCAGGTGAGCTAAAAAAAATTAAATTTACACAATTTATTTCCTGAAAAACATATGCATAATGGTATTTATTCCTTTTCTAAGGTTAACGAATCATTATGCTTAAAAATGAGACAAAATAATTTTTTATTTATTGGAATAATTTTTTCTTTAATTGAAGCAAAAATCAAACTCTATTATAAACTAAAGAACAATACATATGTACATTTTTATTACAACTTATAGATAGCTGGTGTCATACATGTATGTTTCATAAGAGTTTTCTCTGTTTGGTGTGATGGCCCAGAAAAATCATAAAGGTACATGTACATGTATATTTAAAAGTAAATACAGTTGTTTAAATAAAAAAAACAAACAAATATTATTATTCCAATTACCTAAATTTTTTCACAGACAAGAATTTCTCTTAATGAAATTGTAAAAGAAAGGATAAAATAAATTCTTGTCTTGAAAAACTTTTATGAAAATTAATCTGTACTGAAAGACAAAGGAACTTTGCATGTCAAATTGTAAAAAGAATTTAACAAGGGGTTTAACATATAAATCCCACTGTTTTTGATAATAGACACTATATCATTAGTAAAATCAAATCATAATATCAGAGCACCTGTAAACACAATCTTTTAGCATAAATACATGTACCATTCCATCTGGAAATCAGAATAAATTCCTTTATGAATTTGTTCAGAATCTCAAACATCCATATCTTAAAACCAAGGTTATGTCGGAGTGAGTCAGAAGTCCAAACCACTATTTCTTTAATGCGTTTTTTTTTTAACCTCAATAATCTTGAATTCTAAGATATCTCAAAAGCTCAGACGTCCCTTGGATATCTCAAAACCTCAAATGTCCCTTGGATATCTCAAAACCTCAGATGTCCCTTGGATATCTCAAAACCTCAAATGTCCCTTGGATATCTCAAAACCTCAGACGTCAAGTTTTTCCTACTCTCTCAAACTTTTTCCTTGACTCGTCAATTTTAAGATACACATAACTAGGTTTCTCTGTAACTAAGTGTAATTTTCCATTAATCCCACCCCGACACCCTCTGGAATGAATTATCTGACTAGGCATCCTGACTAGTCTACTCGTAACTTGGAACATGCATCTGTTATTGAAGAAACTTACTATGTGTATAATTATATTTATCTAGTGCCAGTTTTTATTTTAACCTGTATTAATCTACTGTTATTTTTTACATGACTAGAGTTGTTAAATGAATTAAAGATATTGTTTCTATAGTATATGAGTCCTGTCACCATGCATCTCAGACCTGATAGAATTTATCAAAGCTACGTGTCGTGTCCCAGCTACGAGATGTGTCATACGATGCGACCGATGCTGAGTCACCATAAAAAAATATTCTCTGCGGCTGAAAAATTCACATTAGCATTGAAGAAAAAAGTAAACTATCCCCTATATAACCAAAACATACAGGATTGATTTACCAGAATAAAATGAAGTTTCGAAAAAATTTACTCAGACTTTATGCCTCATACATACTTACGGAAGCGTAATAGGGCCGCAGCAGTATCTTTTATTAATTTGTTTTAACAAATTAAATTACAAATTTGTTACAACAAATTATTAATTTGTTATAACAGATTAGTAATTTGTTATAATAAATTAATAATTTGATATAACAAATTAATAATTTGATATAACAAATTAATAATTTGATATAACAAATTAATAATTTGATATAACAAATTTGTAATTTGTTATAACAAATTAGTAATTTGATTTAAGAAAATTATTATTTTTGACAAAATATGAAGGTGAGTACAGATCTACTGAAGCCAGATCAGATCAGATCAGAAATCTTACTTTAAATCGGTTTTATGAAAACATAAAGCATAAGCTTTGGAGAGCTTTTGATCAATATGTTAATATGGATTTAGATGAAATAGCAACTTAGATTAAAGCACTTTAATTTTGGTTTAATTGCAGGTTATTTTTTAAATTTTTGTTTTGTTTTGTTGTTGTTGTTTTTTTTCTTTCTTTTTTTTTGAGTCAGTTCCTTGGAATAGATGTCTCTGTTAGACAATTAAAAGAATAGCTGCATCCCAGGGATTATGTAGAAGAAATACAGAATGTTGGATCCTTCGAGAAAAATTCGAAGTTCCGGACAATTAAATATGATTTCAATGTCGTCCATTCAAATCAACACAGGGGTCAAAAGGGGAGAAGACCTAATTTTTCCTTCTTTACACATGTGTAATATTTTGTGTGTATTGTTATAACAAATTATATTGCTTAACGATTTCTTGTAACATATATGAGTAGTCCTATATGAGACAACCAGGATACAAATTACAAATGAATTTGAAGAAACAACTGTCAAAGTTTTCAGCAAATAATAAGTTATGAAGGTTTTAGTGGGACTTTGAGGGCTTTTCCAAAAGGCACGTATTTTGATTATAAAAATTACATACATACAGTTACATGAAAAAATTTCACAAGGTATCTAAATTCAAATTTTACGAAGTACTACCCACTCAAGAATACTGTTTATTTTCATTTTCAGAGAAGGTTATTACAGAGTGTTCATCAATTTTTCTATGATAATTTATCTACAAATTCATTTTTGTCAATGTTGCCTTTATTGCCCCCAGCATAAATTGGGGCCAAGGAGGTTCACCAGAGGAGCAGATTCAGGTTTATGCATTAGGAACGGTGGTTCAGTTTAAAATATATTTTATTCATTATACATAAACTGGGTTGAACAGAAGGCATAAATGCCTATTATACTCTCTCCATTTGTCTAAGTACATACATGCATAAAATTAATGATACATTTAAAAATTGAAAAGCAGTACGTAAAGTAGATCATCATTTGGTACATGTATAGAATGAATCGAGAGAGAGAAGGGGGGGGGGTAAAATGAAATAAAATAAATAAGAAGACATATTCAAAAAGAAAACATATTATGTTGAACATGTTGATTCAGGGTGGGAAAAATTCCCTCTCAAAATAACGTCTTAGATAAGATATTTTTTTCCTAGCATACGAACGGGGATGCAATGACCTGGTAGATGGGAGTCAAGGACGGAGCCCTGGTGGGGGAGGAGGACAAAATTCAAATAGAGCTCCTAAGAATAAGTAATTAGGAACCAAAGAATGTGATGCATTGTATCTTTATAAAAATAATGTTTGACAGTGAAAACTCTAAGTGCTAAAAGATGTAAATCCAGATTAACATATATTGGTCAAAAGCTGTAGCTGCAGAGCTTGTACATTTATTATTTTCACAAATCCAACTTATAAAAAGATTTCTGATCTCATCTAGCTTCCATAGATCTGTATACACTTTCACTTTATCAAAAATAGTAATTTGTTATAACACATTACCAATTCGTTATAACAAATTACTAATCTGTTATAAGAAATTAGTAATTTGTTTTAACAAATTGATAATTTGTTATAACAAATTGATAATTTGTTATAACAAATTAGTAACTTGTTATAACAAATTAATAAAAGATACTACTGCAGCCCTAATACACTTCTGTACATACTGAATAGAAAATCTTAGAAACAATCTTATCTTTAATTAAAAAAAAAATTTCAAATAAAGCAGCTTACCCTGTATTTAGTAGAACCTGGGTGATGAGAAGATCTGTAGGTGGATCCAGACTTATTGCTTTGTGTTTCCATATCACTCCTTAAATTAGAAAATAACCAAATCATGTAAATATGAAATAAAATAATTTTTTTTTTTCTCAGGCATTACTCAACATTAACAATCCTTTGGAATCAACCTACTAATACTGTATACAGGGAAATTTTCATCCCCATTTTATTTTCACCCCTTCGCCCTTAAGACACAGGTGGGTGAATTTAAGACGAGGATGAATTTTAAGAAAAAAGTATAATTTCTTAAACAAAACTGTGACTGGGCAAAATTAAAATGGGACAATATTGTTTGCAAGTGTGAAAGGGTGAAAAATAACATGGGGCAAAAATAACCCTGTATACAGTATGACCTACTGTGATTTCATCATTTTTTGTTGAACACTTTTTCACTGTTTTCATGGTTGAGCTGAATCATGAAATAAGGTGCTCAAAAGAACTGCAAATTTTACTGATGATACATAGCAAGACAAAGCTTTCCATGAACATACAAAGTTTACCAAGAAATTGTACTTTTCCCCCAAACCATAAGATATGATCCCCGAAAATATTAGTGAAACCAAAGAAAATATTCATTTTTATAAGACTTTTTAAAATTTGACTTACAAATGCTTCACTTCTTAAGTATGCTTGCTTTTTATATGCATTCATTTTTGGTATTTTTCAAATATACCCTGTTGTATTCAATAACGATACAGGTATCAGTTTTGGACTTGCCTATTGTGATATGCATTGGTGTCACTCATGTAGTTCCGGTAGCCCAGCTCCGGTGTTCTGCGGGAGGGTTCCGAGGGGGTGTAGGGAGGGGGTGGATCCCCAGACTGAGGTAGCTGTGGTTGACCAGAATCTTGGTCTCTGAAATAAAGAAATTCATTAATGTAGCTTTAGAAATGAAGTTAGAGAAGGATTATGCGTTATCTATCTGGTACATGTATGTTTGTTAATTTTCCACAAAATTCTCCAAAAAGAAATGAACAGATATCATTGAAATTTTTAAGACAAAGTGTGACTCCACACATATCAGTACGCAGATCTAGAAAGGCCTAATATTATTTTGATATTAGGTGATATCTAAAACCCCATATAAATGTTATTAAGAAATGAAGAAATTCAATAATGCACAAGTTTTGAGATTGTAGCTCTCCAACGATGGAGGCACAAAAAGTATCCATATCAGCATGGAAGTGGGACAGGTTGTTGACTTACACAAACATACATAAATCCTTCATTTGATGTCATCCACTGATATTTTTTCCCCCGATATTTTTTGGCAGAAAAAAATGAATGACGCCTTTAATTAATTAAATTTGGTAATTTTTGAGTTGATGAGTGCATTCTGACAAACAGTTATGATAAACTGCTATATCAATGATGCAACATATCCAAAACTACTTAGTAATAACTGTCCCATCTGACGGTTTACGCAGAAACAAGACTCAATCCCCTCAATAACGAAAGAGTGCACCAAGGGAGATGTTTCAATCTCGAAACTTATGCATATTCAACGCTGAGTCTGTCTAACAGATGTGTGTACTCTGCCACTCTCTCATCGTCGCAAGCCACAGGTTTTGTGTCCATTCTAGTTTGTGGAAATAGAATGGACACAAAACCTGTGGCTTGCGTCGATGCCACTCTCTAAGTGCTTCAGTAGTTCATTTCTATAATCAAACATACAAATATCAAAGAAAATTACCAAAACATGTCAATATCTATCATTGGAGTAACAAACTATTAAATACAATGTAATGTATTGTGTAACTTTGAATGTCTGACTCAGGTAAAATCTACTCACCCAAATCCTCTCCTTTTTGGAGACCTAAATCGTTGACGTGCATGGGATGAAAACTTGGGTTTAAAGGGCTCTGCTTTTGTTCTTAAAAAAAAAAAGTGATTTTCTCATGTTTCATTACATATTATGGTAAAGCTAATATAAACTTCTTGAAAATTTTCATAAGATCATAATTTTGGTGCCAATTTGTCCAACTTACTCGACTCTGAGATATGGAATATCTTGGAGATCTTCAGGTGCCATGCCTTCAGTGTCGACCAAGTCATATCTACAATTTATAGAGTACAGTCAAACCTTCACATCTTGAACTGCATGAGGCCAAGAAAAAAAAAATGGTTATGCCTGAGGATTTGAAATACTAGGGTTAAAATTTATATGGAAAAAGTAGTTGGGACCTCCAACTAACTCCGACACATTCATGGCAATCAAGATATTGATGTTTGAGAAACTGAAGTTCAACTGTACATGTAAAATCTTCAGTGTTTTTGAGAGTCAATCTTCTTGATGCAATTATAAAGTTTACACAACGTCCTGTACATATAGTGTATGTCAAGTATTCAAAGTCTTTTTATTTCGTTAATCGTTTTTAAATGTAAGGTAATAAACTTACACAATGTGCTGTTTGAGTTCCTCTGGGGGACGTTTTGCCGTCCCGGGGGATTTTGTTCTTCGTCTCCTCCGCCGCTTGACCTCCCCAGCTGGAGCAGAATGAATGGATGGAACAGAACTGTTAATAGATTACAAAAAGTAACTAGAAATATGTCCATAGGACATGAATGCCCCGCCAAGGGTATGTTAGTAATGCAACATGAAAATTTGTATTAGTGTATGAAATTTGATGATAATATCTTGAATAGTTTCTTTAAAATTGAAATTGAAATCTAAAAAGTTGGATATAGCTAATAAATTCTCACCAAATTATGCATAAGCTTACATAAATATATCTTAAGGACATTGGCAAGTCAGGGTTTTCCGGAGAAAAAAGGTTTGATACATGGTTTTTTTTCCTTATAAAATAGTGATCGAGAGTGATCTCCCGTGTAGAATTCTCTAAGCGGTGAAAACTAATAAAGCGTATGTTACAGAGGTAAACAAAAGCACGTGCATTTCCTTCAACGGGTAGAATCATCTATACAGCAAGAAAGAAAAGTAGTAATGGCTTTGTTGTACATTGTATTCAGGGACAAAGAGCCAACAGGTCGTCATTTACCATTGTTATGCTCAGTATGCTGGATGTCACATAGGCCTATACTAAAAGGTAGGTCGACCATGCCGACTGAGAACAGTTCTTAGGTCGTGTGAAGGAATCAGCATTTAGTAATTACGAATAAAGTTAAAAATAAATCCATGCCAATATTTTTATGACAATGTGTTTCAATCAATTCAGTCAATTACATGATAAAAACAATCAACCAGTCTCTTGACCAATTTTAGCTGTTAAGGGACGCAACTCAAAAATGATGATCGGTGCCGGTATAGCCATGTCTTGTTTCTATATATACATTTTGAGCCAAAATATTTAGAAGTCATAGGAAATGAAGATACAATAATGTATATAATACAAAAACTGTATGAAATAAATGAGTTTTGAAGAAATATTATGGTGAAAAATTTTGTAGGTCCCTTTTATCAACATTTTACATAGGAAATGCATTAAGAATTGTAAAAACACTAATTTGACAAAATCTAAAAAAGAATGTTGGATTGGTAGGTAAAACGATCCAGAATATAGCATGTTTAGTGCATTTAAACCTACTCAAAAGTTCTTGAAAAATTCTATACAATAACCAGGAACCTTGCCAATGTCCTTAAATGGTTTCTTTAAAACTAAGCAAAATGCAAATTTCAGAAAAGTGAGGTCAAGGTCACAGGAAAGTTCAACGTCAAACGTTTTTGATGCAGTTGAATAGTTCTCACAAATACATATCGGCATAATAAGTTTGATAAAAATATTAAATATTAAAAAAGGGGTTTGTACTTCCAAATCACTTCGACATTTCCATGGTATTTGACATATCAGTGTTCAAGATATCGAAGTTCAACTTATTTAGTAAAGATTTTCATATTTATTTAATTGCATTATATGTTGAAGAAATGCATGTATTATTGAGAACTCACCCATTCATATAGCTTTCAGCATTAGCTGGGAATATTCTAAAAAGAAATATTAGTGAATTGCTTTAAACTGGTATATGAAACTTGACAAGAAATATGAACGTTTTTAAAATGAGGGAATTCCAAATGTTAAAACCAAATTTGATTTGTACATATAATAACCACAATTTAATGAAACAATAATGTACAAACCATATTATTATATGTAATTCAATTACTTTATTAAATAAATATTATGCTTATTTAAAAAAAATTTCAAACTAGAATTTATAGACATACTAACCCCTGCATGGCTTCATTCCATTGGTTCTCGTACCATGGCTCCACGGAACTCTTGGGACGGCGGTTCCTCATGGGGGATACATCAGACTCGCTACCACTATCACCATCCCTCCTATAAAGGTTTAACATTTATACTTAAAGATACTGATCATGATCACACAAAAATCAAATATCGCCGAAGATCTCGTACAAGAGTACATCCTGTGGCTCAAGGATCATTAAACGACACTAATTTTTCATTAAAAAAAGGATGCTTTATGGCAGTACCTCCTTCTTCTTGAAAAAGACACATCACTTTCATTGTCAGAACCTTTGTTTTTGGGAAAGTATCTGTAATGAAACAAATCAAGATGTATTTGTGAATCTCCATTCTGCCTCTCAGGGTCCTATTTCTTTTGGATCGATGTATGGAATGTCAACATTTATAAAACTTTTATTTTCAAAATTTAAAAAGCTCATATACAAACATGATTGACACTGTTGAAATTCTAGTGTTAAACTAAATAATAGGCAAATAAATTACTGCATGTTCACATTTCATGTCCACATAAAACCTTTTCATATAACCATATTTACAATGTTTTTTGAAAAAAAATTATTCACTGAAAAACTTGTTTTACTGCAGACAAACAATCCTTACTTGCGTCTATGGCCACTTTCTGTATCACTGGTTTGACCCACTCTCCTGGGGAACTTCTGTACGTCACTGTGTAGTGACACTGGGGACTCACGTCCTGAGGTGTACAGCCCACTATAAATCAAATAATTACTGTAATAGCTAAATTTACCACTATATGGGAGAGGGGAGGGTTGAGTTAAACAATCCATCAAAATTTAAAAAACTGCTCCCTTTGCAGTCAAATAATATAAAATTAGTTTGTAACACAGGTCTTTTTATATGCATAGGACCTTGAAATTTGAATTGTGAGCGAAACATTTTAAAACTCACGTATCCCCATCCTTTTCCCAGGGTGCACTTCTCGTACTTCTAGGTGACTGATTCCTCTGTAGATCTGGCAAACTTCTGTGACGAGATCTAAAACAACCAAAATTTCAGAATTAGTTACTGAAAATTGTCACATGTTTAGATTATTTTAATATAAGGCCATTCCAAGTTTTTTCTCTGTTTAGCGTCCACCCATCTTTCAAAAACCTACCTACCTATTTGCAAAAAGCACACAAACCAAAAAATAAAACACAGACTTTATAGTCATAAAAATGACATCACTCAAAGGATTTGATTTCATTAATCTATTTTTCTAGTAGAAAAAAAAAATTCTTCAGCAAAATCAAGGTATTCAATGCTTACTATATTCCTAATGATATATCGTAGACAAACACTTTGAGAAATTGACAGAATTCAGTGATTTGGACCAGAATATTCAATTTGAGGACTCATGATTTTGTTTGTTTTTTGTGACATGGGGTGTCAAAAACCAAGGCGGACACGGACGCTTAACATAGAAAAAACTTGGAATGGCCTAAAGTTCTGTTGATTTGGCTTGAAGCCTTCTGTTCATCTGTGATATTTCACTATACAATGAGCACAAATTGACTTTATTGATGTCGTAGTTGAGCCATCTACCACTAAATAAGGTGATCCCATCTACCACTAAATTAGGTGATCAATGACCAACAAAATTATGTAAGGATAGAATAGGACCAGGTACATGTATTTGTCCAAGAATTTACCAATCAAAAAATTGTGGCCTTGATCCCCGAGTAAATTAATGAAATCACAATATGCTAAAGCATTACCCTCTGACTGGTTCAGGGGCCACAACTCTGGTGACTGCTGCATCATTGATGACACTATAATAGGAGCCCGCCTTTCCTCCTACAACAGAAATCATTATGAATGATAAAGCTTCTTCTCTGCAGATCCTACACTGTAAACATACTAAATTTAGTGGTAATCACATTTCAGTGCCTGAATTTTGCACTGCTTCTTGCCCACTATTTCATGTATAAGCTAATATAAAATTAAAACAAATCTGTACAGAATGATTCCAGGTGTGCTAATTTCTTATTAAGCTTATCAGTTTATGAATAGAATTGTGTTAAATTTTGAGTATGTTAATTTATGTATATTTACAGTAATTATGTTGAATTCTACAGATTAATTCTATCCAGATATTTGTAATCTTGATATTCCGGATATTGATTTAGTATACATTTATACTTTTGCAATTTTACCGTTTAGTTTTGAGTCTGACTTGCTTCTGGTTGGTTGCCGTCTGCTTGGTATCCTAGTAACCAATGGCTGCTGTCTGATATCATTATTATTCTGTCTATCATTTCTACCACTAATAAAAGAAAAATGAATATTCTAAATTGTGAATTTTATCAAAGGAGATGAATTCTGAAATAGATATGAAATTTCTTTGAAAGACATTTTAAGATTTTTATAACATTATTTCAAATTCCACAAAAATATATATGTCTAAGTTAGACATGCATGTACATACAGAGTGTACAAAAATTATATCCTTAATTTGTCAAAGATATCTCAAATTATGAAATTTCAATAATCAATAAATAAATAAATATTCATTGGAATCAATAGATATTTGAGAGTAAAAAAATATCAGTAAAATTTTCAGAAATTAAGTCACTCCTTATCATTCAATTTTATCAACCATATTTAAAGTTAGATTACAATGTGTATATCCATCAAACAGGTCTTAATAAAATTAACCAAATGATTAGAAATGGTTAGAGCAAAAAACATTATGTTTCTTGATTCTAGAGTGGTATGTGTAAATACGAAAACTGAAAATAACTTGTCATTATTTAGTGAGTTTGTTAAGACAACGAGATTTTTCGTTCATACGAGTTTCCATAAATCGTCCATCTTACCTCCTTCTGGTTCCAGCTTGTCTAGAGTGTTTGGAGGAAAGAGCTAATGTATCTGCTAGCTGGTTAATTCTAGATTGCAATAGAATACACAAAATATGATCATATCTAGCTCCAGAGTGTAGCTTCTCCCGGGCTTGTGTTAGAGAAATATCACGGAGGAGAATTATTTCGGAAGGAAGAAGGCTAGGGAATATTCAAATATTTCATGGTGATATGAAGATACAATGATATAAAAACACTAAAAGTCTATGATAAATATAAAATAGCAAGCCAAACCATGATGAATGAACATGAATATTAATTGACTTAATGGAAATGAAAATATATTTATTTCCTATTCTAGATACAAAGCACGAAAGTTAATACGAATAACAAAGAAAATGCTTATAAAATAAAATAAATTCTGCATCTGAATATAGCTACTTATAAATATCAAAGTGTGGGTGTAAATAAAATGAAAGATAGCCAAAGGATGGTTAACATATGTTCTATGGAGGTACCTGAAAAATGTGTGATGCTCGACACAGCACTTCCACAGGTGTTTAGTTCTTGTCTTTGTAGCCACATCAAAGGCATAGGTATGCTCATCATTCTGTAAATAATGAAAGAAAAAGTGAGCAAGCTCACATACACCACGCTCCCCCAAAACTCGACATTGCAACATGTACTGAATAGCACAGTGCATTTTAAAAACACGGTATAATTCAAAAAGGGGCATTACTTGCAAAAAATCATCACATCAAAACTTCTTGCATATAAGGACATTCAAATCTTTGTATGTTACAAATTTAATAGGGCTGAAGTTTCTAGATAAATAATGGAATAAAAATTTCTTGGTAATATACAAATCTATACATTATGTCTGAAATACCTACAAAGTTTCAGGAAATTCAGTGCAGGAGTTATGCTGACAAACTGTTATTTAAATTCCTCAGTGATTTCGATTTGTTAATGAGTGTAATTCCATGTCCAACACATGACAACTTACACATTTAAATAATTGATGGAAACAAAATTATGATGTAGTCATATGAATTTGTTTATATACTGTACTTATGAAATAATTTAAGGCAAAGCACCAATTTAAGGGGAGTGGGGGGGGATGAGAACTATCCAAGATTCAAGATTTTGTGTGTGTGTTAAATCATTCATATTTTGATCTCAAAATCAACAGGGGTCTTTTAAGGTCATAAAATATTTCACAAAAAATGTCATTACAAAGGCTAATTCCAGTGTGGATTTCCTTATTACCTAGCTGGAAAGTTTATTCAATAATAGGCAAAACTCTTAGGGCAAAAATAATGGAATCGGAATTTCCTGGTAATATGCACATCTACACACTGTGTCCTAAATATCTGCAAAGTCTGATGAAATTCTGTGCAGCAGTTTAAAAGGAGTTGTGCTGACAAACTGTTCATCTCTATATTCAAGATATGGCTAAAAATCTAAGTTGAAAAGTGCCGAAATTCCAAGAAAAATAAAGGAATCGAAATTTCCTGGTAATATGCAAAATCTACACATTGTGTCCTAAACATCTGCAAAAGTTGACGAAATTCTGTGCAGCGGTTTAGGAGTTGCGCTGACAAACTGTTCATCTCTATATTCAACATATGGCCAAAAATCTAAGTTGAAAAGTGCCGAAATTCCAAGAAAAATAAAGGAATCTAAATTTCCTGGTAATATGCACATCTACACATTGTGTCCTAAATATCTGCAAAAGTTGAAGAAATTCTGTGCAGCGGTTTAGGAGGAGTTGCGCTGACAAACTGTTCATCTCTGTATTCAAGATATGGCCAAAAATCTAAGTTGAAAAGTGCCGAAATTCCCAGAAAAAATAAAGGAATCGGAATTTCCTGGTAGTATGCACATCTACACATTGTGTCCTAAATATCTGCAAAGTTTGACGAAATTCTGTGCAGCGGTTTAGGAGGAGTTGCGCTGACAAAAAAACAGGACTGACGGACTGACTGACTGACGGACGGGTCAAAAACATTATACCCCCCGCAACTAGTTGCATGGGGTATAAAAAAAATAGCATTTGTTTGTGAAACATTTTTCCCAAGAAAAAGTTTAGTTCAATAAGTGGTATATGAAAGTAGTAATAAATTGGTAAATTCATTATGTGATAAATTCAAAATGACCTTGACTTGACATGACCTTGACCTTTACATCGACCAGTATAAGTTCTATGCAATACTGTTCAAAAGTTTGATCAAGAGTCAAGTTGCATGAAAGAGTCATTAAGAAAATGTTTCAAGACCTTACATGCATAAATACAGGGTATGAAAATGTTACACCTGATACATATTTTAAGACCTTTTTCTTGAACTGTAATTTTGTTTTGCCTTGATGGAATCATTATAATAATATTTCCCTATACTTAATTCAATACAAAGAATAAACAGTACAACTGTAAATACTCACATTTTTGTCTCTGACTTTTATGATGAAAATTTTTCCTTTGAAAGTGACCTTTGTTATTCTTGGCCTGTAAAAAATAAGAACATTACAGATATGTTTATACTGAAAGGTTGGTTGAAATTTTGACAATTTTGGCATTTTGGGAATATGACTAGTGGAAGCTTTGACCATCTACTTGTATTTAACATTGCTATTTTTACAAGAATGAGAAAGTTAATGAGCCGAATGTTTGATGATGAATGCCATTAATCAATATCATCAGTATTTCCAAACAGTCAAAGTTCTCAAATTTACAATATATCTATAACTTAACCAACATTTTGCAAGGACTGCAATTTTTGCAGAGAGCTACACTATATAGGGAACATGGAACTCATGTACACAACTGCAGTTCCTTGGTATTTTTCATACATAAATGTAATCAATAGGCAACCTCCTGTGATTTTTGAAATTGTAAACCAAGCAAAAGCACTGTCTACGCCATGTTAAAACAGAAACGTAATCTTACCAGAAGTAATTTCCGACTTTTGACTTGTTCTTATAAACAACAATTCCTGTTGGTGTTAGTCCCAGGAAGTACTCTGTGTTACCTTCACCCTGTAATAAAAGAGGTCAAGGTCAATGGAAACATGCTACAAATGTGAATAGTCATCATTGTTGAAAATCTGAAAATCACAGGTTTCAATTTAAATTCTTCTTGTACATACCAGCACAGAGTGTAGGTCTACTCCATACATATCCAGCCATTTGACTTTGTCTAGGAATTTGTACTCTGCCTGACTTGCACTCAGCCCACTATGTTATACAAGTAAACATACACATTACAAACAATATGACATCATTTTAATTGATAACTACCTTTATGAACTTGTTTCAACAGCCTTATGCTTAGACAATCAGTAGTTTGGATCTGATTAAAATGACCATACCTAAGATGTTGATGAAATCTGGCAATGCGCTCCTCCAGTTCTTGAGTTTGATTTGGGACAAAACGGAATTCGGAAACATACCCTTCATAACAGGTTCTGGGGTCAAAGTCACCTAGTTCAGCTGAAAAAGTAAACAGGAATAAAGATTCATACCATTAAATGCCTTGCAAGGTTGATAAATTATGTGGAGCACATATTAATTATTTATCTCCATTTGAACAAAACACATCCTTAATGAAGAAAGGACTTTGACCCCAATTTGGCAAATTAGAAATTAAAGATTAAGACTTCTATTTAAATAAAATACAAAATAATTATACTTGACTGCTTAAAAAATTCATGTAAACTATTTTTTTAAAAACAAAAATAAGTTTCTATTTATTTTATTATAGAGGTACATTTAAGTAATGCTAATTAATGATTGCACCAAACACTCCATACCCAGTTACTGTGCTAAATTTTTGAGTATGTCAATTTAAGTATATGTACATTAAAGATTAAGATTTCTATTTGAACAAAATTCATCCTATATCAAGAAAAGCCTTTGTACCTTGCACAGCAAAGGCAAATAATTCTGCAGCTTCATCAAAGGTTATGGGTAGCCTCCCTTGAAGAATATCTCTTTTTATTTGTAGGAAGAACTGATATCTGTATAATATTAGAAACTGATATACTCATGCTTAAGACAAGTCCACAGAACAGCTGTAAATAGAATAAGAAGGTAGCATAAATTATGTCACAGATTATTTACTCAATACAGTCAAACCTCGTCATCTCGAACTCGATGTGACTTGGAAAAAACTTCGAGATATCCAAGGCTTTTGAGATATCGGGGGTAAAATACTTAAAGAATAAGAAATTGGGACTTCCAATTCATTTCAACATATCCATGGGCTTCGAAATATCAGTGTTCAAGATACAGAAGTTCAACTGTTCTGTAAATATTCATAAATGACTTTTTTATGGTAAACTGCCTTGAATGTGACATTCTGGACCGATTTCTTCTTCTTTTTTTTTTACAGAATTTACCTGGTAATTTCCTCCTTTAGTTTACACGGGTCTGGAGGATAAAATTTGACACCAAAATAGAAAGTGTAGGGTTGACTGCATGCTGAAACAGGAAATTATGGCATATAGTTGTACATGCTTAGCATAGAATTCTACTCAGTGTAGTGCAGATAACAGAGTAGGCACAATTCACATAACACAATCTTTATAAACTTCTAAAGTTTGAATTCATTTTTTCCCAGTTTCCCAGAGGAGAGAGTTTCATTTTAACTTTGTTTTAAAATAACCTACATATTTTTTATCATTTTAGACTTTGCACAAAAAAAACAAACTTTTTGTTTTTGCCTTAGGGAAAATCTTTTGCACCTGCCATATCTGTAACCTTTTGCTGAAAGGTTATATATAGTTGCCTTACGCTACCAAAATTGAACACCTCATAAAAATGCTTTTTATGGCATGAGAAGCCATCAGTGATATAGGGCCTGTTACAGGAGAATTCACTCCAAATCATTACAGATATGCACATAAACAGCTTTAGTCTGATGTGTAAAATTGCGACATTGAGTCTCTTTAATATAAACAGTGTATACCGGTATATAAACATGCAATATCTACATGGACATGCTTCAAGTAACCATATATTCAGTAAACTTGTCTAATCCAGACAACATTTCATTATAAGCGTGTTTTACTGTATTGGTACATTAGTAACAGCATAACAGGTCAATACATACACTTTAACTGTGAGGAAAGTGCCTTCTGTGGGTCCAACCAATGCTGAAAAAAAAAGAAAATATAATGCAATGGTGTTGCATATGGACTAAATGTAGGTCATTTCCACTCCTCATTTATTATAGATCCACCACATAAAAATACATCCACCACATAAAATACTGTATACAGGGAAACTTTCACCTCCATTTTATTTTCATCCCTTTTGCCATTGTCACAAGTGGGCATATTAAAAACGGGGCTAATTCAAAGAAAACACGACTGTGTTTTAATTACAACTAGGTCTGTGTGAATTTAAAGTGGGGCAAAATTGTTTTCAAGTGTGAAAGGGCGAAAATATCATAGGGCAAAAATAACTCTGTATAGAGTATTGCTGCACCATAACCATTCTGTTGTATAGATATTAAGAGAAGCAATTATTTAACTGAACCTTATGTTCAATTTAAAAGAAATTTTAATCAAAAGTTTAAATGGATGGCAACGTAAGATTTAAGACATCTTCATTGGTCATGTTACTTAATGGACTCCACACTTCAAAGAGGGATGACTGGTAAACTAACTGTACTGCTAAAGATGTATATTTTATAAACTTTTTCATTCCTTACTATCATAATTATGTTCTAATTTTAAAAAAAAAGCTTGGTTTACATTAAACCAAACCAATTAAATCTATAAAACTTGCAGTTTAACACAAGAAGTGGTCATAATTCATAGAAATCAGACACTACAGATTTAAAATGGAGGAATATGTACAAAATTGAGTTCTAGTTTCACAAAAGAAATTAACTTATACCATTTCCTTTTAAATTTTAATAACTTTGGCATGCTTTCAGATAGAATGTATCTCTGATGATATTTCTAAATAGAATGATTGAAAATCTTTATACCTTTAATGATTAATGTATTGATGCGGCATTTGTTAACTGCCGCAATGGTTTATGCATATACATACCGTCTGGTCAGACTGGTCTAGAAATCTGAGGCCAAAATAGTCTCTCTCCAACAGATTCAAGTGTTCAAATACTTTGTCCAGCAAGTGGGAGGCTTTGGAATTTCCCTGCAAAATATCACAAGAAAACTGAGTTTTGTTATGTGTAACATACCAGCAAGATAAAACATAGTCTATATTCCAAGTATTATTAGGCCAAGATAATAAATAGTGTGTTTCCTATTCCAACCCGAGAAAAAATAGGGTAGGTAGGTAGGGAAAACATTTTATTTTATTTTAACATTTTATTGGCAAGCATACTACCATACCAAACCTGTACAGATGAAAATGAAAGTTAAAATGAACATAGCTAGGAGCTGAACCCTATATACATGTGACTTGAGCCTGATATACCTAGAAATGGACCCTTCATACATGTGACTTGAGTCTGATATACCTAAAAATGGACCCTTCATACATGTGATTTGAGCCTGATATACCTAGAAATGAACCCTTAATACATACGACTTGAACCTGATATACCCAGAAATGGACCCTTTATAAACATTGATGTGAGTCTGATACAATGAAACATGCTTATTATTTATAGCTAGTGTTAGGGACAATTAACTTTAATTAATTATAAACGTAATTCATTATATCAATTATATAAGTTCATATCTGCAGGGAATGAAATGAAATCGCTTGATTCTAAGCAGTTGACCCATTATACATGTCAGTGTGTTGCTTTAATAGTGTTTTATACTGTGCATACTCAGAAAATGAACCCTTTATAAATATGAGCCGAGTCTGATATAGAGCTGAGTCCAAGAAGTACAGAAGCTTAAGTAACTATGACATTAAAGCCTGACAAATCTGGGACCTAAACCTTATTAACATAGTTGAGCCTGATATACCTAGGGATGAACCTGATATACATATCAGCTGAGTCTGATGTAGAGCTGAACCCTAGAGGTACAGAAGTTTAAGTAACCATGACATTGAGCTTGACAAATCTGGGACCTGAAGCTTATTTACATAGTTGAGCCTGAAATACCTAGAGATGAACCTGATATACACAGAAGTTGAATCTTATTAGTCCCCTATCAGTGAAACTGGAGGGGACTATAGGTTTCCTCTTCATCTGTCTGTCTCTCTGTCTGTTTCATGTGGTTTTCCCCCTCTTTTTGTTCCAAGCACTTGCATATATTGAGCTGATTTTTTGGTATGTGAGTATACCTTTTTATTATGAATTACAGACCCAAGTTAGCACTTGGCTCTGCTTTGGTGATTTTTGATGGCATTATGGTCTTTTTAATTTTCAAGGGGAACCAGATTTCACTTGCCAGTAGGGGACTAGCATTGCTTCATGCAATACTCTCAGAATGCTTGTTTTAAATAAAATTTTGTACTTAAAGAAAAGAAAATTCACATCTTATCATGCTAGATAGCATATGGGCAAAAAGTCTGGAGTGATATTCCTAATATATATTCAGGATTAATGATCTAATCAAGATTTTTTTTAAGGTGATAGAGATTATATACCCCACCTATAGTCATAAATATTTACACAGCAATAAAAGACAAGTACTCAGTCAATTATCCTCACCTAACGTTCAAAAAGATTTTTGCACATTTCAACAATACGTCAATGCACATTTGATGAATTACCGGTAATTACCTACTAGTTAAAAAGGCAGCCAGGCTTCCTTACACATCTTTTACGAATTCTTTCAATTTATAGACAAACAAAATATGACAAGACTTTTAAATTAAATGCCGGTGTTTATTACAATGACTGAAAGAAGACACGATATAGGAGTTTTCTGTGTGTAGGATACGATGGCAATACCCGATTACGATATTACACTTAATCAGCAAGGCGATGGATCCATGAGAAATTCTTTGTGCAAACTGTTGATGTTCTGTCAAAATCTTTAAATCTCTTACAATTTTTTTTCTTTCTTAAAGCTTTAGAGTTTACTACAAATATAAGATTTCTATTGTTAAGAGTTCTGAATACCAAATTACCTGTAAATGTTTGAAATTTAAAAGATAAAGCGATAAATTCACACTTTGATATTTACAATAGGTGTTTCTTAGGGTGTCAGAGAATCAAGGTGAGATTCACCTAATTCTGGATTACACATTATCTTTATGTGCCATAAAGCAAAGTATTTTCATTCACATATTAATTAAGACTGTATTCCAGGATTTAATAAAACAGTGTAACAGTGGAGCCCAGTGTGGAGCATATATCTTGGAACCACCATGTACAACCTTGGTGGCTCAACGGCCTAGATCTGACTTCTCTTAGGAACCACCATGTACAGCCTTGGTGGCTCCATGGCCTAGATCTGACTCTCCTCAGGAACCACCATGTATATCCTTGGTGGATTTATGGCCCAGATCTGACTCCTCTCAGGAACCACCATGTATAGTCTTGGTGGCTCCATGGCCCAGATCTGACTCCTAGCAGGAACCACCATGTATATCCTTGGTGCTTCCATGGCCCAGATCTGACTCCTCGCAGGAACCACCATGTATATCCTTGGTGGATCCATGGCCCAGATCTGACTCCTCTCAGAAACCACCATGTATATCCTTGGTGGATCCATGGCCCAGATCTGTCTTCTCTCAGGAACCACCATGTACAGCCTTGGTGGCTCCAGGGCCAAGATCTGAATCCTCTCAGGAACCACCATGTACATCCTTGGTGGCTCCAGTGCCCAGATCCGACTCCTCTCAGGAACCACCATGTATATCCTTGGTGGCTCCAGGGCAAAGATCTGAATCCACTTTATAATGATTTTTTTCTGTCAGATACTGGTAATAATTAAGACACTGCATGTATATACACTCAATGGCTGCTTTCAAACCTGCACATGCCAGAATTTTTACAAGTCCTTCAATCCTGTTGAGAAAATATTTAAGGCACCCTGGAAACCACCAGGAAATGGAAACAATATATAGCAAACAGCAAACAAGTTTTAGACAGCCCCCCTCCCCCAATACATTTCCTGGCAAATAGCCCTAACATTCATTCTTTAGTTATTCGAAAAGTACATGTATCTTGGCAAACCATTTCACAGACAAACACTCCAACCAGAATGTTTATTTTATGTAAGAGGCATAAAACTTTTTTTGAAACAATATTCAAACAAAACGGGGCCATTCACCAAAGAGTTCACATATTCTAAACACATCTTTTTTTCTACATTGGAATTTGACAAGTTCAAACAAAATTTTAACTGTTTGTTAGAACCAGCAGGTGGTCATTCTGGCTTCTTTTATACAGTCTGATTTCACAAAAGACAAATCGCTGACCACCCTTATGCAAGAATGAAAGGGATTTTAAAAATCTATACATCCATGTTAGGATTGACTTCCAATACATGTATTATGCTCATTAAAATCAATGCACTGGTTTATTTGTAACGAAGAAAAAACAGTTGACTTAATAATTTACAAAATTATTGAACTTTTTAAAAAGCAATTGAATTTAAACCCTTAAATGCATTCAATACTTAGATGCTATTGAAAACCTAATATAAATTAAAACCTGTAACATCGGAAGCCAAGAAAATGATATCTTATACACTACAAAATCTTGCCAGACTTATGAATACAAATTCTACTACATAAATGACAAAATGATTGCAATAATGTATGTACCTTAAAGAAATGCTAATATCTTAATGTTAATTTTTATACAATGTACAAAAAAACATCAATAGGTCTTTCCACTAGTAATTATGGAATTATTCAGGTAAGTTTTCCGGAAATTTTATCTTGTGAGACAATTTCTGCTAAGTCTGTAGTTTAATATTCGACAGTAATTTAAGATTCCCATGTATATCATTAGATGTCCCGTTGTGTACATTATGTATAGTAGTTATACATGTACACAACATACCAACCCCAATCCTGCACTCGACGACAGAAGAATGACGACAGATGTGGGGCGAGGTTTTACCTGTGACAGGTAGACCCAAACCTACAGAATTATATATACCTAAGACCGATGAGAAAGCCGATACCTGGGATAACGCGACATAAATTGCCACTTTCACAGTCAACTTCCCCGATAGCATCTTGGCCATCATTTAAACTACTGCATTAAGACCATGTATATCAATCAAAATATTGTGTTTACAAATTGTGGGACAAATTTTTACCTTAGAAAAAGGAGATATAGACATGTAAAAAAAAATATATAATTACCGGTACTTTCTACTTCTCCTGTGAAAAGTGTGAAATTATTTGGAATTCAGAAATCAGCATATTAAAGTTCCCTGATACATTATCAGAAATGTGATCAGAATTTGGATTAATCCTTAAAATCTTGCCATGATTAGAATATTCTTATTGAATTATGATAATTAATTAAAAACCAAGGCAATTCCCTTAAATTACACATTTTGCAGATTATCATAGATCATCCTGTATCTATACATTACTTGATATGCATACCATCAAATAAATTACTTTGTACAGTAGTATATATTATGTACATTCTACAATTCAAAAAGAAAAGAGGTCATATTGACATTCTGCAAATACCTATGCAGAAAGTCTGGTCCAATTATTAATCAAGAGATTAGCTTATTTAATCAGAGGATCAAACATTTTTTTGAAATGTTAATTTCCACTTCAAAAGTCCACTAATGTATGACATAATCCCTATAAAATAATTAATTAACCTCTGTAAGATTTATAATTACAAAGCCACAGATCAGTATAAAGAAAACAAGGTGCAATTATGCATCTTGGAACTTTTTCAATGTACTCAGCATTAGCATTAGCAAGAGCATTAATTTACAAATGAACTTAGTCTAGCTGATTTATAATTGTTTCATATTCTCCATTTTAGATGTTTAATGAGGCTAGCCTGGCCTAGGTGCTAAGATATCTCAATCTCCTCAATGGATTCTCAAATAACCAATGGGTGTCAGATTTTGGGCACAGATATCTAAGTTGCATAATAATTTTCCGAATAAAATTAGGGGGAACTCCTGTAGAAATATTCCAGCAGAATATGCAACCACACTGAGAGACAAACCTCAATATCTTGCCTGTTAGAAAACTGTAAGATATCCAAGACAAACCTAAATATCTTTCCTGTTAGATAACTGCGAGATATCCAAGACAAATCTCAACATCTTGCCTGTTAGAAAACTGCGAGATATCCAAGACAAATCTCAACATCTTGCCTGTTAGAAAACTGCGAGATATCCAAGACAAATCTCAACATCTTGCCTGTTAGAAAACTGCGAGATATCCAAGACAAATCTCAACATCTTGCCTGTTAGAAAACTGCGAGATATCCAAGACAAATCTCAACATCTTGCCTGTTAGAAAACTGCGAGATATCCAAGACAAACCTCAATATCTTGCCTATTAGAAAACTGCGAGATATCCAAGACAAATCTCAACATCTTGCCTGTTAGAAAACTGCGAGATATCCAAGACAAACCTCAATATCTTGCCTATTAGAAAACTGCGAGATATCCAAGACAAATCTCAACATCTTGTCTGTTAGAAAACTGTGAGATATCCAAGACAAATCTCAACATCTTGTCTGTTAGAAAACTGCGAGATATCCAAGACAAATCTCAATATCTCGAACTTTACAGGACTGTAAGCAAACAGTGAAATATAGCAAACTCACCAGGCTTGTTCTACAAGAATGAATGATCCAGTGGGGACTCCAATAAACATATCCCTGGTATTCAGTTTACATAATTTAATTTCAATCAAGATTCTAAAGTCCAACTGTGCACAAATATCAAGTGTGCATGATGCAAAAATTAACTTTTTCATTAGTACCTAATAGTAAACTTCCATGCTTAGCTTCCTCTATTAACAGGACTTAAAAATCAAAATGATGATCTCGAGTGAACCAAATACTGTAAAATTTCCATGAAAAGTTTGTGCCCGCATACATAGGGTAAATAAATCCCGAGCGGAAAAATGTATGTCTACAGTATTCTACATTACCTAGAAGTCATTTATTTAACTTGTTGCAGCTTCACTGAAATGCCATACCTCAAGGCTAGTACATTCAACCCAGAAAAAACATATACATACTCCAAAAATTCATTCAAGCATATCTGCTCTATTGAGCTTGCAACTATATTTTTTTTGGAAAGGGGGGGGGGGGGGTGAGGGAGGGAGGTAGTAAAAATGGATTCATGGATTAATTTAGTTTCAACTTTCAAATTAAACATTTTGATAAACCAGTCAATTCTTCAGACACAGTACACATGCAATTTGTAGCATTTTCTCTTGGAAAAAAAAACAACATGTTCTCTGCATCATACAAGTGCATAGCAGTCCAATAATAACTTTTTTTCCCAACTTTTTGTGTCAAACTAAGCCTTACAGTGGCCATTATACGTATATTTCAGTAACAGCCAACACAAAATGCAGACTATTGCAATGGAACCTAGCTAGCCTTTTTTTAGCAGACTGAAGTATAAACGCTTTGTACCAAACAATGCGCACCCAGCGGATGAAGATGAGCAGATAGCGCACGTCCTTGTCTGAGCTCATAAAGAGAACAGTAAAATGTACACCAAGAGTCGTAAAACACAAATCAAAAATATTTCTGTCATTGTTTGGACCATTACATGTGACAAAATAGAAAGAATGCTTTTGTGTTTTCCCATCATTTCATCCTTTTTGTGATACAATTGGAGTGTAACTGGTTAACTTGACATTATAATTAAAACATATGGTACTACTAAATACATGAAATAACTTCATTTTTTTATTTCACTTTTAAACATTCAGATTTAATTAAGTTTTTTTTAGGTCTGGATTTTTAATCAATCCTTGATAGTAAATCGATGTAGTGTGGACTGAATGTATGAATGAAAATCTTACAGGATGTAAATATGAATTAAGCTTTAAATCAAATGTCAATCAGGCATGAAATGGAATTTTAAAACCAACTTACAAAACTGAAGGGATATTATGAGAGCCCTGACGAACACAATGTCCAAAACAGATTTAAAGTTACATCACTCGTCAAATATACCCCCGATCGACTTAAATCAAATTTAAAAGATCCATCTGTCCTCAAACAAATACCAAAAATACACACAAACTGAATTCTCAGGGTGTCAACTTTGTACCTTGTTCTTTAATAAACATGAAGTGCCCAGTGAAAACATACCTGTATGGCACAAAACATAAACAAAGACAGGTGAGAGCAGGTAAGATAGGGGATGAGGAGGGCCTCTTTCACAGATCTGTACTCTCAACCAAAAGATAGCATTAAACAATTAAATATAACAGTCAATAAGATAAACAATGGCAATCGTAATAGGTGTCAAATGTACAGTGAATCTTTCAAATGAAAACATCAAACTTCCCCTCTGAGGCAATACCCTGGCCTACCTCTCTGCAGTTTGTGAGGGCTGACGGGGCCACTTTGACCAAAACATACCAGGTATTTTAAGTTGTAGAAGTTAACAATTGCCCCCCTTTTTCTGACAGCGTGCAGTCATACTGGACAGGCAAAACAGAAGAAATACAAATCTAACTAAATAAGAGATATAATTTCCCTTTGGCAAGGACTTAAGTCTATAATGAACCACTTTATCAAGTGTATATAAAATATATGTATGTCTGTTGACAGTATGAAATAGATTTCTCACTGGGCTGTGTTCCACTCAGTATTATAGTGTAGAAGAAATGGAGAGAGGATAGAAATTAAGGTAGATATCTCCCAAAAATTAGGTTCATTTTCATTGAGGCACTCTGAAAATGATGAAAACTCTGTGTCACAACTAACAGAAGAGGGAGATTGAAATTATATTATTAAGAGTATTTATTAATTGCCTAGACAACATAAACCAGGTGAATTTTCTAGAATCAAGGCATTAGGGTAACTGTTGACTTGTAGCTAAATTTTTCCCCTTGCACTTAAATATCCCATCTCATTGAAAAGCCACTGACTCTGCAATGTTTAATGAGCATATGTGATTTAACAAATTGTCTAAAGTCAGCTCAGTCTGGCAATAAAATGTCTCAAGAAGGTCACTGTACTTATAAATCCACATCTTTATACATATACTGTAATTGAAATTTAACCATGAAATGGAAGAATGTGCCATGGTTTTTACATTAAATAGCTGGGAATGATGCCATGCAAACACCACAGGATGGCAATTACGTGCAAGTGTTCAAAGCCTGGTTGCACATAACCATGACCTACTCCATCATTGCAACGAATCTTCCCCAGTCTCCTGGGTTTATCCAGAGTTGATTAATTCAGGGGAGTAATGCATTTTCTAGTTCCCATCTATCTTTTTTTTCCTTCTATCTTTTTTTTAATCAACAGCAATGAAGTTTCATACCTACTTGAAATTCAGGGGAGGGAAGTATACTTTCTTAGTAATAATGATCATGCAGGAGTTATGCCCCTTTATTCAGAATTGACATCTATAATTTTTCACACTGTTTTCAATGAAAATTTAATTGAAGTATTTTTTACCCCAAGCATAACATCCCAATTATATTATATTCTTCGATGTCGATGGTAGGCTACCAAATATGAAGGAGAGGGCAAACGTGTATTCATTTGTATGTGGTATACAGTAAAACATACTTATAACGAAGTGCCAAGGACAGATGATTTTGCTTTGTTATAAGTGTAATTCAGTATATCCGTTCAGTTTACAACAATTTTTAAGGTCACAGGGAATGAAAATCACTTCGCTGTAAGTGCAATACCAGGGCGGTGTTCAAGGTCATAGCCGGTACATAAGATTAAGATTCTGTGGAGTACAGTAGGTGGATAATTTTCAATGGAGAATTTAAGTTTCTTAATGATTTAAACAAAAATGTCCCCATCTGTGCATGCTTGCACAATGCACTTGGTTCCTCACTAGTCTGAAATATCCGACGTTTTCCAGGCTTTTTTCACGATTTTGATATTTTACGTGCCAGGAAAACGTCAGAACCGGCGCCATTACGAAAACTGGGAATTCGCCGCCTCCAACCAGAGGCGGCATTCTCGGGTTGATTTTTGATACTAGCAAAGCGAATGAGATGTCAAACTCACAATTTATCAATGGTTCAATGCCTTTAGTACTCACCAACTTCATTTTTATGGTTTGTTTACAAAATATACAATCCGATGAAAACACTTTTATTTGACTGTCGAGATTTGTTTTCATTTCGTGCATTTTAAAATCTTTCAAGTCCTGTATCAAAATGATGAGGGATGTTTTGTGCATTGTGCTACTGATTAATTGTGTAAGTTCACCATTTAATTCAGTTCGCAAGTATCGAAAATCAGCTCCGATTGGAGACGGTGAAATTTTCCAGTTTTCATAATGGCGCCGGATCTGACGTTTTCCTTGCATGTAAAATATCAAAATTGTGAAAAAAGCCTGGAAAATGTCAGATACTTCGGACTAGTTCCTCACATGCAATTGTTCTGTGGTAATATACATAGTATGGCACTGAATACTGCATATAAATGTGTATCAGGATGAATATGAAAACTTTTATCTGGCATAAACCCCTTATGTATTTAGTAGTTTATTATTTATCCATATATGTATATCTTCATGATTATAGAGAATAATGTCAAGTTTTTGTCATTATTACAGGCCACAAAACCAGTCTGCTATGCTGATCACTGCAAACACTAAATGTTGGTGTGCATTTATAGTATATATGCTGATGACTGTCTTTACCTTACATCACCTTTTTGTGTCACCGATACCCCATCATTAACCAGCAGGTGCGATGATAAAATCTTGCGGTATAACACAACTAACGATTCATTTAGTTGATTTTCTAGCTTTAAGTAAGGAATAACGAACCATTTGTAAATATTCAAAATTCAAAGAAAATTATATGAAGTAACTATAAGTTTTAATCAACCTGTCAACCAAACAAAAAACTCTCACCATTGTCCATGTTGTCAGTGATAGGGGGTATACAATTCTTGGATAAAACATACCTTGAATGAAAGATGTAGATCTGTGTCGTCCAAAAAGAGAATTCGACAGACAGGTCCATCCTTGGGCCTATCCAAAAACCCACTGTCCCTGGTGATCGAAGTTTTGGACTTGTCACTTCTCAAAAATCTTGGAATTAACCGCGAAAAACGAGACATGGTCTCATCGGGAAGTCGTTAGCTTTCCCTCCTCAAAATTCACACAAAACATTAGGACAACATTACCCGTCCGATTTCGTCCACCATAACTTACTCACTCCAGAGTAACACATTTAGTGTAGGAGTGTCCCGCAACCAATATTCTCTTTTATTGTTTTCTTCGCGATTACCTGTGCACACACACACCTGTGCATGGGAGACAACCGCGAAAACCAAAACAAATTTACAATAAAACCTCCACGCACAGACATGATAATTCCGAATTGAGCATATCGCTGTTAGAATCTCTAAAGTAAATATAAAATAAAAGGGGGGGGGGGGGCTAAAATAAATAGATAATCAATAATAAAATTTTTAAAAGTGATTTTTTTCATGGGCACGGTTTTCTATTACAAATCTAGAATCAAATCAGCCCCCCCCCAAAAAGGAAAAATCCTAGACTTGATTAATTTGCACACAATACAATTATCTCTGGCTGTATTCTCTATTTTGCCAGACAACAGTTTCAATTTCAAAATTAAGACTTTGCATCAAAACAAAATTATTTCGTAGTTATCATTGATTTCAAGCAAATACAGCGGGTATAATTGTAAACACAACAATTAAGAGGTTTGACAAACCCAGTAAACTAAAATTTACAACACTTACAAATAAAACCCTTGAGCTTTTTAATGTTAGTTATTTAATTTTTTATTGAAGTTTCATCTCTTATCATTGATTTCTAGACTTTTTCGTGTGTGGTTTTAGTTGGTTCACGTTGAAACAAATTCAGTCCTTGTATGTAAACCTTGACCTGTTCCAAAGCAAATTAATCATCCGGATTATAAAATATAATGTATATAATATAAATTAAGTATAATGAAGTGTCCGGATGACTTTTAAACGTACTTTTTATAATGAGTGGATGTTCCCTACAAATTTCGTCCGAAACTTCCGAGGGCGAAGCATCCGGAATAATGGCGTCCGGATTAACAAGGCTCGACTGAAAAGATTAAAATATTGATTCTAATTGATTTAAATCATAGAATGAAAGAGTTAACTTTTTTCAGCAAACGTACATATGCTTTGTCTATCAATGGATAAATCGAGAGAGAGAGAGAGAGAGAGAGAGAGTATTACTTCATATTTTATGCATTGTCCTATCTCATTATTTATATTTTTTTTTTTACACTTTACTATAATATACAGTTGAACTTCGGTATTTCGAACACTGATACCTCTAATACCATGGATATGTCGAAGTGATATGGACTGAAGTCCCAAACGCATATTTCTTTAGTATTTTACCCTTGATATCTCGAACCCTCGGATATCTCGAAGTTTTTTCTCGGGGCCCCATCGAATTTGAGATAACGAGGATTGACTGTATATATAAAATGCGCATTTAATGGCCGTCGGAAAGGGGATTGGGAGTGGGGGTGAATCGCCGGTTTGAGTGATGCAGACTACCCCTTAATATATACCCCCCCCCCCAAAAAATGAGAGTAAATTAACACACCAAAACGGTGCCAATTTTATATTACAATTAACCCCCCTTCCCTTCGCGTTTTCAGAAAACTTTGGTCAGGGCATTAAAACTATCATAGTTGTTGCAATCTTAATCTGTACTCCTGAACATCTAGTAGACAACTGCACACGATAGAGTTGTTAGCCCTCTAACCGTGAAGAAGCCTGGGCTCATGTACGCAGAATCAGAACCTGAACTGAAAGCTCAAGTGAGTTTTTCTGATCACATTTTGTCTGGCGTCCGTTCTGTTTAGCTGTCCGCCTACGTCTGTAAAGTTTTTACACTTTCGACTACTTCTCAAGAACCACTGGGCCAATTTCAACCAAACCTGCCTCAAAGCATCCTTGGATAAAGGGGATAAAAGTTTGTTCAAATTCCGGGCGACACCCTCTTTCAAGGGGAGATAATTAAGAATTGGTGAAAATTTTAATATAATATTAAAAATCTTCCAACAAAAAAGCCATGATTAGTCACATTAATATGGTAGCATCCCCAGGTAGTGTAAAGTTTATTCAAATCATCCCCCCGGGGTATAAAACAAAGGGGGGATTAATGTTTCACATAGGAATATATACGAAAAAATTCTTTAAAAACTTCTTATCAGGAACAGCAAAACCATGATTAGTCATACAGACATGAAAGCATCCTCAGGTAGATTTGAACAAGTTTGTTCAAATTAAGACCCCTCCAATGGGGAGGTGTCACTGTAATCGGGAGATCAAAGTTTTACATAGTAATATATAATAAATGATATTCTATGGATCCGAACCGTGAATTTTGATAACATCGGTATGCTTGCACATTCATCTGCAACTCACTTGTCTAAATAAAATGGGTTGGACGACCAAAGTCCATCCATTTTTTTTTTCATACCAGTGAGCTGCACATCCTAGGGATGTAGTATCATTTTTCGAGGTGGGGGGGGGGGGTGTAATTGGGAATCGAAACAAAAACAGCAAAAGTGGGGCCCAATCGACCGCTAAATAAAATTTCCCTTACTAAATTTAACAAAATACTCTTAAAAACTGGGGGGGGGGGTTTTTAAAGAAAATTTTTTTTAGGTCTCAATAGTAAAATCTACTCACACACCATGTTGTCACCAGATAATAAAGTACAGTAGTAAATAGTCCAATAGTATTTAGACTTTATATTAAGAATACTTGATCATATATATTCTTGCGTAATAAATTCACCTCCATATTTGTGGCATCAACTGAATCCGGGAAGTTGAACAGATCTGAATTTTCCACCGTTTGGGGATGCTTGCTTATTAATTTCTTTGATGCCTGTTGTCATTCAAACTTTTACTCATTATTTACATATTCCTGTGTAAAAACTTTTGTCTAATACTGTGTCTTCACCCTATCTTCCTGTGGAAATAGACACACTTCATGTGGATGGTACTAAATTGATTCGCCCAATTGTCATCATGTTTACAAAAATTGTCCAAAATATTTCTATGCAAACCTTTGTTCCCTACCGTGTCCCTATGGCCAGCTCATTTTTCCGAGTTATTAAATCTCTGAACTATCAGATTGACTTGGAATGCATCAAGCTTACAACAAACTACCTATAGCTGTCAGAGAACTCCTAAAGCATTGAATAATTTTCTTGTACAACTTTGGAGATGTGGGTTAGATGTTTTGGGGGCAAAAGACAGTCCTGTAAGAAGTCATCTTGAAACAATGTCACAAAAGAAGATATCATGTCTTTTGGACAAGGCATAATAAAATAAGACCCCATAAACGTGCGAAAACAAAGGTTTGTATGAAGTGGTCTGCATGTATAAAGTGGTTTCATTCAGCTTCGGAGGAGCTATATCTGCATAGAGTGATGAAAAATAAAGGAAATCTTAATTGTCCACTCAATCAGTTCAAAATTAGAGAAACTAGGATTTGTTCCGCTCATTAACTTTAATCAAATCTGTAAACAGATTTTCAGTGTATTTGGTTAAGTAGTCTCTCGAAGGACTGTTCATTTTTTACATACTGTATAAGTAGAATTTTTAGCAAGACGCAAATTTAGCAATTTATCCATAAAAATTGGAATGTATTTTTAGCGAGACACAAATTAAGCAATTTTATAATGTCCAGAAAAATATCTATAACAATCGATACACAATGAATTGTTAGCAATATTTATTTTTAGCGATATCAAAACCCTCGCTATTAATGCCAAAATTCTCACTAAATCCTCGCTAAAAATTCTGCTTATATGGTATTCTAAGTTGTGGTCAGTTAAAAAAAAACCCCAAAACAAGAAATGGTAAAAAAAATTGCCTTATCTTTATTACAATCTCATCTTAAACAATTTAATCCATAACTTGTAATAAATAAATGTCCATTTTATTCACTTTTAAAAGTAAGTTCCAGCACCACCACCCAGAAATGATCTCTTAGGTTGTGGGACTGGCATAAATCCTAAGCCACCTCCACCTCTGGAACTGTTAGATCCACCTCTGGAACTGTTAGATCCTCCTCTGGATCCACCCCTATGGTTTTTCCCAGCACTCGGGACCTTCTTGGATGACCCTCTGGTGAACTTATATGCTGAAAACTTGCTTCCTTTTTCAGATAATCCCCTGCAGAATTTTAGGAACAAAATAATTAATTTATAGTTTTCTTTTAAAATCTACACCTACAGTATCTACTAGTAGCATTTCAGTTTCACAAGACTTTATTTGCTGACAGTTCAGTTTGTAATTAGATTCAATGTAACTCCCAATTTTTTGCCACCTTTGTAAGAAGATCACATTTCAACAAAACATTTTACATATTCATGTTAACCCCCACCCACTTTTTTAAAAAACTTTTAAGTGTTCAAACCAATGTAATCTATTAGGAAATAAGGTATAATTTCAAAGAATTTCAAAAAGATAGATACATTTAAAATTAGACTAACTGCATCATCCTTGTTGTGCGCTGGTTTCAGATATGGAAAATAATATACATGAAATAGGTATGTTGTAGTACAGTATGTATCCTAGGGTTCAAAGTTATTTTAAGGAATGAATTTAAGTTTTGAAGATTCATGAGGACATGAACTACGATGCTTCACGCCGGCATATTTCATGAAGCGTTTTAGTGCTTCATGATAAATATGCTGACGTGAAGCATTGTCATTCATGTACCTCATGAATTTTCAAAAATTAAATTCATTGCTTATATTTACATTATTTTTCTAATGATTTGCCACAAATAACACCATTTACTTGTCATTTTTAAAGCAAAACAGTTTGCACTATAGTTTTGACGTCAAGTAAGGTATTATGACGTAACAATGGAGATATTCATGGTAGTTCATGAGAAAATGAACTGTATTCTATTTTGTAAAGAATCATTGGGGAAATTTATGAAAATGTAAATATTTAGGAATGAACCATTTCCAAGAACTTCACAAGAGAGACTTTAATGCCAATAATAACATTATAGCATATGTTCATCTCAATGAAAAATCAAACTGATAAACCATCTTGATTTCATCCCCTGCTCTAGGCTGCAGTATAATTTCTGTATCAAGCCCTGCCCCTTGTCTTTTTCCCTTTAGTTGTTCTCTTACCCAGCAGAATTTCCAGCACCCGACTGGCTTCTAGCACCTCTCTTCTTTCTTCCAAAACCTCTCTAAGAATTAAAACAGAACAAAACAAATTAACTGAATTCCAAACAGCTAAACTACATTACAGCTGTATTTAATATTAACAGTCGTTCACTGTTGTAACTCATCAGAACAGAATTTTCCTGGAACATGATAAAACACTGAGAACTGAATAAATGCAATTAATAAGTGATGCTGTGGATGAACCTTTTTAAAGGATCCTCTTCTTCTGCCTGTATTAGATGAACCTGTTGACTCGTCTACAAAGTACGGAGACTCCCACTCTGGTACATCAGATTCCACCTCCTCCTCCTCTTGTTGTAAATCTACAGAGATCAATCAAACGGTACAGAGGGAGATCAATCAAATGGTACAGAGGGAGATCAATCAAAAGAAACATAGGGAGATCAATCAAACGGTACAGAGGGAGATCAATCAAACGGTACAGAGGGAGATCAATCAAAGGGTATAATGAGAGATTAATCAAAGGGTACAAAGGGAGATCAATCCAAGCATTGAAAAGGAGATCAACAACATTATACAAGGAGAGATCAAATATAAAGGGAGATCATTCAAGTCATCAAAAGGGAGATAAATCAAAGCATAGAAAAGGAGATCATTCAAACTAAGCAAATATAAAGAAAACTTTAGTAAGTCAATTTATCTAAAACGATACTTCAAATGCTGCCTTTCTTTATGAAATAAGGGTGCAACGATAAACCGTTTGACGATATATTTTTCCACAGTTCAATTCACGATACGCTAAACTGATATCGCGGTTCGGTTCAATCGGTCCAGAATTATCCATTTTGTCCGTTTTATTTCCTTCTTTACCATTTCAAAATGGCTTCCGCGCAAAACGTGAGGTCGCCGATAACGCATTTACGGCAGTTAAAGTCATCTCCAGCATCTTACAGACCTCAGATTTGACACGGAGAAGGACTTAATGTGATTATAAGTTATAGATGTTAAGACAAATGATAAACCCTTTAGACCTAAACGTATTCTTAGGTAATACACGATATTCCATCACCTGTGTATTTCAATGAAAATTCGCTGTCTTGTTGACTAAAACGTATTAACATGTGAAATATAACTGGTTTTTTTACGAAAATAAAAGGAATAAAAGAATGAATGTGTTCCTATTTCATTTCAATTTAAAAGGGAGATTATTAGGAAAGGTCCCCGTAGTTCCCTGTAAATGTTCATCATTGGTTTAGAATGTTGTCACAACTCAAAAGATCTACCTAACAATCCAATTCAAGTTTACAAAATGCTATTTTAATTATTATTTTAAAATTATGAACATTTTGTATAACTCTGTCAAGTTAAAAAAAAATATGATGACAAACTTGAAAGACTTTTTTAACCTTGTCATGTATCGTGATATGTATCGTATCGTGAACTGTATCGTATTGTGAGGTTAGTGTATCGTTGCACCCCTATTATGAAATATTTTAAAAGGTACTTTCAATTCAAAACAAGAGGCCCATGGGCCACATCGCTCACCTGAGTAACTTTGGCCATGCTGTTCTTTACTAGATTTCCCCCCTTCTAATACTTATTGTGGCCCTGCCCTACCCCTGGGGGTCATGATTTTAACAATTAAAAATCTACACTATCCCAGGATGCTTCCACATAAGTTTCAGTTTTTCTGGCCCAGTTGTTCTTGAGAAGAAGATTTTTCTTACATATTTCAATAAAATTGGATTCCCTATTGTGGCCCCGCCCTACCCCCAGGGGTCATGATTTTTACAATTTAGTATCTACACTACCCCAGGATGCTTCCACATAAGTTTCAGCTTTTCTGGCCCAGTTGTTCTTGAGAAGAAGATTTTAAAAGATTTTTCCTATTTATTTCAATGTAAAACTTGGAATCCCTATTCTGGCCCTGCTCTATCCCCAGGGGTGATGATTTGAATAATTTAGAATCTACACTACCCCAGGATACTTCCACATAAGTTTTAGCTTTTCTTGCCTAATGGTTCTTGAGAAGAAGATTTTTCAAGATTTTTCCTATATATTTCAATGTAAAACTTGGATTCCCTATTGTGGCCCCGCCCTACCCCCGGGGGTCATGATTTTAACAATTTAAAATCTACACTATCCCAGAATGCTTCCACATAAGTTTCAGCTTTTTTGGCCCAATGGTTCTTGAGAAGAAGATTTTTAAAGATTTTTCCTATATATTTCAATGTAAAACTTGGATTCCCTATTGTGGCCCCGCCCTACCCCCGGGGGTCACGATTTTAACAATTTAAAATCTACACTATCCCAGGATGCTTCCACATAAGTTTCAGCTTTTTTGGCCCAGTGGTTCTTGAGAAGAAGATTTTTTAATGACCCCACCCTATTTTTGTCTTTTTTTGATTATCTCCCCTTGTAAGGGGACTTGGCCCTTTATTTTAACAATTTAAACTCCCCTTCACCCAAGGATACTTTGTACCAAATTTGGTTAAAATTGGCCCAGTGGTTCTTGATAAGAAGTTGAAAATGTGAAAAGTTTACAGACGGACGGACGGACGGACAGACAGACGGACGGACGGACGACGGACAATGGGTGATCAGAAAAGCTCACTTGAGCTTTCAGCTCAGGTGAGCTAAAAACGAAATCTACATGTATGTCACAACTTGGAATATGCAGATTAGCAAAATTAACATACTTGAGAGGATAAGATGATAATTCTTGGTGATTTCAAGGAATCTCTCAGCTCCGTATTTGTTAACTTTGGCTTTCGGCAAACCATCGATACTTGCTGTCATCTCATCTACAGTAAGAGGCGTCTTTTCTGCCAACTGTCTCAGTGTTAAAATCGGGAATACAGTTGCATAGTTACGTAGCCTATGCTCAGTAGCTGTAAAAAAATCACATCTAGATGCTTAATCTTATTCAAAATGATAAAAAAGGAAAGTGTGAAAGTTTGAATTTGATTAAATATCCTTAACTTGCTTTAGATGTATCACTGATTTGCTACTGAAGAGCTTTGCATATTTTGTAAACTAGCCTAGCTTTAAATTCGTGCATGAAGAGGGAGAAAGTCAAACTATGCATTAGAAAAATAACTGAACTTTCTCATTGTACGATCATAATATGGAACATCAGACTAGTGTGCTTCTCATCAATATAAACATTCATTTGGTTCATAACAGTAACATGATTTTTTTCACTTGCAATAGACAATCAATAATGAATAAGTGATCAATAAAATATCCCACCTGTCATAAACACAGGCATAAAATTAAACAAAATTCCAAGTCAACCTTACCAATAGTCTTTGCCATTTCTAGGAGTTCATTGAGACATTCTTCGATCACGTTCTCGCGTTTACTGATGGGCTCTTTACCAATCTTTGCTACTTCAGTTCTCTTCCTACTTCCTTGTACCTGTAACTCTACCTGCAAAAAAATTTTTTTTTTCCAATAAATAAAAAAACAACCATGTATAATAAAATAAAATACATATACAGAACATAGGTAATCAAAGATTACGAAGCTCACCTCGACGAATGTTATCTATAAGTAAGGCAAATTTCACATCATATTTTTTTTCTAGTTAGGGAACATCCCAAGATCAATATCCTTGCAAGTTTGGTTTAAGTAGGACTTGTAGTTACTTGGAAAAAGACCTGCTCAAAAAACTTTTAACCTGTTTAGTAATCAAGAAAATTTTGGTCAGTTCCAACATCCAAAGCAAGTCCGGAAGTTTTCATCCTTAGATGCACCATCTATGCAAGTTTAATCATAACAGGCCATAATATTATATAGCTACACAAAAAAAATTACCCTGGTCACTCATCTGGATAATGTATGTCGATCAGATTCAGAATCCAAAGCAAGTCTGGGAGTGTCCATCCCTAGATAAATCATCCATGCTAATTTGGTTAAAATATGGCTAAAATTCACTCATGTAGAAAATCTAGGTCAGATCCAGCATCGGAAGCAGGTTGGTTAGTGTCCATCCCTAGATGCATCATATATAAAAGTTTGGTCCAGGTAGGGCTTATAGTTACTTGGGAGTGGACCTGCTCCAAAAACTTTAACCTGGTCACTCATCTGGAAAATCTAGGTCAGATCCAGCATCCGAAGCAAGTGTGATAGTGTCCATCCTTAGATGCATCATCCATGAAAGTTTGGTCCAGGTAGGGCTTATAGTTACTTGGGAGTGGACCTGCTCCAAAAACTTTAACCTGGTCACTTATCTGGAAAATCTAGGTCAGATCCAGCATCCGAAGCAAGTGTGGTAGTGTCCATCCCTAGATGCATCATCCATGCAAGTTTGGTCCAGGTAGGGCTAATATTTACTTGGGAATGAGAACTTGCTCCTAAAACTTTAACCGGGATGCCGACGCTAACGCCGACGCCGGGGGTATAGCATAAGCTCATCTCGAGTGCGTAGAGGTGAGCTAAAAAGTATTTGAAACGTCTAACTCACTACGACATATCCAAAGTATCTAAGACAATGATACTGAAGTTCAGCTGTATATCAAGGATTGAAGACTAAATTCTCAAAAATCAAACAATTTACATGTACAATGTACTTAGAAATTCCTATTAGAAACAAAGCATCTATACGTACATGTATGTTTTCTGAAACATCTGTATTCCAAATTTGGAACTACTTTAATGATGGAATTTTTCATTAAGGATATTTCCACTGAACATAATACTGCTGTAGTCTTACCTTGCGTTTCCCCATCATCACATCATTGGCTTTAGGTCCAAGCCTGATGTAACAAGCTGTGGTGTCTGCCGCAGTTATTTTTAGGTCCTCGTGTAAAATGGCATCAATAACCAATTTTCTTAGCAGTCTTTCTGCATCAGCCCTGCTGTAATTTTTACCACGACCATGAAGGGGTATCCGATCATGTCCAGCATCAGAAATTTTACCAGTTTTAGCTCCTTGAAATGCAAATTTAGTCAGTATAATTATCACATCGTATAGTATGCACTTGACAGAATACATGTATTGGTGATAAAACTTACAGCAAGTAAATACAATTATTATCATTATATGTATAACTTTAGTAAATACATATGAATGAATACATATTTAACAGTACTATAGTTGGCCTGGCACTATAATATTCTAATAATTCATTTTTGTGACCTTTATAAAGCACAACAGAATGTTGATAACACTTTGCTATCAAAATCAACACTAGAGATATGTTACATACAGTACAGTCTCAGTTAGATTCCTTATTTTAGGCGAGTACTTAATATCGCCATTTTACTCACGTCAAATTGCAAGAACATGAATTCATGAATGGTCTCTTGATCAAGGCATTTTACATGTATTTCAGCAAAATTAAAACAAGTAAATTCAAATCGCAAGTGGGGCTTCTCCCAAAATTACATAATAAATTTCTCACATGTATTTAGGAATCTACGTCATCCAGATGCTTCACTTTCCATATGAAATTTGTGGGTGGGTAGCAGAATTAAATTTTAAATAAATATATCCAAATTAATAAAATACATGTTTCATTAATACATACAATCTGCTCAGAACACAAGTGTCTGGATTGTAAACAAGGCTATATTATGAATTTTTTCTGAGAAGGATTCATCTTAAGCTTTCTTTACCTCTAAAGATATCTACGAAATAGATAAGAGTATAGTCGTTTCCCCTTCTTCCATTGACGGTCAGATCCTTCACACATTTCACTATCTCCTTTACATCATCTGTTACATCACGAAGTTGGAACGACTCCTTAAAGTATATAAGAATTAAATAATTCATCATCAAAGAATGAAAATAGTGAGCCAAAACAATTCATTTAATTCTTAAATACCCGAAAAAAATTAACTTTCAAGTGTATTAAATTCAATTTTAAAAACGTACATGTACATGTATAAAGACATACATGTATTCAGAACAGATATACTATTGAATCCTCTTCTCCAATTCAATTCAATCATTAATTCGTTCATTCATTAAATCTTTTCAGTTTTTTAACAATAATGTTAACTGTCAGAAATTATACAAGTTACATCAAATTGATTATGGTATGTATGCAGGCAATGCATGGAGCAAGTACCTTAGACAACCTAGGTTTTGACTAACTATACACGCATGTATATATATACAAAATAAAATTAAAAGAAAAAAGAATGATCCTGACCTTAGACACACAGTTGTCACAAATTGCTCCCCGGAAATTCCCACACTCCTCTCGATTAAAGTCTCGCTCTCCGAAATAATTGAGCAGCTGTGATCGTCGACAGTCGGCCACGTTCTCGCAGTACTGGACCATTCTGAAGAGGTTGTCTATATGCACTTTTTTGGAATCAAATGTGGCTGCCTGATCCACTGAAACAAAAGAGTCAAACTGTGGGTGTTTGATTTTGTGCAAACATTAAATATGTTTACAAGATAACGACGAAAAACAACAGATCCCTGGTTGAACTGGTCAACAAAATAAATCTACTGCTGCATTCTCACAAAGTGTTGGTGATTTGTTTCATGTCTTTCAAGCTTACAACTTTAGATACAGACCCTATTAAATACCGTTCAGTATCCATATGTGGGAATCTTCTGCATTTTTAACCTTAAGATGTTTGTTTCCAGTTTTTCTTTATTTTATGTTTACAACATGTACAGTGTATGTAATAACCCTTTAACATACATGTACAACATAACATACAGTATTCAGTGTCTATCAAACTTTTTAATTCTTCATTTTTCAATAGAATCCCTCCTACTTACTCTCTATAATCCTCCGTAGCCTTTTGACGTCCTGGTACGTGTAGTACATAATACAGTGGGCTATCAGTCCATCCCTCCCTGCTCGCCCTGCCTCCTGATAAAAACCCTCCACTGACTTCGGCAAAGAGTAATGAATAACAAATCTGACATCTGGTTTGTCAATCCCCATTCCAAAGGCAATGGTGGCACATATAACCTAAAAATGCACGTACTGGATAATGAACTTTTCATGGAATATTGTCCAATAGTCTTGCACAAAATACCATACCCCGTACTTTTTTGGAGGGAGGGGGATGGAGGGTTGGGGAGGAGGTGGGGAGGAGGTGTTAGATTCTAATTTACCTTACATCGCTGTCCATTGAGCCACTTTTCCTGGATGGAGATTCTGTCATTGTCACTGAGACCTGCGTGGTAGGACACAGCCTGAATGCCAGATTTACTCAGCTCAGCAGCTACAGTGTCACATTCCTTTCTACAAAATCATATCTATGTTAAAAATTGGAGCTGTCTCAGATTGAGCTCAGAATAATCATACCAGAGGTGTTAAAATTAATGTTTACAATTTCTAGAAAAGTCATTCCTCTCTGAGTTAATGGTGAATCTATTGCAAGGTAAAAGTTCTCTCTGAGTTAATGGTGAATCTATTGCAAGGTAAAAGTTCTTTCAGTGAACTTGGAATAGAATACTGACCTTGAAAGACAATACACAATCCCACACTTCCCTGGGAACTGTTCTTTTATCAGTTTTGTCACATCAGCTGTTAGGGTTGATGGTTTCTTAGGTTCAACTCGGAATTTCAAATTTGGGCGATTGAAGCTTTGAACAAAGCTGTAGAAAACCAATCAAAATATATACATGTACATAAAGTATGCTTCCAAATTTTTTAAAAAATTTGAAAACTGAAATAAAATTGACAGCTACCATTTTGGATTCTTCATTCCTAGCTGATAGATGACATCCTTACGGACTCTCATGTTGGCAGTGGCGGTCAGTGCCATCATAGGAACCCCCGGGTACTTCTGCTTCAGGACCCCTAACTTCTTGTAGTCCGGTCGAAAGTCATGTCCCCACTAAAAACACAAATTCCATCTCAAATACAGTGAAATGTGTTTAATCCGACATGCATTTGGAGACAAATTTTGTGTTGGAATAGACAGGGTGTCAGATTGCACAGTGTATACAACATGGAAAAGGATAAAATGAGAATAAAAATAAAGTCGGAAGTTACAGTGAAACGGATTGCTCATGTGTTGGATTAGACAGTTTTCACTGTATCTTGGTAACTTAACCCATAGCATAACTCGTCTCAAACATAAACTTTGATTTGGTACATGATTATGATTTTCAAAAAAAAAAAAAAAAAAAAAATTCACCCATGTTTCTTGTCCCTCTTTTTAGTAGTTACTTGTACAGTATATCATTTTGATCTTTTTTTCACAGTTTTATTTGCTAAGGAAACAAGGCTGTATTCAGTAATAGATTTCATAAAATGCAAAGTTCACCTGGCTGACACAGTGTGCTTCATCAATAACAAATCTAGTCAACTTTCCTCTTCTGTGTAAATTATCCAAACTACTCAACAGCTTACCACTGGCTGAAATCTACAAAATTAAACAACAGGTAAATTTCATAAAGATAGAAGATTGATAACTGTTTAACACTGAGTCAGATGTATTTCAGCCATATATCTGTGACATAAAGATACAAGTACACTTGTACTAAAGAATAAAGATACAAGTACACTTGTTCTAAGTTTACTGATCTTTCTGATAACTTTTTCTTACAGCACCTTTTCTGGTGTGACATACAGTAGTGTGATCTCGGGGGTTTTGTAGAACAGTTTTCTGTAGATCTGATCAGATTGACTCTGGTCCATGTCTGATGAAAGCTGACCTGCCTGTATCTGTAAAATGCCATAAAATTGTTATAGTTTCAATTTTTCAATAAACTGGATATTCATAATCTGATCATAATAACTAAGACATTATCTACTGATCTGCCACTGTTAATCATTACACTTTTCACATAATCACATATTCATAATACATTTACATGTATATGTACTGTATGTGTACATAAATTGGCGTATTCAAAATTTAGCGCAATCACTGGGTATGGAGTTGTTGGTGAAATCATGAATTAGCACTATACATGTCCGTGCCATATATTGTATTTATAAATGATTTCTTAGTGGTATTCATGAATTAGCGCATTGTTGTCTGCTCTAAAGCTGCTAAAATATGAAGCCCGCTTTTTTAAGTACACATGAAGTATGTCCATTACACTATCCCAGACTGGACAACAATAAGCATGCAATAAGTATTGAAATGAACCACTACTCCAAATGACCTAATTAAACTTACATCCATGGAGCAGAGCCTAGTAACCTGGTCCTGTATCAGAGCCTTTAGGGGGGATATTATGATGGACACGCCCCCTGTGACGAGAGCTGGCAGCTGGTAACATAGACTCTTACCTCCTCCTATAATCAGAAGTGTAACACTGATCAACTTAGATAAAAGTTTGTTTTCAAAAGTGAAAAGAAAAACACCTTCAATCACCTCCTGTAAAGGTTTACTTTCAGAAGTGAAAATAAATAACCTTGGATCACTTCGTATTGTAGCCTGCATGTGCAGGTCTTTCAAAATCTTTCCATACCCTGTACTTATACCCGGCTGAAATCATGATTGAACCAGCCAAAATATTTGATGGAGAAAAATTAGATAACATACATGTATTTAAAATTCCATGTACCTCCTATTTTTGTAAAAGTACCGCCTGTTTCTAATCTTTTCCAAAGCCTTGCATATGTATAGTAATTTCATGAATTTATCCCTTAATAATATACATTTAAAAGAAGGACCTCTTATGCGGTATTATTCTGACATGTAAAATATTTTTTATACCTGTAGGCATCAGGATAAAACAGTCATTTCCCAGCAGTGCAGCATTGATAGCCTTCAGTTGATTAGTACGAAATTCACGTAAACCAAACACCTGGTTAAATGTCTCCCTCATAACCACGCTGTGCTGGAAGTTATAGCCATCGAATTCTTTGTTTTCCTCCTCCTCCCTCCTTTTAGTACTGGGTGGGGATACTAAAACAGAGAATAAACAGGGGTAACAGAAAACCTATCTACAAACATCTATGAAAATTCACAAATACATATTTATTGTCAATGGTATAATTTAAGGATCATTTTAGTGCTGGAAACTAGCAGTTATCCTCTCCTGTTAAACAAAGTTGTACTGAATATACTTAAATCAATCTGATATTTCAGAATTTTTCCTTGTTCCAGCTTCATGTTAAACACAGACATATTCATCAAATGGATTCCATTTTTAACACAGTTTTCAAGGGATTTTGTATCACCAAGAACAAAATCTGTGACTTCTATCTGCTTTCACATTTGTTATCTGGGTAATAAGCAGTGTTCGAAATTCAGAATTATTTTCTATGGGTCCAAAGGACCCACAGATAAAGGGACTACACGAGTCCTTTCAGGGCAGCGTAGGCCAAAAAATAATACCATTAAATATTTTGGGAAAATAAACTTTTACGTTATCGATGATCTTGGTAAGTTTATCGCTTCATATGAAATATGTCAATTTAATAAAGGGTATCTACAATTCGCAAGTATTAACAATTTGAAACGGTAAGATATTAATCGTCACACAGTTTTACTTGGTCATATATACAATGTAACATTTAATGAGTTTGACATGTGTTTATATTACTGTATACATACTTTTCCTCGGAATTATAATTTCTGTTTTAAAATCCGCGGGTAAAAAATTATGCAGTTTCATAGATTGCCACAATATGTTGATAAAATGTAACCGCATACATATAGCATAACTTTATTCCATACAGAAAAGAAATCAGATCTTCAGTATTTATTTAAAATACACATGAAAAGAAGAATTTATACGATCTTGATAAAAATAACAAGTTTTACCCATCACAAGTCCAATTTGTTTTAAAGATGGTCATCAGATGCTCAGTGGTTAATTTGTTAATATATCCAATTAAACATGTTAAAATGCAGGAAATATATAAAGGTTAATGTAAATACATCAACAAGCGGTAAAGAAAAACAACGGTGTATTTTTCCAAGCTCGCCGGAAAGGTCTGTGTGATTGATGTTAACTTATTTCCCAGCAAATCACCGTCGGCCCAAAATTATTTCAAGGACCCATTTAGTCATACTATTTGTGAGTCCTTCAGTTTGTACGTCGGCGCAGGACCGACGGGCCGACGCTAATTTCGAACACTGGTAATAAGTGGGAGTTGTTACTTTCGGCTTGGCTATATCTTTTATGACTATACTTACCAAAGCTTTGATTGGTGCTCTGTCTTCTAGGAGTCAGGGAAATCTGTGGCAAAGAATAAGACTGCACTTCTTCTGTGAATTCTGAGTCAAAGTCATCAGGGGCAAACAGTTCCTCAGGAAACTGATCAATCAAATCAGCCTCATCTTCAGAATCTGGAACACTAGTAGAAAGCTTGTCCTGCCTAATTGGCTGAGTTTGTATCACACCACTGTTGTTATTCAGTTTATAATCAAAACTGAAGTCTGTGGTAGATGGTGCTTCAATGGTACTTAACGAGTTGCCCGTTACTGATGATTGGTTGTGTGAAGTACTAAATGAGTTACCTATGTCAGTTGATTGGTTTAAATGAGAGGTAGATTTTGATTGGTTCAAATAAGATGTATCTGATTGGTTCATAAATGAGGAAGCAGCTGATTGGTTGAAACTCATCACAGGTGGCTCTTTGAAAGAGGAACTGGGAGATTTCCTGCTGAATGAGCTGATGAAACTATGATGTGTTTGTGTTAATTTGGCATCCTCCTCAAAGAAGCTGTCTCCACAGGGTATTGGGGAATTGAAACCAGTGGGAGTGGTTTTCTTGAAAGAGAAGGACCTGCTTGTTCCAGAACTTGGAGAATTGAATGTCCTTTCTGCGGCAGGGGTTGAGGTATTGGACAACAGTGCTGATCTGGGTGGCACTATAGGACTAGAAATATCACTGGATTTCACTCTATTCTGATGTGATTCTGAATCCACACTGTCAAATGTCTGATGTTTGCCTGATAAGGGGAGCTTACTGCTTGCTGCACTGCTTGTTAAAGCTGCTGCTGGTGCTGACAGTCTCTTAGGTATGCTTCTATTATGCTCTTTTGAAGCATAAGAATCCTTGAGCTGCTTCCTAAATTTTTATAAAAAGAAAATTAATAATATTTATATTTATACAAATATTTTCAGTGATGAAAGTAAAATGCAGCATTTAAAAGTAAATAAGTATTCAGTTCATCATGAAATATAGTGACGATTTTTTTTCTAAAACATGAATGTCCTGCATGTGAGCTAAATTTGTTATACATTCCAAAGATGTAAGTTTAAGGAAACATAAAGGTCAGAACATTTAACTACATGTATGTAGGTATGGTTAATAAGCTCTCAGAAAGATGTATCTGCAAAAATGGTTGTTTGAATATATCCTATTCTATATTCAAAAAGTGAATTACCACAAAATGTAGGAGCAAAGTCACAAAATTTAGCACAAAGAAACACTCCCTCAAATATAAATCTACTTCTAAGAAAAAGTAAATTAAAAATGCCAATAAAATGCATGACAAATTTATAGTCAAAACACAGGTTGACATTGAGAAACATTTTCTTAAAACTAAGCTAAATGCAAAGTTTGAAACAAGGTCACATGGAAGACATATAACAAACAAATGCCCGACCATATTTCGCATATTGCAAGGAATAATTAAATGATATGTTTATAAATAACATCAGGCCACATTTCTCTTTTTCCTTATGACAGATTAAAAAAAAAAGGATTACATGTACCTGTAAACAATACAAAATGGAAATCTGACATTATTTTATTGTACACTTACGAACCTTAGAGCCAGTAGATGCTGAAGTCGTTGATAGTTCTGAGGAAGCATGGACATCAGATCAGCTGTGCTAGCCTTACACACAATATCACAGACCTCCTCCATCGTCTTAAACAGTTCCGTCTGGACGCTGTCATTGTGTACCTACATGTATATACATGTACATGAATATCATGGACAAAACATTTATGATTCACAACTAAAAGTAGGCCAATCCTACATCCCTTTATGCTTTCAGACTTTATTAATGACACATTTATTACATTTTCAACAGTGAAATACTGTGATTTATTTATTGAATAAAAGTGATATTCTCTCACAGTGTGAAAAGATACCAAAATGATATTCTCTCACAGTGTGAAAGGATATCAAAGTTGGTAAAAAATAATTTCTGGCCTGTCGTGAGATAGATAGTAACTAACTGCATGTGTTGCTAAAATCCATGCTATGTAATGTTTTCAATCACACAACTGCTAAGCTATGACATCTCAACCGCTCAACTATGACGTCAGGCCTATGACACTGTGTTAAGAAAAGACAGAGGCAAAGGGAAAATCAAAGAAAATGTAATAAACAGAAAATTCAATGTTTTGTAGATGAATATGGAATTTATTTCACTCGTGAGACAGGATCTTTTGATATTTTCGCTCGTGCTTCGCACTCGTGAAAAATATAAAAAAATCCTGTCCCACTGGTGAAATAAATTCCATATTCATCTACAAAATATTGAATATCCTCTATGTATACAATGAACAAGAAATACACCTTTTTATGATGTATGAAGTAATGATAATTACAAATGTCCTAGTCTTGAGGTTATCCACTTCATGTATCACGAAGTGTATATACATGTACCTCTGAATCTGAACTTGGAATTCTGACACTTACTGGAGTTTTGTTCTCGTTGGTTTGTCTTGGGAGTTCTGTTAGAAATGAGTTCTACACAATTGTTTACCTGAGACTTTGGTTTAGAGGCAGTCTGTAATTCAGCTCTAACAGAAATGTTTACCTCTGGCCTTGACCTTGATTCAGCTTGCGGTGTAGGCATGATGTTCACCTGAGGTTCAGGTTGATCAAAGGAAGTTTCTTTTCTTAATGGCATACACTTTCCTACAAAAATAAGAAAGAGTGAAATACATGTAAAAGAAATTTCTTTGTTACTATCATCTGTCAATTTTCCTATGTATTCATGCAGGCTTTCATTGTAAAACAATCTTCATATACAGTCAAACCTCATTATCTCGAACATGAAGGGACCGAGAAAATACTCTGAGATATCTGAGGATTCGAGATATCCAGGGTTAAATACTTAAGGATTAAGCAGTTGGGACCTCAAAATCACTTCAACATATCCATGGTATTCAAGATATCCATGTTCAACTGTATGTACATGTAAATAGTTCAAGTATACCATAACTATTGAAAATAAAAAATCATTTACTCATGAAAAAAAATATTTCCAAATAAAAAATCCCCAGATAATAGCAAGTTCTTAAATGAAATCTTACATGTACCTCTGAGTATGCTTTTTACATTACTTCAAATTGGCAAAAGAGATATTGTATGCATTACAAATATGTTTTGTATGCATACAAAATACATGTAATTTGTAAACTTGTACAGTTTTTAAGATAACGGTTCAAAATAAGTTGAGATAAACAGCTGATTAGAGGAACAATATACATCAGTCATGTCTTACCCATAACAGAGGAACAAGGAGTAGGAGACTGATCTTCCAGAGTCCGACGGCGCTTAGCTACTACACGAATTTCTTCATCTGAATCGCTATTTCCAAACAGATCTGTCATCTAGATGTATGCCAAGATAAAGAGAAAATGGAATAGTACATCAACAAAATTTTTTTGAACAAAAGTTATCACAAATACCAGAAGAAAAAGGTCAACTTCATATAGTTAATTCCACTTGTACAGCTGTTCAAATCAGTAGACTAGGAGTTTCCCTATGGCAGTGGTTTTCAGTGATTTTGTACAAGAAATTAGTTGTTACTGTGATTTAGACAGATCTTGATTGCTGATTTCCTTACCCCAGATGCATCCATAATCTGTCTTTCTGAGTCAGTGGTCTTGTTAAAGTTTACTGTCTTTCTTGGTGATTCCTATGACATTGTGGCAATCATACATATTAAACTTAAATCATAAAAGCATTTTAAGAAAGGAAAAATTCAAAAGATTAAAATCACACAAGTATATATACCTCTCTGCTAGAGGATAAATTAGCATTTCTTTTACTTGGCACTGGGGTTGCTACAAAAGTAAAACAATACATGCTTAATGGAAATTTGAAAAATCTTAATTCTTTAATGTTTCTGTAATAAAGTACTGAGATTATTGAATTGATATGATTGAAGTGTTCAGAAAATTTATATGAAAATTGCTGGAGTTCTTCATGCATTATGAAATAATACTTGGTATGTCAAAATCATCAAGAAAGTCATCGTCGTCATCTCCATCATCTAGGATACTGATGACAGCCTTCCCGGGGGATCGCTTTCTCTTGGCCCCGCCCTCCTCAGTCTTTACTGGTGATCTTCAAATAGTAATGGGGGTTATTTGAAACCAACAGGTTAAGTGATAATCATCAATAAAATATCCCTCACAAATATGAAAGATTAAAGTCTTGCAAATGCTGTAAAATGAAAGTATGGTACCTATGTGGAGCGACTGCAGCCACTGGCTTTTTCTTCTGGGCAAATGCCATGATAGAGGTCTGATGAGGCTTCAAAAAAAAAAAAAAAAAAAATTGGGCAAGATATTTTTCCTCTCTTTAAAAACATTCACATTTGTCTTTTCAATCTTTAAGTGGGTATTGTTTTTCATGATATTTGATAAAAATCAGAGTTTTGTAATGGGTAGCTGGCTTAATAATATTCAAATTTATTTAAGCATTGAATACCGCACATTAGAACGCTTTGATAATTTGTGGGCATGGCCAGGTGTGTTATAGGACCGACGACATCCAAAAATAAGAATTCAATGCTTATATTTAAACTCTCTAATTTTCTCTCTTCATAATAATTAATTGTTTATTTCGTTAATCTTTGTTATGAATTTAGACTTGTGTGCTTAATAGATGTAAGAGCCGTTTGTGATGTTGGAAAGTTAATTAATGCAAATGAACATTACGAGAAAAAAAATGACAAATTAATTTTAAACGCACAGTTGTTGTATTTTACGTTAATTTAACAGGGTTATTGATTTTTTTTATTAAACTGAGTCAAAACAATATGCATTTTGGTGTTCCTAGATATTGATAATGCATATAGTTCCTACTGTAACAGTGTATTCTACCGCGCTGTGACAATGTTTCGAGTGTTTTACAGAGATTTGAACATCGTAGATTTCTATAATGGATTTCATAAAGAAAATTACACTGAATGTAAATATTGAATCATACATGTATTCCCAGATTTACTCCTGCTCTCAAAGACGTTCATACTAATCTTTGAATTTAGAAGTGCTAAGTATTCTTCTTACTCTTGATAGAAATAACCGGTGTTTTATTGCTACTCATTCACAAAAAAAAAATTGATACTCACAGTAGAATTAGCTAGACATGCAGGGCTGACTGCTAGTAAAAGTTGTCAACCCTGCTAAAGATCTACTAGCCCAAGAAATATGTTTTTAGCGATAATGTGAATGGGGCACAATCACCATAACTTCCGGAATCTATACTAGACTGTCGAATTCTACCCCTTTGCTTGTTACACTTAGCTACCGATAATATTATACTTGACATGAGAGATATTTATCAAATATATGACTTTTAATCTATGGCAAATTTTAACATGTCCAGCCAGGTGTTGATACAAGCAAATTTGTTTGCCCACAGCTAAATGTGTGCGTCTCTGGCGGTCGGGTGTATGGACATTCAAACACTGACTCAAACTCTCTATGTATACTTTTTCTACACTAAATTTTAATGACTGACACTTAAACAAACCTTGCTAGAGACAATGTATATAGAAAGTAGTTTTTAAAGACCTTGAATGATTGGGAATTTTTTTTCTTCAAATGTCACCTTTTTATTCCTCCCACTGAAAGGAACTGCTTTAATTTCTGTTGAATGCTTCTTAGTGAAATCATCTGTTCAAAAATAACAGAAACACATTTACTTGAATTAAGGAAGGGGGGAGATAAAATCTATTATTATAGATATTACCAAAGTTCACAAAAAGTTATATAGACAAAGTAAAACTTTTTCCAAAATTCAATGAAAAAAATATTCATATTTATCATGATGTTCCAAGGGTGACAAATAGACACTTTAACAGGGCTTATTAAGTCCTTTTTCGGTTCTTTGCCCTCACAGTAAGGAATATTACAAAAATTGTATGAAATAGGAAGATGTACTGTACCTCTAGAGTTATATCTTATTAAATCACATATTTAATGTAATAAATTGAGCATTCTACATTCATTTTTCCCCATTCGTCTAAAATGGGTTAGTGAATATTTCTTAGCAGAAAAATACCTGCCAAGAATTAGTTTTAAATACAAATATCTTAAAAGACAGTATGCCTTGAAGTTGTGTCTTTGATGATGTAGTGGGTTCTTGATTAAATGTTTCTAGGCTGTCATCTTTGAACGAATAAGGACGTGTTGTCAACCAACCATCTTCTTCAGTTCTGTTGTGTACTTCATTGTCGATCGAAGGAGGAAGCTTCACCTCGCCAAGAGCTTTACTTGGTTTGTTCAAGCTAAGTGTCTTCTTAAACTTAAATGTCCTTCAATGTGAATAACTTAATTCAATAGCTCAAAACATAGAAAATTCAAAGCAATTAAAGACGAGAACAAAAATTGAAAACCTACATTTATCAACAACAACAACAACAGAAATAGAATCGGTAAAAGTTACACACGAAGTATATTTTTAAGGCTAATAACATATTAATTTTAATCTTTCTCAAAAACTGAAAAAGACGAATTATTTATGTCGATCTTCAATTATCATTATGGCCACAAATCATTGAATTATCATACCTGGGACCTTTTCCATCCATGTTTGAATAAAAACTACATCATAAAACCATTCTGTAATTTATAACTAACATCTTGAACCTGACCAAAAGATCAGTCGTCTTGTTGATATTCGTAACTGGCGGGATCATTCAAGAGCAGATAACTCTATATTTTTATACTACTTCCTTTTCCGGTTTGCCCATAGTTAATCGGTATGGAGTTAAGATATCTCATGAAAATCTATACAATCTTGTTCGTTTAGAAAAAAATTGGAACCCTGATGATGATTGTTTTTGAAGTTTTAAAGTCAACCTGTCCAATATGAACAAAATTTCTTTTCTTTATTTTTTCAAAAAAGTAGTAAAAATGAACATAATTGTCACTTGTTTACTTCTGAACGTCAGAGATAATGCATTAATTTGGAATCATTTATTTGCTCTGAAGTCATAGTCATTCAACATTGGATAATAGTCACTTCTAACAATATATTTCCAAGCATTATTTGTCTTAAGATCCTTATTTTTTTTCTGTAGGAAATGCATAGAGCTATATAAACGAATTTGTTAATTCGAATTGCCTCCAAAAGAGTGCACCATGCATGTTACTTTACTTCTAAACAGAGAACCCTAGAGAGCTCTAAGAACCTTAGAGAATTCTAATGATTTTGAATTATTTATGGTCTGTAAACGAATTTTTATGTATTGACCAATATATCATACAAAAACGAATTGAAATTTGAAAAAAAAAATACTTTGACACATTTTATGCTTAATTTTAACAGATTACTAATCTATGAAGACTTTTTTCATACCTTTCATGATATAAGTAACAAGTATAGCTTTTTCAAAAAGCTTTGCTGTCTTTAGCGACAACCTTAAACTGTAAACTGACTTACACCTATCACAGGGGCTTGCTCCCGGCGGGTAATAATTATTTATTAAAAAAATCGTATACGGTAATACTAAAACAACACAAGGGAGGATGCCATTTTGAACCCCTTCCTCGCTTCAACCTCTGTTTTCGTTATATTTTCCCGTATTTTACTGACTCACCACCTCGGATCTGTCAAGTAATGATTCTTCTAGGACATAATGCTTAAATTTTCCCCTTGGAGCCTCTACAATACACATTTCAGACTAATAATAATCCAAACTCGCTCTTTAGGACAGTTGATAGGGACAGAAAATGAAAGTATCCTTGGCGTTTTACATTCGTATACGGAATTAGAACGCGGTTTTTTCAAATTTATAACTAGTAGCTGTGTTAACTAGTAGAAAAACCCCGAGATTTTCGAATGTGTTTTCATTTTCTGTCCCTATCAACTGTCCTAAAGAGCGAGTTTGGATTATTATCCCCTCGCGCAACTAGTTGTGGAGGGGATATAGCATCGCTGCTGTGCGTATGTGTGTGTGTTAGTGTGTCCGTTACAGCTTGTGGGCAAGATTTAAAGAGAACCTTTGCACTATCATTTCTCAGTCTTCACACACTTATGTGGCATTGTAAAAGGACGAACCCTATTCATTTTCAAGTTAATCGGTGATGTAGTTCTTAAAATATCGCGTTTTTACTACCTTCAAACCCTGTAATTTTATGTACGAGTTGACAATACTCACTTCCGGTAAATTTAACAGGTTAAAATTCAGGTCGTTTCGATAGAGCCGCTTCGGTAAGTTCTACTTTGTATTCGCGTATTGTCATATTATTGCGTATCTTGAGAAAAGTTTGTGTGAATTAAAAGTGTCATCTCTGTCACTGAGTAACTGAAAGAATTTGATGAACGTCGCGGTTTCAATGCACTACACGTGTGTGTTTATAATAGGGGCCTGTGGAATTTAATCTTGAGGCACACATAATTCTTGAAAGATATAAATATAAAGTTTCACAAGTTTCATTGACATCTCAACACCGGTATATTGTCATTTTTCACTACAAAAAAAATATTACTTCCGTGCGTATTTTCAGATTTGATGCCTATTGCATGCTACTCAGGTATAGGTAAATCAATGAAATTTACAGCATACGTGATATGTTTCTGCCCAATCACGTATGCTTGTTATGACCGGCACGTCGATTTACCCAAATGGACCCAAATGGAACCCAAATGGAAACACAAATGGACCCAAATGGAAATCAAATGGACCCAAATGGAAACCAAATGGAATATTAAATATATATCATCGTATTATCAAGTTGTTACTTATTTCAGGGACCTATATACTAATATATAGGTCCCTGCTCTAATACAATATTAGAAATGAATAATTAATATTTTCCATTTGCAAGTTTATTATTTTCATCATTTTAAATAAGTAACAACTTGGGAATACGATAATCTATATTTAATATTCCATTTGGGTCCATTTGTGTTTCCATATGGGTCCATTTGGGTTCCATTTGGGTAAATCGACGCACCCTGTTATGACCTCCCCCCCCCCCCCCCCCCCCCCGATGATATCCACCTTGACTTTTGTTAAAATTTAATCAGTGTTACAATACATTTTAATTTCTTTACCTTACTTTAAACTTTATATATACAGTATAGTAATACTGGGTACCCTTGATTACTAGGCCTAGATGATTGTATCTTGTTTTACGTCCCTCTTGAGAATTTTTTTCTCGTATGTAGACATTGCCATTACCGGTGAAGTTCCTGGCGCGAGGGGATGCCCCGCTTAGCGGTGCTCTTGTTATTAGTCTGAAATGTGTATTGTAGAGGCTCCAAGGGGAAAATTTAAGCATTATGTCCTAGAAGAATCATTACTTGACAGATCCGAGGTGGTGAGTCAGTAAAATACGGGAAAATATAACGAAAACAGAGGTTGAAGCGAGGAAGGGGTCCAAATTGGCGTCCTCCCTTGTGTTGTTTTAGCATTACCGTATACGATTTTTTTAATAAATAATTATTACACGCCGGGAGCAAGCCCCTGTGCACCTATCAGGCCGTATTATTTTTGAGTACTGTAATTTTTGGCTTTTTACTTCTTCAACAACTTTTCACATACATAAGCCCTACCATATAAACGAATGAAAAATATCAGTGTTCGTATGCACAAAAAGATCTTCCTGTTAATCAAGAAAATATTGAAAAACTTCATAATATTTGTTATAAAAATTAAAGTGTCGGTTTCATTTACTGGAATTTTCCTTTGTTAAATCGTTTTGTCAATTTTTTTAAAGATTGAAAATCTTGAAAAATTATTAGGTCGTATGAAAATTAGATCACCATAAAATTATCTCCCTCGCCCAGCACAGCATTTCAACCAATGAAATAACAGAAAATTTTCCCATCATGTATTTTCTACCAATCCCAGAAGAGAGAAAGTGCATAGTCCTAAGACTGTAAAATACTTCAACTTTGTGTACCTTCCAAGGAAGACGGTGTTAAGAAATTGTTTTACTTTAAAAAGGGAATGGCTAAAACTTATACATAACTTTAAAAATAACATTAAATAAAAAAGAATGTGAAAAAGAATTGTAAAATTATGTGATAAAATTATTAATTCAATAAACATTTTTGAAATTCAATTGTGATTGAGATGAAATAAATTATATCGCCATCTATTCTGTTTATGTTTTTCAACTATTTTCAGCGGAAAACATTCATAAAATAACCTTATTATTGACTATATAGATAGAATACGATTTTTAAAGTAACAATCAACTCAATTATGCATAAAATTAATTTGAATTCACCAAATAAATCTTGGAGTTCTCTAGGGTTCTGTGTTTAGTAGGACCTCTTAACTTAGGCCAAACAAAAAAATATGTGTGGTTCCGGTTACACTTCCAAAAAAATTAGGGTAGGTAGGTAGGGATTTTTTTTTTTTTTTTTTTTTTTTTTTAGCAAAATGATTTTCTTAATTTTTTCTTTAGAAATAATACCTATCATTGCTTTGCAAATTGCATTTAGATGTGGTGTGATAATATACTAGTCAATATTGGTAGGGGACACCTACATTCTAGTTTGCTTTGGATTTAACACTATTAAACTATGTTTTGCAAGGAGGCCGTCATTGCTGAAACTAAATCTTAAACATTGATGGAAATCAGGGAAAATTCCGGAAAAATATGAAAATTGCAAAAAAAGTTTAGGGTCGGGGTTTAAAATAGGGAGGTCGGGTAACCGGAACCACACATATTTTTTTATTTGGCCTTAGCATGTAGTGTGCATTATTATATGTTACATTAATTTTCTTTTACAGCCATGGGTATCAAATATAATATGGCTGTTGGCCTTAACAAGGGCCACAAGACCATTCCTTTGAAAGCTGGCAGAAAAACAAGGCCCACAAGAAGAAGAGGGGTAAGGGAACATTGCATGCTAGGCCTATATTTCACACACACACAAAAATAAAATACACAGTGTGGTTAATGAACATTAAAAGAAGTAAAAATTAACAGGAAGATCTCTGTGTAATAACTTATTGTTAACTAGTATGTATTGAAACTTGGGTCATGCCAAATGTATTGTGAACAGGTTTTAATCTACATTGGCTAAATTACATTATCATTTCTAACCATTTAATATGTTTTACGGTGCCACCATTGGGACAAGTGTAGTTGTATAGTGTATACCATAAAAAAAATCCTTTACGTAGCTGACACTTTCACATTCAAACTGCATGAGACAGTAGACTGTAACTTCACATGTTGTCGTGTGTAAGTTGCATTTCCTTAACTGAGTTAAAATAGGCCTTTCGCAATTGTGTAACAAACAGGTTGGGACCTATCACCCAAATGGGATAATTACTCCATTATAAGTATCTTGATGCGGATTTATATTTATGGCCAAAATAAAAAAAATCATTTTTTACACTGTAAATTAATATCCCATTTGGGATATTATATCCCAAACAGGCTATTAAATCCCATTTGGGCAATTGGTCCCAACCTGACAAATGGCATTGTAGAGTAGATGCAATTACTTTTTGTTTTATGCAAGTTCTCTGCAAGAACTATATCTTAATAAATGATAACGGGGGGACTGTTTATTTGCCATTATCGCATAAAATCTTGGTAGTGAAGGTATTGAAGGAATTCTGGGATGGTTTCACAGAAAAGTTTGCTTGATGGATATACAGAATTGAATTCAAATTTTCTCTGTTCTTACACAATAGTCTATTGAGCTCGCTTTTAAAATTTTATAAGATGTATTACATGCTGATTCTTTTTTCCATGATCCTCAGAAGTATTTTGTATTTTTCTCTTTCAGGCATTAACCAAGCATGCTAGATTTGTCAGAGACTTAGTGAGGGAAATCACAGGATTCGCTCCCTATGAGAGACGCATGCAGGAATTGCTGAGAATTCAGAAGGACAAAAGAGCACTCAAATTTGCCAAGAGAAGGGTAAATTTATATTATTATCATTAATTTGTAGTAAGAACAGCATTTTCACTGCCTTGTTTGCCCATCTCCATAAGATTAAAAAATTCCAAACTGACAAGCAAATAAAAATTTTTAGTGCTTTTTATCAACAATCTTGAATTTTGAGCTTACATGTATATAGAGATGTACATAGAGGTTAGCCTACAATATCACCTATCTTAATTTTAATTTAAAACACAATTATACATGAGTATTTCCAAATTCTGCTATTTTTCAATTAAAAATTCTCAATAGAAAGGGTACAGGACCCAGTACCAAAAAAGGGGGAGTCCAGCCCTGTGCCTGTCTGATGTCTGTACAGTCAAGCCCTGTGCCTGTCTGATGTCTGTACAGTCAAGCCCTGTGTCTGTCTGATGTCTGTACAGTTAAGCCCTGTGTCTGTCTGATGTCTGTACAGTCAAGCCCTGTGCCTGTCTGATATCTGTACAGTCAAGCCCTGTGCCTGTCTGATGTCTGTACAGTTCAGCCCTGTGCCTGTCTGATATCTGTACAGTCAAGGCCTTGTCTGATGTCTGTTCAGTCAAGCCCTGTGCCTGTCTGATGTATGTACAGTCAAGCCCTTGTCTGATGTCTGTACAGTCAAGCCCTGTGTCTGTCTGATGTCTGTACAGTCAAGCCCTGTGCCTGTCTGATGTCTGTACAGTTAAGCCCTGTGTCTGTCTGATGTCTGTACAGTCAAGCCCGATGTCTGTCTGATGTCTGTACAGTTAAGCCCTGTGTCTGTCTGATGGCAGTAAAGTTGTTTTCTGTTTATTTACAGCTTGGATCACACATCCGTGCCAAAAGGAAGAGAGAAGAAATGCAGGCCGTCTTACAGAAAATGAGAAAAGCACAGAAAGAACAGAAATAAATTAACTCCTCTCTTTGTTGTTGTTTTTGTCATTCATTTATGAAAAAGCAACATAGAATTGCTGATCAAATTATGAAGCAGTATTTACCCTTTTGGTATACATGTACATGATAATGCAGATGGATTGGTTTTATATCCAGTGTTGTTTATATTATGTAATGGAAGAAAAATTTGTATAATACAGGTTACATTTTGCAGAAAAAGTGCAGAAATATTTAACCACCGTATTGCATTATCTGTAAACTGTTGCAAGGGGAGAGAATTACAGCAGACTTAAAACCAAAACCCTCTTATACACACCATTCCTTTGAAAATTGTTCATGAGGAATGTTGAAATATAATTATAGTAGGCACAGCATCAGAAACTTCATTTTGTTTTTCTAGGCTTTACGTGCAATACTTGTCATCACATCCCTGGCATGATGTTGATGCTCATGAAAGATATAAATGGCTAATTGGAGATCTCACTGCTCATGTTTCAAAACTCTCATTTTATCTGCGATACATTCTTCGTATATTCAATTTTGGCATTTATGTGGAGGATGCTGTGATATATTCTTCATATATTCAATTTTGGCATTTAAGTGGAGGATGGTTATATAAAGTAAGGTGGGTTAAGGTCAAATACCTCACAATGATAAGGTAGTAAGAACTGATGAGGAACTTCTTGAGGTAGTGTAGATTCTAAATTGTTCAGATCATGGTCCCCGGGGTTGGATGGGGCTACAAGGCTGGCTCAAAGTTTTACAATGTACATTGAAATATATAGGAAAAATCTAAAAAAAAAAAATCTCAAGAACCATTGGGCCAGAAAAGCTGAAATGTGTGGCAGATTATAGAGGTAGTGTAGATTGTAAATTGTTCAGATTATGGTCCCCTGGGGAAGGGTGGGGCCACAATATAGATTATGTATGTAAAAGTCTTTAATTTTCTCAAGAACAGCAAAGTCATGATGAATCGAATGTGGAAGCATCCTCTGGTAGTGTAGATGATTCTTTTTTTCCCTTCAAATTATGGCCTCTGTGTAAAGGTGACCCACAAAGGCAATCGATATTTTACACAGGAATATGCATGTATTGGGGGGGGGGGGGGGGGGGGGGGAATCTGATGCAGAACAGCAGGGCCAAGTGACTCCAGTGAGCATTGTGACCCATGGGCCTTTTGTTATACCTGTAATTAGTGTTGGACATGGAGAAATATACTGTTATGGATAAAATGTCTGTAACTTCCAAGATTCCTTATGATTGTAAAATCTTCACACATCATGGAAATGATCCAAATGATGACCCCCCACACATATGGTAGCAATTTACCTCACCAATGTCTATTAACCTTTCAAAAAAGAAGACTTGGAACATTTTTAAAATATTTATTTGTAAATAAATAACAAATATTGGTAATTGCAACGATCAACCCCAACATAACAATAAACTGAAACCAGGGAGACAGATACATTGGAAGTTTTCTATATATCAAAACTTATTTCTTAAAGAAAAAAAAATTGAATAAATTAAGGTAGAGAGACCCTCTGTTAAATAAAATGGAATTTTATGGTACAATTTTCTAAAGGTAAAGGGAGGATAACAATGACATTCAAACAAATTTAGTATACAACTTGAGACAAACTCTGAAATTGTTGAATGCAAAAACAGTGATTTTCAATTACAGAGTTATCTCCTTTTTGCAGAGGGTCAATCCTCCTTAATGACTTATATATGAAGGTAGAGAAGAAATACGAAAAGATGGACAGGACGGATTTAACAATAGGAATGTTATGTTCATGATGGTACATGTAGAATATTTTCTTTTACATTATAGTACGCTTGCAACAGATAATTGATAGAACCATACTCAGTTGAATATAAACACTCATAACTTTTAACAGCAAAATCTATTTTACACAAACTGTCATTGTTCAACATTATATTTATGTACCTTTTACATGTTCAAAAAACTTCCAGAAAAAAAAAAAAAAAGATCCAAATCACTGATAGTTAATAACAAGAAATTGATAAAAAAAAATTTACACTTTGAACTATTCAATGCTTAGAATTTCCATCTGAATCGGTAATCTACTGTATCAAAATCTGACAACACATTATGAAGTTAATTAACAACAGAATGACTGTATGGCCTAAAATGAACAAATCTTTGTCACTTGTTTACTCCTTTTTTCCTTGAACATTTTTTTGAAAGATAGTAATTGTCTTTAGTTTTTATAAAATGTGCAGATCAATAGTTCTGCAGATTTCTTATGCTTTAAATCTTGCTGAAGAAAATAATCTGCCTCTGAATTTTTTTCCAAGATTAACTTATTTTGATGTGGAATCAACCATACAGAAACTGGAGTAAGAAAACATAAAAGTTTGTATAAAAAAAAAAAGAAAAAAAAAATCATTCTCAAATATATAACCATTTCCCAAAAATTAAATTTACCAATATTCAAATACTGAGAAACCATTGAAAACATAGAAATATTGAAAATACATTTGTTACATGTACATGGCTGTTTGTCAACAGGCTTTCTTGTGATATTGCAAAAACTTTTAAACTCTAGTGTAACAATTTTTTTTTTCCATTAGACTGATCTAGGTCAGTATAAACAGTAAAACACAATAAATTTACAACTAAAGACAAATGAGTATTAAAACAAATATGTACATAGTACTTATCATCATTTTTGAGCATAAAAAGAACTGAAGCATGGCAGAACACTTGAATGCATTGTAAAACGAACACGTCTTCTAGAGCATTAATAGGGGAATGTCTGTTTACCCCTACATTGTTCACAGTGTATCAGTCAAGGCACATGAAAATAATTTAATGATGATTCATCTACTCTATTAAAAAAAAATCTAATACTTAATGGAAGACTGAAAGTAAGTTATAGATCTTCAGAACTCTTCGACTTCAGCAATCACGATCTTTACAACTCTTTTGAGATCATGTGTCTTCAAAACTCTTATGCAACCATGATCTTTTTTTTTTTTTGAAATTACAAATTCTCTCTAAAAATACATTTGATGCAAATATATTTTTTGATTTATTCCTCAATATGATTCTTTTAATCTGCACAGGAAATAAATTATGCTATCCATGACATGCCTTTATTTAATGTATTCTAGAATTTGAAATTCTTCATTAAAAAAGGATCCCTTTAATATGCTCTGTCTGTAAAATCAAGTTTGATACCCATAAAAATTAAAACTTTGATTTATTTTGTCACATTTGAACACATCTTTCTTTGAACTAATAACTAGCATAGGTAGCACCTTCTGCAACTAAAAGGAGATGTCTATACCAAAAAACAGTCTTGCTCCTATTTTATTAATAATGTTTTCTTCAGCAATTAACTAGTTTCTTAAATTTACTTTTTACTACATCACATTGCACATAAATTCCCATTCTATCATCATATTCCATAACTTGATAAAGTTTTGAAAGTATATAAAATATTCACATTTGCACATACAGGTATAGGTAATGAAAACCTCATTAAAAACATATCTTTCCTCCATAATAAGTTATAACCAAAAATAAATAAAAACTACATTACCCTGAAAAAAATACAAATTGTCACTTAAGAAAGTTGTAAAATGGTTTGATCCCTTCAGTGGGAGTATTAACAGCTACAAATGCTGATATTTCAGATCATTCCTTGAATATCAGAGCAGTACTAAATCTGACTTCACCGAGACACATTCCCAGATCTACACAACCTTTAAAAATAATACTAATTTCTGCTTAAGCTCTTTTCTTTTTTCCAAGGTTTGGGACATCAGGTGCAAACTCTCTATACTGAGTCTGTAAAACAAATATCATTCATGTTTAATAAAATTATTACTGAAAAATATATCCTTTTTTTTAAATTGCAGTATCTATAAATTTGGAGTATAAAATTCATCTCCAAAGTTATCAAGCTAAGAAAACTTTAGTGTGATATTTTTTCATAGAAGGAGTTATACTGTAAACGAACTTTTATTCGCTTGTCAGAAATGTCCTTATTTTACTTGCCAACATTTCTATAGCAAAACACATCTTTATTGTGTACAAGTACTTATGAAGAATTTATCCTTAGTCACACAAATAAATGGTAATAGTCGCAGATGAATTTCAAACTGACAAATCGTGAATAGAAGTTGTGGCAAATATTTGATTTACAGTCTGTCGTGTAGAAGATGATAGGACCTACCACTTCACTATCTGAAGGCACTCGGGACAAAAAGTCAAGCAGTTCATTGTTTGGTATTGCATTAGGAGCCCTCAACTTCTTCGTAAATTTGTTGATGCCTGAAACAGTGATGTAGGCGTCAAAGAGAGGCTGATGCAGTAATGCATTATGACAATTTCTAAAGATCTTAACCTAGTCTGATATAATGGACAATTGGTTAACAACTTGACTCAATATCTCTGCATGCAACAGATTTTGACAAAAATGGTTCATTAGCATGGAAAGAAGCTGGAGTTCTAACAATAATCAAACATGTTCGTGAAAATATTCTCCATTCTCTTGCATACAACTTTATTCATTTTGAGGTTCAAACCTGGGTCACACAGGTCAGAGGTGAGTGGTTCCACAGTGTTATCAGTATGCCCCAATACTTACCCCATAATGAGATGAGTACATTGTGGTTCCACAATATAATTAGGGTGGCCCTGTACTTACCCCATAATGAGATGAGTACATTGTGGTTCCACAATATAATTAGGGTGGCCCTGTACTTACCCCTTAATGAGATGAGTACATTGTGGTTCCACAATATAATCAGGGTGGCCCTGTACTTACCCCATAATGAGATGAGTACATTGTGGTTCCACAATATAATTAGGGTGGCCCTGTACTTACCCCATAATGAGATGAGTACATTGTGGTTCCACAGTATAATCAGGGTGGCCCTGTACTTACCCCATAATAAGATGAGAACACGGATTGGAATGTAGTACAAAACTAAGACAAGAATAGACAACACGATCACAGCTAGAATGGATAACCAAGGCACCGTCCAATTAAATGTACTGAAAAGTTAAATAACAAAAAAATTATTGCACTACTGAAATAGCAAGATACTATATACAGGGTTATTTTTTCCCCGTGTTATTTTCACCCTTTCACACTTGCAAACAATTTCATCCTATTTTAATTTGCCCAGACACAGCTGTGTTAAAGAGATAATGTTGTTTTCTTCGAATTCACTCTGTTTTAAATTTTCCCACTTGCATCAAAGATGAAAGGGTTAAAAATTTCTTCGTTTTCAGTGTATGAATTTCAAACACTTATACAGTCAAAATAGTTTCTACTACATGTATCTATTTATGCATATGGTCTCCAAAATGTGGATTACCGAAGTCAAAATTTCAAAACAGAGACTTCAAAAAAAAAAAAAAAATCTTTCATTTGTAGATGACAATCTCTGCAGTGGTTTATGATACTGAAAAAAGACTAATTTTGGTTCTCGAAAATGTCACGCAGTCAACTTTTAAACAGAGCAATGTGAGGAATAATCAAGGAATGAAGAACAAACTGCTGTAACAATTGATGCCTTACTTTTTTATCCTCTCCCCTAGAGAAGCCACCATGTCCATTCCCTGTTGAACTTGTAAACAAACTTCTTGAGCTGCTTGTAACTTTTCTCGAACACTTTTTTTCTCATCCTAAAATAAAAAGTCAAGAATCAGTGAAAAGACCAAACAAAAAAGTTATCTCTTTTTAGAAGCCACTTTTACTTGACACCTTTAAAACTGCCCCCCCCCCTTTTTTTTTAATTTTTTCAATACATAAAAAGCACAAATTCACAGTTTCTCTCAAAATTAACAAAATAAAGTAATTTTTTGTCAAAGCAAGTTTTGATACATGTACATACGCAGTGAAAATGAACATTATTGGGGGGTTAAAACAAATACAATGTACTAGTATAGGGAAAAAAAAGAAACCATAAGACGGGTCTGAAGACCATAAGATTATATAAAATTTTGTGTGAAAGACCTAATACTTCTCAACAAGTTAGTTTTTAGGGTGCATATGTTATATAAAAAGATTGGGAAAAAATGCAACAATGTACAAATGGTATTGCACAATAAAGTTTAACACAACATGCTTGTGAAACAGTAACTTCATCCAAGTGCAATTTTACTACACGTAGCATCTAACATCAAGTTTGCAGTATTTAAAATAGTCTAACAAGTGCAAAAGGGAGATATGCACAGGACAAACAAAAAAAAAATCAAATAATAATTTTAAAAATATATTTAAAAAAAAATAAAGCAATTTCAAAGAATATATCAAGCACAGGTAAATTACATATATACTGTATAACAAGTGAATTCTAATATTTTTTTCAACTAGATGCATAAAACAAAGGATTCAGAATTCTGCTTTTGCAATTCCATATGATCTGCAATCGTACAACAAACATGGGAAATTATTTTGTGATTATGATTAAACCAAAAAATTCTGCATTGGACAACTTCTGAAATTACCTATTATACAGTATAAATCATATCATGACAGTTTACTAGCAGACAGATTCTATATTCTACGTACATTCATTTGTTATAAATCATTCTGCTTACAAAGATATATCAAAGCTTTTTCTTGGGAACACATGCACTTAAGCTCTCAGATTTTCTATTTTATGTACATGCAGCCTTTTCCTTGGAGAAATATTTTTGGGACCTAACGCTCTGTGTTAGAGACTCCTCTTTATCTGTAGTGCAGTAGCACATTTTATTTTTGTAGTTAGTACCACATGTAACAACAAGAAGTCTGTGAGCCAATGCTCACTAATAATACCCCCGCTCTGATGTAAATACACAAGTTCATTTATGGACAGACACAGGGATAAACAGGAAGTTGACATCGGATTCGTAAAAAAATAAATTCTGCCATATGACATGCCTAAACGAAAAGTGTGCTAAACTCTCAAGCATCTGTGATATGTAGATGCTGAGAAAACTGCGACCAAAATTTGTTATGTATGGTACGGATAGACACATGGATAAACAGCAAGTTGACATTCGATTTGCACAAAAATGAATCCCACCATATCGCATGCCTAAACAAAGAGTGTGCTAAAATTTCAAGCATCTGCGATGAGTAATTGCCGAGAAGACTGCGACCAAAATTTGTAATGTATGGTATGGACAGACGCATGGATAAACAGCAAGTTGACATTCGATTTGCACAAAAATGAATCCCACCATATCTCATGCCTAAACAAAGAGTGTGCTAAAATTTCAATCATCTATGATGAGTAGTTGCTGAGAAAACTGCGACGAAAAATTGTTATGGACAGACACACGGACACACAGACACACAAGGGTAAACCAGTATGCCCCCCTCTCCTCCGGAGCGGGGGTATAATTATACATTTACTTATAAGCTTATCTTTCTAGTCTATGGAATAGAGCCTTTTATACTTAGAGAGGGACATACAAGGGATGTCAAAATGAGAACTACCTCAGGCTTATGCCTCAGGTGAGCTAAAAAGTATTCAAACCTTTCCTCACTGAAAATACAGACATTACTACATTCCTCTCCATCTCTATCAAAGTAAAATGAGACATCCTCTCTAACTTAAAAATTTATTTTTTGCAGGGGTCAGTGGGTTTTTAAATATTTCTATATTTCATTTGTCATGAAAGGACTAGCTTTAGCATATATTATGAATCTAGCATGTATATAAAGGTCACCAGTCACCAATTTTGTTCATCATTAATATTTTAAGTTTTGCAGTTGCATTGCAAAAAATATACATTTTTCAAGATCAAATCAGAGCTGTATTCAAGATAGTAGCAGATAGCCTTTCTTCCAGGCTAGATATCTAGGTCTATTTAACGCATTTTTGAATCAATGCCTGTTAACCATGAATAGTGGCTAAGCTTGCCTATATGTCCTTCAAGATCATAGCTCTTCATAGAGCTACATAGCCTCTACGATCTTGAAAGCAGCCCTGGACGTGACTTATCTGAAAAAAGAAGGGGGCTCAACAAATGCAAAGTCAAACGACTTTGACTGAGGATTGCAAATAATTGAAAATAAGGTTTAGACCAACAAATTCTGTATGATTAATACATTGTTTCAATGGCAGATTTGTGAACCATCAGTATGTCAAAAATGCAAAACAAAGCTATGATATCTGGCGAAATAATCATGCAAAACTGTGGAATGTTCGTCAAAATTGATGAAACAACATGGTTAGTGGTGTCCTGTGTATTTAGGGATAAATCAATCAAATTTTACCTTTATCACTCTAATAATATTTCTAAATGTTTTCCGGTGTTTCTAAATCGATAAATTATTCACTTCAGTATATTAGTATACATATAATTGCTACTATCATGGTTTATGAAACACATGTCTATAAAGGATAATGCAGAATAAAAAAGACATGAAAATAAGAATCAAAACTACCAACTTTATACCTCGTGCTTTTTGTTTTAAAAAAATGCAAAACTAATTGCAAGAAAAGGGGATTAAATGCCACTAAATAAAATGCACTTTATATAAGGTATTCAAAATATATATGACTAAAAGTTTCAAAACCAAATGGATTTTATAAAAATCGGATTTTACAATATCCTGATGTTGAATACCAACCAATATAACTCTAAAAACTTGTTATGGTACAGCACATTTAATTTTCTTTATTACTGAAGAACAGTTAGTAAATTTCTATGAATTATAGTTAAAGATCGGGGTATGTTACAGTGGCAAGTTAAGGGTTCTGATGGGATACAGGACTAGAGTCAGGGTGCAGGTAGTAAATTTGGAAGAAAAAAATTTCAAGAGCAAAAAAAAAAAATTGTATAAGTACAGTATTTTGTGAGAGAAACAGGCACAGGATTATTTTACCAAAAAAAAATTGTTAAAAAAATTTAAGTATATTAAAATCATACCTTTTTTTGCTTTGCATAAAATATGGTTATAATTAAACATCCATCACAATATCCATGCAATATTACACCTACATCAATCGAACATGCTAACTCATGCAGAATTATTTCCAATATTTTGGTTTTTAAATGCATTAGACTATATCTAGCTTTTTCTCACATTCTTTTGCACAATTCTGTATTATTGAAGCTAACCTTCATCAGGACATTTTTGTACAAAAATCCACATTATGATTTTCATTGCAATTTAAAACACAAAAATCTGATTTGAAAAAACAATTGCATTTGATAGAAAATTATTTCCAATTTCTTAGAAAAACAGTTTGTAAATTTGTAATTACCTTAGAAGCCTCCTCCTCCTCATCATCATCATCTTCATCTACATTAACCTGTAAATAAAATGTATATAAATAAACTTACAAAACAATACTAAAATACTCTAAACCAACTTTCACTCATATGTGAGAAATGCAGTCAAACCTTGTTATCTTGAACTCGATTGGACCAAGAAAAAACTTCAAGATATCAGAGGATTCAAGATATCAAGGGTAAAATACTTAAGGAACAAGAGATGTTTGTGAAACACTTATGTCCCCCCCCCCCCCCCCCCCCCCCAAAATAATTGGAATTTTCTGTCAAAAATTGCTCGATCGTACTAAAACAGAACTTGACCTAGATATTCTTATGATAAAACTGTATACCAAATTTCATTTCAGTATGTGCAACCACTGCGAAGAAAATGAATGGAAACTATTGATGGACCGACAGACAGACAGACAGACAGCAGCAAAGCGATATGCCCTCCCTTCTTTGAAAGGGGGTATAATTTATATAGTTGGGACTTCCAAATCACTTCAACATATCCATGGTATGTGAGATATATCAGTGTTTGAGATATGGAAGTTCAACTGTATAATGTATCTGTGAGTTTCACAACATTCTTTTCCTCAAGAATTTAAATCACCTCGAACCATTTATTCAACTTTGCATTAAGTATGTAGAATGTTTCCCTAGTCACAAAAATTAATTGCCCTGGATGGATTTCAAGACAAATATCACATTGACTGTCAAATTAATTATCAATAACTATCAACTTCCTTTCTGCACTGAATAAATTAACAATAACTAATAACTTACGACTTCCTCTTTGTTTTCCACAGAGAAGGCTTCTTTAGCTGACTTGATGAGATAATTCTTTAGAAAGAGTATGAGTAATGTCACAGGTAACATGTAAGGCTCAAAAAACCAGGTGATGATAAGGAATACCTGTGGGGAAATAAACAATCAAAAATTCATATATATATATATATATATATATATATATATACATATATATATATATATATATATATATATATATATATATATATATACAAATAAATATTACAAAAAAAAGGCAAAAATTCAAATATAAATGCAAAAGTACAGTATATCTTATCTACGCCAGATGCTGTGTATTTCAAATAACTGAAAGGGACTTCAAGTTTAAATCATAAATGGCAAAATCTGTATTTCTAACTGTAAAGGCAGTAATACTCCGAGCCTTCAGTTACATGTATGTTTAATGTGAACACTGTATAAATACTAACTGTAAAGGCAGTAATACTCCGAGCCTTCAGTTACATGTGTGTTTATTGTGAACTCTGTATAAATACTAACTGTAAAGGCAGTAATGCTCCGAGCCTTGGATTCCCATTCGAAACAGCTCTGCAAGAATTTACCGACCTCCATAATGGATGATATGATTTGCGAAACTCTGTTAATATTCCTCTTCATCAGCTGAAAATATGGAAACAAAATCAGGTTGAATTTCAGATGCTCTAATTTAAAGACCCAAGGGTCCACAAATGTCAACACTTGATGATGTATGGGGCAATTTTATTTAAGTATTTTTATATATCGTAGATATTGATTCCCTGGAGGGAATATTTTGCCTGACTGTGGATTAAAACACTGCCTTTCGTGACAAAAAATGAGCAACGATATCAATCTGCAACTGCCAGAAAAATATATCATATCGTTGGGATGTTTTTTTTTCACATCCAATTTAATCATAAATCAATTGTGTTCATTCAATATCTGTGACAATGTAATGGAGTAAATTATACTGAACAGAAATTCTGATACTTCTAAGCTCTCGATTAACATACCGCAATTTTGAACTTTGGGTCAGGTTGCATATATTTTTCTTCTCTAGGATTGACTGTTCGGATAGCAGCTTTCACCTTTAAACAACAAATCAATATTTCCAAAGATTATACAAGAAAATCCAATATCTAAGGAAGTAAATCAAAGATAATGCATAAAATCATGCAAATGTCATTACTAGATTACAAGGGACTGACACAGCTCAAAAGATAATTCATTCCCTATGGATTGCACGAAAAATTGACATGCTATTGGTCGTACATTAATAATATATATGTTATCTCTCAAAGCCTCTACAGATTCTAGAAATTACCGGATTGTAGATAAAATCCATCTCTAATAAAATAGCTCCTTTTGATCTCCCAAGTAATTTTTTGTCCTTCAAGGCATACCATCGTCTTATACCTCTCTTCATCTGTACAAATAAAAATTCACTGCATAAATAACCATGTGTATCTTACATCTACATTCTTTTTTTTTTTTAAAAAGGGACATTAACTGTCTTTCTGTCACCAAAAATTGAATTCAATTATAAAAATTTCTCCATCTTACATATTTCAGCAATAGCAACAGTATTTAATGATTTAAAACATTTTTTACCCTCAAAGCAGGCACATAAAATATGGATTTTAATTTGTTGTTTAAATAATTAGTGGCGTGCAAGCCAACAAATGTTTCCTATATATTTCTGTACACCATAAGTGGTTATTTAACAGTTTTATTAGGTTCCTCTTGTTTTGTATGGAATAAATGTTTTATTGGTCATTAATATATATGCTTATGCTATCGAGAGATTAATTTTGAGAAAAAATGGTTGCCATCACTTTCACAGCTAATGCCCCTTTAAATATTAAAATTATGCATTGTCATAGGCATTGTGCCTTTGATAGGAAATTAGTCATGAGTGTTGTTGACAAGCGTTTTATTTTTAAAAAACACACATCTTTCCAAAAGGAAATGACAACATTCTCTACCTGAAGAATAGGAACTGCGATTTTGCCGAGAAATTCAGCTTTCTTATCTCTGTCTTCGTCATACACCGTAACCTCTAACACAGAATGGATATCCTTCACATTACTGAAAAAGAAAAAAGAAATTCAGCTTTCTTATCTCTGTCTTCGTCATACACCGTAACCTCTAACACAGAATGGATATCCTTCACATTACTGAAAAAGAAAAAAGAAATTCAGCTTTCTTATCTCTGTCTTCGTCATACACCGTAACCTCTAACACAGAATGGATATCCTTCACATTACTGAAAAAGAAAAAAGAAATTCAGCTTTCTTATCTCTGTCTTCGTCATACACCGTAACCTCTAACACAGAATGGATATCCTTCACATTACTGAAAAAGAAAAAAGAAATTCAGCTTTCTTATCTCTGTCTTCGCCATACACCGTAACCTCTAACACAGAATGGATATCCTTCACATTACTGAAAAAGAAAAAAGAAATTCAGCTTTCTTATCTCTGTCTTCGTCATACACCGTAACCTCTAACACAGAATGGATATCCTTCACATTACTGAAAAAGAAAAAAGAAATTCAGCTGAACTTTGGTATCTCAAACTTTGATATCTTGAATACTATGGATGTTGGAGTTGGAAAGTCTCAGCCATTTTTCTTCATGTATTTTAAACTTGATGTCCTAAATTCTCGGATATCTGTAAGTTTTTATCTATTTAAATTTTCATCAAGTGTGAGACAATAAGTTTTACTGTATAAGACTAAACAGTTGATTTCACTTTGAAATGTCCAGCTGACTTAAATCTGAATCAATACATTGTGTTCTACCCTAAAAAAACAATTTGTATCAATCATTGAATATGAGCATAATTTGCAGAAAAACATTACATACAAATCACAGGTATATTTCATCAATACCCCTAAATACATTGTAATATCAAAAATAAACAATGAAGCACTTTGCAAAAAAAATCAGTTTTGATCATAAGGACCTCTAATCACCATAGCTTTAAGGCATTTGAAAATTTCAGATCTTTGATCACTAAAGTGTCTTACAATGTGAAGACCTTGTTCCACTCTGGGTTGAGTGTCTTGTATTCTGTCTGAGTCTGGAGACGGGCATTGACCAGCTCTAACACACAGAATGGGTCACTTTTCCCGCCAATATCAGCTGCCATTAAACCCTGAGCCTTGATCACTAAAAAAAAAAAACATTTTCTGAAACATTATCCAACAACTATTTGTTCAACATTTCACAATATTCATGCATAGATATTTTCAAAAGGTATGCTGTAAACCGGTTTTCTATCAACTTACATAGGAGTGATATACATCTATGAGCTTCACAAATGAATTAGGTTACAAATTTTTTTTTTATAGTGATACATGTTTTCATACAAACCAAAATGAATTTGGTTTATAAATGTTTTCATGAAAACCAAAACACTTAGTTGCAAATATCAATAATGATGGATAGGTTTTCTGTCTGCAAATATTGAATGTATCAAAGATACCATGAATAATAACTGGTCCATATATGGCTTCACTAATACCCAATACAGAGGAGAGGCAGGATTGTATTCTCTTATTTACCTTTCACTTGAAGCCACCCAATGTCCTTCAAGTTTTTAAAGGAGTTGAAGATTCCCTGAAATATCAAACAGTGATACATGTAAATCAACACAAATGTCAATGAAATGCGAACACCAATTGGATTTTCTGACCACATAGAGTGAAGTCAAATTGCAAATAAAAGGTTTGGACAAAAAATCCCCAAATTTTACAATAACTGATTTGTCTGCTAATGGAAAACAAGTACGCTCTGTTTCCTTTTTTTTGGAAAGGGGGGTGGGGTGGGGGGTGGGGGGGGGGAGAGATATTCAATATCAAATCAAGCAATACTTATTATCTTTACATAAGTAACTCTTGATAAATTGATAAGTTTATTTTTCTTGGGAACTTACACTTGATTTTTAACATATCAAAACAAAAAGAAATTCCTATTTATCAATTCTTGCCAATTAAACTGCATTTACATAATATCATTATATACCTACATTTGTATCATCTAAGTACAATGTAGTTACTGACATTTCAAAAATGGGCAAATTTTGTCTTTAATCCATTACATCTGATATAAAAATTTAACATCCAGGTCAATTGTACTCTTTGTGCCAATGTTTTTTTCAAAACTCTGACAGTTATTTCCTTGAACACTCTAACATTTCTTTTTATTTCAGATGAAATTCTACATTTCCTTTTGCTGAATCATGTTATTTTCTTCAACACATAAAAAAAATAAATCAATAGTAAGGGGTCTTGCTTCTGGTTTGCATGATTGCAGAGTATGCAAGCAGAGGAATATTTAGATATGTGTTCCGGACTATTACAGCTATTACAGCACTCACATAACTACGGAACAAATCATCCCTCTCTTTCGTGTTAGTTGTGTAATTGATGAGATCGGTGATAGTTTCCGCACCCTGAGTCCCACTGATGGTCAATAGAAGTTTGATCGTGCCGGCTCCATCTTCAAGTTCCTTAACTATAGTGTGCGTCCTTTCTTTCTCTATTTCAGAAAGATCAATTGTTGCTCTGAAGAAAAGAGAAGATGCCAATTAATCATGAGATGGAATTCTGACTCATGAAAAAGGACGCCTATCATTGTCACTACAAAGAACCCATTATCCAGTCTTCATTTCCATTTTTTTCTGTCTCAACAAAATAGTAATCATTATATCACAAACTTAAATTAAACACAAAAATACATGACTACTTAACTGTCATGCAAATTCCAAAAGGCATATTATTTAGTGAATAGAACTTAAGACATTTTTTACAGATGAATTTACTGTAGGAAAACAATGCTTAAAAATGAAAAGGGTTTAAATAAACAGTATCAATTCTGACCAATCCTATTTCATATCAAACTTTACTTTATTATCAGTAAATATTTTGTCAGCTAGATTACAAAGTTTACGCCATTAATTTTTCTAAATTTATTACAGTAAATAACTTAATGAAGTCAAAGACTTAATAATATGAAATAATGGTCAAGATTTTTTTTAAAACAGTAAAGATGGTTAGCAGAGTAATGTACAAACCTGCCCATAAAATCATCAGATCGCAGGTCATGATCGTACACACTGATGTCCAAAGTCTTACTCTGGTCATCAAAGATTCGTAGACTGAACTGTTCTAACCACCTAGGATTTAGGGTTTTTAATTTGTGCTAAAAACAAAAGATAATCATATATAATTGACTCTGATGAGAATCAAAACTGATCTGAAAAAAAAAAATAATTTCCTTGCCAATAAAAAAAAAAAAGATTTAATTTTCTGCGGCAAATTTAGTACAGTCGAGCCACACTGATTTGGACACTTGTGTTCAGGAGCAAATTGTCCAGACCAATGAAGTGTTTCGATTACTGAGACAGATTTGAAATACAGCGTACATAAATTGTTCCCCACAAATTTTTTTATGGAAAAAGCCGCTGTATGTTACTAACATGTATAGGGAAGAATTTAGCAGGCTATTTTGAGCTTAGCTCTGAGGTGACATCATACCCAAACTTTCCATCAACAGAACATTAAAAAAAAGAAAAAATTAAATTGACTCTCTAACGACAATTGCAAATGATGAACCTAAAAGTACAGTGTCATTTGATTTAATTTGCTTACCAAGAAAGATAAAAATGTCAATGTAAAAAAGGACGTACTTTACTCTTGTATTTCTCCTGACCAAGCTTGAACTTGACGTAGGGGTCACTCAACCCGTTGTCATCCATAGCCATGAGATTGTGTCCCTCCACTAAAACAATATTCACGATTCCGCTCCAGATCTGCATCTTGAGTTTCCTGGCCTGAGATTCCAGAGTGCCGGGTGATTTTCGTAAAGTCGATCCTTTGAACTGATGGAATTGCTGTTAAAACATAATGTCAAGTAAAAAAATTAATTATCACTATTTACCGAGATTACAAAAATGATATAACTGTCAAGAGAAAACAGTGATTGTCTGGAAAATACAGAAAATAAACATAATATCATCAGCAGACATGTTCAATATACTCTTGACTCTTCAAAACCATACTGATTTTAAAAAAAAAAAATTTGCTACATTTTTATGTATTTTTTCCCGAAATGTCAAAACTCCCCATAAATATTCAAACTTTAGATTCAATTTATCCTTAAAAAGAATCATGCAGTTTACAAAAATTCTAAAGAAAGTCTGAATATTTCTTGCTACATCTCTCATACATATTGATCAATACAATAAAAACATTGACATACATATATATATATATATATATATATATATATATATATATATATATATATATATATATATATATATATATATACACATACATACAATGAGATCGACAATATTACTTTTCAAATTTGGAGACAAACAAATTTTTGATCCCCGAAAGAAGTTAAAATAGCTACTTGTATATTTAATAGTACATGTATATAAGAATCTTTTGATTTAAATTTGTTGGTCTCATGCTAAAGATGTATAAATCTCAGACAGCACTCACTAAATAAAGGCACAGTTACACGTTAATTTGTCATATTATAAGTGAAACAGAAGAATAAAGTATTACCATTTACTCATTGATTAATAGTCAGTATTTTACTACCAACGGCCATGACTACAGAATGTGTTTAGAAAATGGGGAAAACATGACAACCTGTGTATCTTTAACTACTGGTACATAAAAAATATAGTGAGTATGGGTCTGTTAGTGTTAAAACTACACTTTTGTTAAATATTAAATTTTCTCTCTTTAATGAACATTTTCATCATTTACTCACATCATTTGAAATCTCATTACTAAGTAGAAGCTGTAAATACAAAAGACAGCACATTTCTGTCACTTCATTTATAAACAGAACACTCATCTTTAACTTATACATGTATACTTTCTGCCAGACATTAGGGTCAAATGCAGGCGAGAAGGAACAGATTAGAATTGTGAAATTAAACGTTTTTAAAGCAGACTGAATAAGAAATTATTATAATGAAAAAAAAAATCCATTTTGACCTTACAATTAACATCATTCATCAAGGTCATTTCTAGGATTCCATTTGTCTAAGTACACTTTTCTAAAGTTTCTCGAGTTTGGTAAAGTTTGGGCCTGCAGGGAAAACTTGGAACTGTCCTAATGGGACTAATATACCCTCGAGGAATAAAACTGAGCTTCTATTTATGATAGCATTCCTAACAAGATTAAGTTTCTAAGTTGAGGCCTTGTTGTAGCAATCATGTCAGCTAGTCCTCCAGAAAAATGAACCTTTGTTTCAAACATGAATTCGTTATGTGCCATCATCACAAAAAGTTTTGACCTTCAGAATTTACACTCTTAGCCCTTTGACCTTCAACTTGACCTTCAGAATTTACACTCTTAGTCCTTTGACCTTCAACTTGACCTTCAGAATTTACACTCTTAGCCCTTTGACATTCATCTTGCCTAAAATAACATTGATACAGGGTCATAACACATCCAAAGGTCACAATCAATCTGTGTGCAAAGCACGAACTTCTGGTGTTCCTCCATTACACAGTTGTGGCCAGCTAGGACAAAAGGAGAGGTGAATACCTGGAGATTATTATATATCTATGTATACTGTCCCCTCAGAATTCATTTGTTGGGGATGTAAAAAGTGTACTTTGGAACATTAAGACATCTCTTATGAAAAATGCAAGCTGACCAAAGAGCTATCTGATCAGGTTTTATCAACCAGAGGTTCTACTATCTTGTCACTATGCATTTGAATTAAGTGATCTCTCTTTCTCATTTCATTTTTTGTGAATTTATGCAAAGGGACCTGATTCAAGAACTCAAATTTTAATTAAGAAACACTGAAATGTGACAAGATCTCTGTCCTAACTGCAATGGCATTTCAGGAAGTGACAATAAAAAGCAACTGAATGTTTTAATAAGTGTTAGGCAGGTCAAATTCCTGACAACTCTCAAACTATTCCCTTGGCATTGAAATCACATTTATTGTCTGTTTGTAGCTTAATGTTTATTGATCTAGATTTCTGGAAAATTTCAACATTTTTTTTTTCCTTTTTAATGACATGAAAAACATTTCAACCAAGCACAAGGTCACCATGAAAGAGGAAACTTCAAGTTTCATAAATCAACCATTTCCCTAAAAAAAAAAATTCTGAGAAAAGTTATTTTTTAACTGTATAAAATGGTACTATTTTTGTAAATATTCTTGAAAACAACAAAATTTTTAAGTTCTTGTGAATGATAATGTGGTACTCAGACAGGTTTGATTGCACCTGACTAGATGGCTCTGCTGGTAGAGCACCTAGTTTTAAAGGTTGCCAGGTTCAAATCTGGTCTGTCCCATTGCATTTTCTCCTTTTCAGTTACAATAAAATACTACCTTAAATTCAATCTATCTAAATTTTCCTAACACCCTGACAGGCATTACTAAATTTCTTTGCACGCACTGTTGCTCAGCCTGAGTTAGGAGTGATCTTTCAAAAAATAATGATTCAATGCTTAAGTATTTGTTAATTAATGAACAATAAGGCAGACTCCTCCATTTATGAACTAAATCACTGCCAACCAGTGCCCTTTGTATGTCTCAGACACATAGATCTATTTAGGAGCATTGAACTCAATTATGGCCATCTTTCTTTTACCAGAAGAAAAATGAATGAAGGCATCCAATCAATTGCTTAATGTACACACTGGACCTGGTACTTTCCACGGAAATCAATGAAAGTTGACCCCAAACTGGACCTCATGAGATTTTTTTTCATTGCAGAATACTGTGAAATCACTATTTTTTTTGTTGGGGTTTTATTTTGTTTTCATTGTTCCAAGGGCTTCACGAATTATTGCCCTCCAAGAAATGTTAAAATTGCTAACAATAGTATAATTTTTGTCTACAGTAAAACATGGTTACAGCGAACATGTAATAAATTATGCTTAACAGCAAAGTGTTTTTCACTTCCTGTGGTTTTAAAATGTAATATGAACTTATTAGATATAAAGAATTATATTAATATAACAAATAAAAATTGTTTGTCCCTCCACTTTTGCTGTAAGCATGTTTTACGGTACCATTACTTCTTCAACCATCAAATCAAATCCCCACAATCAAATAATTTCTCCTCAAACCATTAAATTTTGACCCCACAAAAATAAGTTATTTTACAGTAAATCCTCTCCATTCTTATACCTTTTTTTTTTTTACCTACCTCTTTCTCTTCACTGGACTTTGGTATTAGTGTACACTGCAGAAGTATATAGCCCATATATTCAACATCTTTCTTTTCTTTCAGCTCTAGCTTTAATTCTGTAGGACTGTAAAACAATTTAATGTAAAAGCTTCTAAACTAAGGAAAAAGGCAGAACACCTGGAGAGTCTATCAATTAGCTGTTTATATATTGACTTTTCCCTCCTTTTTTTAAGGAAAAAATAGGCTGGTGCAAGTACAATATGTTACATGTTTTAAATGAACATTTGATTATTTTTTGAAAATCTATTTATGGATAGACTGATATCAATATATATCTGTCAAACTTAGATAAGTCGTGTAAATGGTCTTATTGTTACCATGGTTACCCAGAGACTGTTAATTTCAGTCATAATCTGTTATCAAAAACATTTTTATTGCAAAACTCACTGAAAAGTTCTAAAAGATGACCAAATTATACCAAGAGAACAGTACGATCTGCCCCTCTATTGTTTTGATTATTTAAAGCTATAGAGTTCTTATTGTTTAATAAAATCAATCAAGATTGACAATTACTTTTTTCCTAGCTGTGAGATTCAATTTTTTTAATTATGGAATTATTGGAATCACCATTCACTTGGCCATAAAGAATAGAATTCACCATCTAAATTTTCATACAAACTCAAATATTACTCAAAGTTTGAAGGACAAGAATTTTTGTTGGTAGTCTCCTCCACAACTTGTGGTTGGTTCCGATTTTGTTTAGCATTGTTTTTATCTCACCAGCATCTCAAGCTCTCAGATAAAATATTCATCATCGTAATTCTTTCTAGTATTCCTGGAGGTATTTCCCTTAAAACTTATTTCCGGAACCATCGATAATGCTTGCAATTCATTTCTGACATTGAACATTCACAAAACATTCCCCTTCATCTCATATAAAACATTTCAGTTTTGAGAAGAGTTACCAGTTTATTATTCAGTTGCCCTGTGTTTATCAACCTTTTCTTGTGTTTAACCGTCCAATATGCTGTCAAAAATCCTGACACCCTTTTTCATTAGGCAGTCTAACTCACTCCCCAGACAGCTATAACATGCAAAATACTTTGCTTATACAGACATTAAATAATTCCTGGAATATGATGTTTATCATTAATACCTCTAGACGAGAAATATTATTTATATAGACATTTTGACAGACTGAAGTAGAGCTTGTAAGTCATATCTGCTTGATGGTCTCAATGCAGCTTTATTGGGGATCCTAATATTTGATCTCCAATACAATATTTATGGCTCAACTTTCAATTTTAAAAATCTACAATTTTGTTCATAAAATACAATTATTTTTCCCTGAAAAATAACACATTTTGAGAAATATCCTCCTCTCTTCTTAGGAAAAGTGTGAATGTATGTATGTGCAACTCTCTCATATACAGTAACTGAAGCCTGAGTAACACTCAAAATATTGATGTTTTCAACAAAATTAATTAGGCACTCTGGTTTTAAGAGTGAACTCAAATGTTTATTCATAATTAAGTAAAAGTAATGCAAGTGAGTTACTTTCAAAATAACTTGCTTCTATCATGTCCCTAACTGCTGCAATTCATTTGAAAACACTACTGTTTCCCCTTAAAGCAAACCTTCTATGATGTAACGAGATTAACCTTTGACATTAGCCAATCAGAGATGTGGATGGAGCTACACTACTCTTTCCCCCTAAAAGCAGACCTTATTTTCATGATACAAGATCCACTTTTGATATTAACCAATCAGAGAAGTGGGTAGAAATAATGCAGCCTTCACCTTGGTTAGCAGATAAAACTGTAAACATCCCCTGTCAAAAGTCTATCAGTGACATACTGGGAGGAGCCTTAATCCAACATGACTTTCAATTCGATGTAATAAAACAGTTATACTGCAATGTTTTAAGAGGTAGCAAGACTCTATTTCCCCCTTTTCAGACCTATTTCCTTTGACTTTGCCTCAGGAAATAGATCTGATCTGATCTAAAACAGAATCTTGCATCTATCTTGGTAGTATATTATTACTTTACCTATATAAAATTCTGGTCGTATTTTACCTTATTTGTCCTGTCTAAAAAGTACTTACGTATTTAATTCAAGCGAGGAGAGGTCTAATTCTGCAGATCCCATGCGATCGTCTGAAACTCCTCTATCATAGTCGTAACATTTCACACACACTGGTTTAAACACATCCTCAATGGGAATCGTAAACTTTTCATCCCATTTTGGATTCAAGTTCTTGAACACAGTTCTACTTTTATAATAATGTTTGCTACCTATTTTGAACTTTACGTAAGGATCACTGGTACCTAAAAAAAAAATATCAAGATATATAAAATCAACATCCGGAACAATTACAATAAAATAAATCTCGGTAAAAAAAATCATACTCAAACACCTGAATCTCTAATACTGTTTTATAAAATATGCTCAACTCTCCAGTTAGACTTATTAGACTTTTCTAACTTTGTTCTTATTGAGAAGTATCTTATACACTGATTACTATGTAATCAATTAATTCCAATACCATATAAGTGGAATTTTTAGCAAAATGCAAATTTAGCTGTTTTTCCTTAAAAATCAGTATTAATTTATAGCAGAAGTAATTTTAGCGATTTAATGATTCCTAGAAAGACAACAGTAACTTCCAATCAGAATGGATTGTTAGTGATATACAATTTTAGCGATCTCAGTACCCTTGCTAAAAATGCCAAAATTGAATCCTCGCTAAAATTTCTTCTTATACCTTATGTGTTAACCATATTTATCCAAAATAAGTAACTATGCATGAAAAAAATTACAAAGGCGGGTGGGGATTGATTCAAATAACATGTGTTTACATTTTAAAGAATACACTGATCATTTTGATTTTTCGACAAACTGAAAAAAAAACTGTGAAATGTATATTTATATTTTTAATTCATAGGATGAAGCCTTCTTTTCAGACTAAAAAACAACAGACAAATATGGTGTGTATGGAACAATAATTAACTGGGTAAAAAAATTCCACTTTACAATTCACTTTTCCTATCTGTAAAAAAAAAGTGAGTCTATTTTCTCCTCTGACAGAAATTCTCATAATGCAGAATATAATGAAGAAATCCTTTCTCTTGAAAAGACTCTTAATTACTGTGCATAGTTTTGAATTCACACATGGTGTTGTATTTATGCAATTCGATCTTTGCAACTGTTAATGACCTTTATTACAAATGCAAATTCAACTCAAGAATGAGACACAAAGCAAAAAACATAGCTTTGTAAAGCATATAGTGTTCAGATTATAGGGTCTGATGACAAGTTCCTTGAATATCGATTTTTTTTCTGAATCTCTGTGTAATATACCAAAATATTTATTATCATTGTCATCTTTTTATTCTAAACTGTTTTCAAGATGTCTTTAATATAAACACCAAAAATTCTGATATCTGACAGCAATTCAAGTGGTTTCCTATAAGATTATATAGGAAGTGCCATCCTCTGGTATCTTGCATAAATATCTGGTAGTACCTCAATTTTTTTGTGAGGAAACTTGTTAAAGTAGCAATACTTTAATCAAAGATTCTTGGGAGAAATTATACATTACTGAGGAACATATCATATGACCTTTAAAGTTGACCCCAGGCAATTATACATGCTACGAATACTGCTGAATCCGTTTCCGATTTCAAGACCTCAAGCCTCTTTAAGCACTTGTGATCATTTAATTTTTGGTGATGGATTCTAAGCATTTATTAAGGGAGTCTATTTAATTCAATACAATAATAATTAAAAGGATATCACTTTGATAATAACAAGTACCAGTATCATAAACATTCCTTTCAATACTTACTGTAAATTTTGTTACACAGAAAAAAAACTTGTAATGATCTGTTTTGACTTTGAATTTCCAACAGAATCTCATACCTTTAATAGTGTTACAGCCTTTTCTCAAACAATTCCGAAAACTTAGCTTTAATTATTTTATCCTTTTTTAAACATATAAAGCAGGACTTTAGAGATTAAAAGAGTGATTGCTCTTATGAAACGCCTGTATGCATATAAAATAACATCCAACCACGAATGTCTTTAACATTTACTTTTAAGTCCCTTTTGACTGTTATAATTAGAAAAATTGTAGAAAAAAAAAACATATGTTAGATTAAACCAATTTTAAGGATGTTTATCAGGTTTTGTTCAAAATCGGTAAGCTAAAACACGTACCACTACTGTCTCTCACAACGAGATCTTTTCCTTCCTTGAGCCACACGTCCAAGTGGAAGAATGAATGCTGCATTAACTCATGTCTCCGTTGTCTGACGTTTGTGTCCTACAAAGATACAATGTAGAAATTTCCAATTTACTCTCAGAATGCAAATTTTAGTTGTTGATGTTGTTGAATTTATTATCATTAAAGTGAAAAGGTGTTTAAAGACAATAAAAGAAGAAGTCTATGTATTGCAGGACAATTAATGCTTGTACAGTGAAAAATACCGATGCATCATCCATGAATCACTGATCAATATAAGGCATAGAAGTATGACGAAATAATCTCCAAAATCTTAAACCTAGGATGCAAAGGATATTACACAGCCTCCCCAAACTTCATTGAGGTGAGCTAAAAATACTAATCAGCATTTCAATTTTATTCCTGCAGATATTTACCCATCGGAAAAAAATTAAATATAGAATTTAAACAATGCTTAGATGAGTACTTTTCAAGTTATTATTTAAACAAAAAACAATTACATCTCAAAATTTCAGCACTCCCTTTAACATTTTATTTCCTCTTTCTTCATTCCAATTTCGTAGTAATAGTATGAAACTTAGGAAGTACACTGTACTTTGGAAATGTTTAAAAATCACTTAGTGTCCACTTAGTGGAAGGATGAGGGCAATAAAAGGTACGTAAATATGAAATGGTACCTAGAGTGTTTTATTGAGATACAGTCAAACCTCATTATCTCAAGCTCGATGGGACCGAGAAAAAACTTTGAGATATCCAAGGGTTCAAGATATCGAGGGTAAAATACTTAAGAAATACATGGTAAGGACTTCTCAGTCACTTTGATATATCCATGTTATTCGAGATATCTGTGTTCAAGATACCGAAGTTCAACTGTAGTTATATGTATAGTCATTTTTGTCCAAGAATAGAAATCTAATAAGGTACCAAAAATAATATCTATCTATCCATCCATCCTGTTCACTGATTTATATGTGTGTGAACTGTTGTTGGTATATAATCTAATATGTATAACAAATATGAACTCTGATGTAAATTCACTCTTGTTCATATTTTCAGCCAAAAAAAAATTCAATTGAAAGAGGGGTGGGGGGTCTATATATTGGTCAAATTCCACATTGAATTCTTACAGTCTCTTTATAATAAAAAAAAAAACCCAGCCTCTTGTCATCCTTGTTCTTTTGCATATTCCTAAATTTATTTCAATTTGATATATTTTAAATGTAATGAAAAAACATTGGTATTAATTTTTGCAAGTTAAATCCTCTGATCTTGAGTCACTAAGAGACAAATCTGGTACAGGACCAGCAACTTTATATGGTTACTGGTCCTGTGGACCGATGAGCTAAGAGGCTTAGCTATGGACACTGGATAGTCCAAATAGGACATTTCTTGTTTCATTTCTTTAAGGTTCATAAACCCTCTCCTCATTCATATAAAATGTTTTTTTAAATCTTGTGACTTTCCAAAAGAAATGTATTCGTTAAGTAAAATACAAATAATTATAGCATAGCTTGCGGGGCAAAATTGAACAAAAAAGACACTTCAACCTGACAAATTTATAAAGACATAATAGATATTTATGTCATTAAGAGTTATCTCTCTTATCAGAGTATCGATGAACCTTAACAAAACACCTGTAGATTTTATGAAGATATATCACTGCTCTTTGGAAATTACAAATATAATCTTACTGTGCACCAAATTTTTTTTCTTCACAAAATATACTGAAAATAAAACAAGTTGATTGAATTTTTTTCATCATGGTACCTGTTGAATACTTTCATTCATGTATTCAAACATGAGGAGTTTAGAATCCTGTGATAGAACTGGGATGACCTCGTCCATGGTTTGCCCACCACTGGTGGAATCGTCGTCAGTTTTTAATGATGTTTCAGATGATACACGCTTTGCTCCTAAAGTCATCCCAAGCCTAGGTGATCTCTGATGAGAAGAAGACCTACGCCTCCTTTCTCCTCCCTCAGAATTTTCCATTTCAAAAGCAGTTAAATTTTGATTGGAAGATTTCTTTTCCAAAAATATACTAGCCTCCGAGGCTGAGCGAGCTCCATTTTGAACATCATTACCTCCCTCTATTGATAATTTATGCAAACTTTCCATTGACCTTGACAAATTTTCTTCCAGGTCTTCACCACTGGAAGTTTTCCTATGGGACTGCAGAAGTTTGTGTCCAAGTTTTGTGAATATGGATCCCTTCCTTTTCCGAGGAGATTCACTTCCCAAAGCTTCGGAGCTCTTTGTCTTTTTCTTCTGTTTCGTTTTTGGGGACTGCTTTGGTGAACCACAACAATCTCCGCTTCTCTCCATAGAGTCTTGTAAATTTTCTTCTGTTCCGTCTGCTTCCATCTTTAAACAATATTTACTTCCACTTGGCCCAAATTTGACAATTTATAATCACACACAAAATTGTCCATAGATAAAAAATATCTCAACTTATCCAGTCAATTTTTATTTTCTGGCTCACATTAGTAGCCTAGACTAAGTACTTGGCTCTGTCAAAAGCTACTGATGTAAAAAACACAACTTTATAAAACAATGTATTACAACGATGAATTTTGTATGAGTCTCCAATGATTATCACATTAGCAACCTAAGCTTATTGATTGAAATTCCCTTTTGTATTACTGATATGACAATTATCCACTGCTTTTTATTTTTGCAGGGAAAAAAAAAGTTACATCCGTCAAATTACAATTATCAGGAATTGAAATCAATAGGAAAACCTGTATCCAAGCACTTTATGATGGGAAGACATCATCCACTTCACATTTTTAAAACCAAACTATGTGCACGTAATATCCGACTATCTTAAATCTGACAAAGTCTCTCACATACTTATCCTAACACAACTCAATCCCACTATTTGAAGAGGGGTGTATAACAATAACTTTCCAATAACAATAACAATTCATGATTGCATCCAATCCAAATGAATAATTAATAAATATTGAACCAATTTCAGCACATAATGAAAAGTTTTCAAAAAGCGCATCCTAAACGAACAGTCCGACATGAGAAGGGTCTGGGGTATAATTTTCTGGAGTTTCCAAAACTGTCTCACCCCAGGTTACATTATTTGATGCTGCTTCCATCACATTACGATCATTCAGAAAAGCTGTCTGCAAATTTCGAGCTTTTGGCAGACGGCAATTCTAGGCCTTTTATATTCCAGTCAATCAAGCTACTCGTCTGGACCTGAACTTATTTGGCTCTGCTAAGTGGAAGCCTTTATGAACGCTCTCTCGACATGGGCCTTTTATTGTTTTGCATATCTATGTTTAGATAGAGACTGGGCAATTGGATTTCTCCTCCCACAATCAAGCGGCCATTCAGTGGTTACACTGTTACAACTGGAGCCTTAACTGATGGCAATGTCCAGTCACTTGTTAGTAATGATGAATTAAAAATCATTACACAAATATCATCATCATTTCCTGTGAAACAATGACACTATACCTATGTAACTGTATCTGGACAGTCCAGAAAATCTATCATGCAACATTTATCCCTTTAGTCATACATAATCTTAATTATATTCTCCATCAGAAATGACAGGAAAAACTTGTATTTTTCCCTTCCTCTTCACTTCCACTGCACACTAGTGAAGCTGAACTGATTACCTCTGGAGAAAATGAAAGTTTTAGTGCATTGATTACCCAGTGATCAATGTTTATTTAATGGAATCCGAGTAAGTGAGAAATTTAGCTGCAGTGATTTATGAGTCAATGGCTGAGTTAGTGCAACAATATTGATGAAAACCTGCAGACTAGTTTTACATCTGCTTTTTAAACAATGTAACATAGATACAATGTACAAAAATCTGTCCTGTCCAGAAAATTAACCAGTACACTATATAAAGTATGTAAATAATATACATAAATAGTTATCTGTTCATATATTTCTTAGTACAGTAACACATGCAGTCATCTATCTATGTTTAAATTATGGAAATGTTATGCTTTTACCTGTGTGTGTTAAATGCATTGCTTCAAGCCACACTATGTCAGTGTTATAAACCATCAATCATTCTTTCACTGCTGTATGAATAATTAAATTAAAACAGACCTTATTTCAAGACACATTAAATTTTTTTTTTTAAAGAAATTAAAAAATCACCTGGAGCAGAGAATCTACACTGGACTCTGACATGGAGTCAAACAGAGATCCGCACCGTGATCTGGTTTCCACATCCGACACATCGGAAGCATCCGAATCATCATGAGGAACGCACAGAAAATTACTGGAGCAGACACCATTGTGATGATGGTGGGGGTGGTGGGCACCACCAAGAAAATTCCCTTTATCAGAGTCCACGTCCGTACCTGCAGGGGTCACCTGGATGTCAACTTGGGACACAGAATCATGTTCAGTTATCTTGTCCGTCCAATGACTACTACCATTCTCTCTCCATAGCTCCATATCGGAGTTGGATTCATTGTCAGACCATTCTGTTCTACACTGTCCTGGCAAACTTAACAGAGATCCACTTAAATTTTCTCTCCTGCCATTCTGGGCCAGATTAGATTTGTCTATTCTATTCAGGTTTTCTGCAGACTTTGTGAACCGTTTCATTTTCTTTTTGCCGTGAAATGCCCCTTTCATGTGGGAGCTCACTTTCTGGTACCACTTGTCCTTACGTCGGCCATGCCTCATCATAATAGCTGCTGCTGAAGACAAGACGCCGTCTTCATCTGAAGATGACATCTTCGTTGAAGAAAAGTGTGAAGTAAGTCTAGTCTCTAAGTTCTCATTAAGTCCATTCATAAATTAATGAATCACTTATAAATCACTGAACCAAAACACTGATATACGGTATCCAGCTAAACAACGCTATATCTTCAATAAAATGTACATTAAAGGTCAACTTTATAAGGCAATCACTCAAAAACTGCACAATTTAAGATAAACTCCATTACTTGATAAACTTCTCCTAAGGAGTTGATGCTATCAGTCTGATCATTAGAGTCGTGTGACCTATGGCTCTTAACATTACAACACAACCTCTCACTGAAGCGTGAAATTCCCCAGCACTTAAAATCAAGTGAAATAGTGTCCTCTATTGCAGTGCTTGTAAGATCCATTTCCTCTGGCCTTGCGTCATTTCTTGTACAATTTGGGGGCCAAGAATCCTAGTGTATACCTCACAAGTTGTTACACGATTTAGTATGCAGCTTATTTTACTTCAGTAATTTTCTGTAAGAGCAAGGTCTATTAACACCGGTTTTCTTGGTGTATATGCCTGTAAATTTTTCCTCCTAATTACAAATACTTTCTCACTGTTACAAAAAATGCATGTGATTATTTGCTTTCCATATTGGATTCATTATAGAGACTTCATCCACAGCCAAATACAAATTCATTTCCTGCCAAGAGACATTAAAAGATTTTCTGTATTTCCTACAAATCAATGAAATAATCGGACTGACATCAAGGGATTTAGGCTTCTTGAGATAGAAGAACACCATAACTGTAGAAATTCACTTCAATGTTGTGACTTATCAAATTAATATAAGGGTTTATGAATGTTACTCAGGGGAATTATTTCCCTATAGTGACAATGCATAAATATAGTATATCCGATTTCCCAAGTGGTGAAAAATGATACGTCTTTATTGTATGAATATATAGATGAGGTTAACCATCCCTTATTTCAATATCATAAATATAATAAATAAATCTTTTAAATATGAAATCAAATATGTCAGCAATTTTGTGGATATTAATTCTAAGAATTGAGTGAGAAAATTATCTATTTTATAACTTTGACTTTTGCATGAGCAAATAAATTTCTTTTATCCAGGATTTTCCTTTCTTAAATATCCGATTATAAACTATGGTGAAGCCTCATAAATCTAAACACCAATAATTATTCGGACACTTCACCTTCCAGACAAAACTTGTAGGGAACACCTCATGTTTTTAGATACAAATTATTTTTCATTACTCCGGACATTTCATTTAATCCGGACAATTTGCTAGGAAAGACAAGTGTTCGGATTGACCTGGCTTGACTGTATACATGAACTCAATCATACAATTGTTAGTCAAGAGACTGATCGAACGCTGATAACTGGTATAGAGTTTAATTTACAAGATAACATGACAGACATGTAATTGCTTCTGAAGTGATATATGAATCTCTTTGGTAATGTGTGAAAAAAAAAACAATTTATGTGAAAAAAACCTCACATCAATAGCAATACTTTTAGTGGCACAAGATCCTGGATCAATACATCTGAATAAGTAAGTTTTCCCACAGCATGAGTTCTGTGAACAGTATGCGAAAAAAAAAAAAAGCCCCCCAAAACCTTGGAAATTTAAGCTCCAGACCAAAAAGATATGCCAAACATGTCAATGTCTGTAGCAGCACATCAATATATAGCCTCATCTTTGAGGTATATTTTTTTTATTTTCATTTACAAAAAAAAGTTTATACCTTGAAGAAAAAAATCTTTATAAAATAAAAAAAAGCTTTATACTTGTTCAGATAAAATTTTAAATATTGCCAACCAATTCCAGTCCACAAGGCCTTACAATTAATTTGCTGCATGCGTGTCCACATCTCTTGCAATTATTATATTACTGAATGATTAATTTTTGTAATTCATAGTGCTATAACTAGCAAGAAGTATCATGTGTGCATACAAATACAGGAGGCCTATTATATCAAAATATGACCATCTTAGCCATATACCTGGTACATGTATACCAAAAATTTTCAGTAGACCAGCACTTCTTGCTCATTATCATATGTCTCCTATATGTTCAGTAAGATTTTCAAAGATTATTAACTGTTAAACCCAAACCTCAGTTTTAGTTGATGAATAACTGCTCAATATATTACAGGGTTGTCCTTAATAAAAATGTGATAAATTTATAAGCCCTGCTCTTAATTAACTGATCAAACCCTGGACTCGTGGGACATCAATTTCTTAATTTTAGTATCATTGCTTTTATCTTAATCTTCAGCAGCAGAGAAATTGATTTTCAAAGATATGCATTTTTAATAAATGTCTATAATTTAGATCTGACCTTGGGATCTTAATCTGGACCTATAGAATGTGTAATTCACAATTGCAGTTGAGGTACATGTATAATTGCTCATCATTAAAACAGTTTTGCATTGATTCATGTAAAGGAGTGAAGAAGAGGATTTTAAAAGATTAAGAAGGAACATAAGGGGAATTTCAATGTAAGACAATCATAAGCCTCATACCCCTTGACACAATTTACCTAATAAACAAACATCAGTTATGATCTTTAAAGATCTAGCTACTTAGCTACCTTTTTATCAAAATGACCAAAGAAACACATTAACCCTGGGGCCACATGCCTGAACCCAGGGGACATGAATTTCACAATTTGTAATCATGCATCAGATTTCCTGGAAGATGTGTTAAGAGTTTTTAAGGACTATGAATTTTGATGTTTTTTTGGTCCCATCCACAAACCTCCTTTGGTACATACAGTATATGCATACATTAGATAGGGATAATAAAATTCACAACTTTTTGTTCTCCTTTGTCCATAGATGCTATAATGAACCAGAATTGCTTGAAACTGTTTCAACAATTTTAGAGTACTCTGAACCTACAAATGTTTAAAAGTTCTTTAAAGACTGTTCAATTTTATTGACTTATATTGCAATGCCTAAAATATCCATTAGACACACGACTACATGTCTGATGAAAGTAACACATTTTTTTCCCCTTACTTCAACACATTTTACTTTTCGTATCAAGGACTGTGCTGATACTTCAATTTTCAGTTTAATTAATGCACTAAATCTACCACTTTTCTATAAAATACAAGAGCACTGCAGCTCCACTAGCCCTGCTCAATTCCAGTAAGTGTACACTCGGAGTCGTCCAATTGTAGGTAATCAAAAACCTGATGTCTCTACTTTATATCAATTTATTAACATTGGATATCTGATGAGAATTGATGATTTGACAGAGCTTAAAATGAACCTAGCTCTTAGCTATACTTCATCTCTAAGGAGGAAAATCTGTGTTTTTTAAAAAAAAAAAAAAACAGGAAAGAGGAAAATGCTATAAGTTTCTCTCTTTTTTCTGATCATAAACACATACAGTACTAGTGTGAGTAAATCTATGCATCCTGGTTTTATCAAACATTCTTCAATTAACATCAAGCAATACACATGACAGACACAGAATTCATACAGATGATCAGAATTCCTCTGGTTAACATCTAATGTCAGAATCTAATGTTTAATGTATAATGGATTCCTCTTCAAAGTGATGATCATCTAATGTTCTAGTCTTTATCAAAGCTAACCTTTCACTTCCCAATGGCTTCTGTGCTTTTAAGTGTACATTTGCGAAGATTGCTGTTGATTAGGCAAACCTTGATCAGAACGTTATCGACAACATTTGTAATTGTCACTTCAACATTTGTAATTGTCACTTCTTTTTTCAGAACATCCAGACTTCCACTTTTCCTCATTAAACCAGTTCATTATGAATTTAGTTTTCAATTAAAATTAAATTCATTGTGATTATAAATACAAATTATAGTGACATTTTTTTCATAATTGTAAAAATATCTTAATGGTCAACGTTAACTACATCCATACAGCCCAAATCACTTGTTCCATCTCTTCCATGTAACCAGAGCATGAAAATTCTAAGTACAATTTATATCAATTTATACATCCTTCTTCTTTATTCAGTTGATAAATTCCAACATCATTTAATCTAAAGTTTATTCCAAAGACAATCAAGATATAAAGTGATCATGACATGGATCCACCCCTCTCCCACACAATTCTATAAATAACACACATATTATCTAACCACTGGTCAAGCAGTGCCCTGAAGTTGGCAGCCCTACCTGATGACATGTGCCTTGATAAACAGGAATTTCCTCCCAAACACTTCTGTCACTCTCTGAAGAGCCCCTTCTCTCTTTCTCTAACACCCTCAGCCTCTTTGTTACAGAATGGAGGGGTCCCACCAGCAGACTCTCGATCAAGTCCTCAGAAGTAGTCATGTCTGATTTTTCACAATTTAACTTCGGTCCATTTACCAGAGCCACAGCATTGATCAAGAATAATTTCTGGGAGCAGGTTTAGTCACTCTTTGATGCTGAGTTATATTTAGAAACAATTTTCAAAACCATTTACTCCCGTCACTTCTATCACAATGTTCCAGCCTACTGGTTGCTTTTTTCTTGCCTTGTGTCTAAAGCCTTATCTTATATCTCCTGTACAAAAAATCAGCCAGGTGTGAAAAAACACCACATTTTATATACCAGCAGAAAATCAAGATCAATAAAACCAAGAGAGGATACCAATTTGATGAAATCTGATCTGTAAATCTCTTCCATTATGGAACCAAAGTGGCTAGCAAGGAACAGGGAGAGATTGGTTAATAAGGCTGTACATAAAGTACATCATCATAAAGAGTAAATCATTCCATTAACTTTCAGTTTGACCTTTGCAGGTTATTGTCCATAAGAACAGTATACAGCATCATGGAATCTTCTGTGGTTATTTAAGATTTTCATTAACAGTCTATGATTAAGTAACTTGATAGTACTGGTAACACAAAATCATCCTGTTGAGAAAGGCACTTTTTTGGACAAAGTTATTTTTTTTATATATGTCAAAAGAACATGAATGATTATGAATATGAACCTGTTTACGTACAGTCCCAAAGTGTTAACTTTTACAAGGAGAAAGTGTTAGTACATTATAGTACATGTATAGTAATCTGAGTATCTGC